GGTAATTTGTTTGTAAATACATTTTAGTTTTGTTTATAGTATTTGGCAGACGATGTGGTTGGGATTTGAGTGCGTATAGGTGCGGTCAAGCAGGATAGGCGTGCCATTTTCGTCTCCAGCGCTGTTGCTGGAGCTGTTGCTAGAGGTGGTAGGTTATGGCGGTTGGAAGTGGAAGCTAGGTATGGATTGAAATATGTATTTCTTCGGGCGGTATAATGGGTTTAGCGTACAAAGTCCTTTGTAGGACACTTCGAAGTTACTATCCTGGACATTTTGAAGTCGAAGAAGGGAGGTCTAGTTGTTTCTCGCGATATTTGTCCATGTGTTGCTAATTGTGGGTTGCAGGTGAGTGCACGAATTTGCTCAATGGGCCTGGTGGATGGGAGTTGCTTTGCTCGTTTCGTGGCTGTACTGTCTTGCCAGAAGTCAAAGTTGTTAGCAACGTACTGAATATTGTGGACGGCTCAAGTGAGGACTGTTTCGTTTTAGGCTGCGTCTAGAAATTCGTTGCAAATCCCTGGCTGCCATAGTTCCATTTGTGGCGTACAGAGAGATTTTCTCTCATGTTCAAATATGCTCCGTATTCATAGGTGGTTTGGTTGAATAATCTTTGTTTGACCACAATCTTCAAGGGAAGGAGGTATCAAAGTAGCACAAGGATATCAGGAATCGTTATCTACTAAAAGTTGAGATGATGATTTCTTCGATTTGGGCAATATAGGTATATAAAATGACCGCACTCCCAGATTTTCACAAGCTCATAACTACAAATTCACATAGCTAGCAAATGTTTCGTGGGTTCATACAGGCACTGTTTATAACTTTACTAATCTCTCAGTAAGTTTTGGGTAGATCGAGCTCAGAACTGATGGAGGGAAGATGCAGTATAGTTCTCCGTGGCTGCTCAGCTCGCGCTCATTGATCTTATTAAATGGTTCTTACGGTTCTCACGGTTCTCGAGGATTGTGCCCCTTTCCGAGTAGCTTGCACATACTAAGTTAATAATGATGCCTGCAGCATCTGCAAACCATAAGTGGCAGCACTATTAGATTCATTCAGTGGTTGACAGTGCTTAGTGTTAGTATAACGTAGCTGTCGAGTTGTTAGGAACTGTGATTGCGAGAGTGATAGATCCATTGTGCAATTTTGGTTGTAGGTGTCCTATGAAGGTATATGTTTATTTCAAACGACTTCATATATCGTATATTGAAAGTTCTAAATGATATGCAATAGCAATCATGACTGGATGCATGCGTGACTATGACGGTCGAGATCCGTCCTGGTTGATGTGGCCATACCGGCCTAACTAGACATAATCTCAACATGCATAGAAGTGATTTAATCACACTAGGGTCACAATTGAAAGGCCTTTCCCTAGCAGTCAGCGCCCTGATGCCACGGATGTTCCTGATGTCTTCTTCAAACTCGTCATCTAGAGTGGGGTAGTACTGGTGATCAGACATGCAAATCAAATTTGCTACCTACACAATTCATGCCATGAAACGACTGCAAATCCCGACAGAAAATTACTCATCATCTCCAACCACATTTTTATTTGTATTTTAACGTGTAGTCGACATTCTTGAATTTGATATGTGAAAACAGAGATGCTACGGCTGTGTCATGCAAAGCATGGGGTTCGCCTGAACATGATTCGGGACAGTCAGCCTTGGCGCAACACCCGTTGTGCAACGTAACTACCCCCATCCTTCCAAATCCTCACGTCATCGAACAAATGCATTCACAGCTGGTCGGCAGTGCATGAAGCATCCAAAATACATGTAGTCATCAAGGAAAGACTCAGGCAAACCTGCAGGATTCACGTCGGCCAGCAGCTCCACATCTGAAACGCGCCCCCTGTTTTGCCGGTCTCAGGCTTCATGATGACTTAAAGCGAGAGTTGAGCGTTGGGCGACAATTTTTTGCCATCATTCTCTCGTATCACTCGTACCCGTCGTGGCTCTCTCTGCTTATTGCTTACTTTTTTCTATTTGCGACAATGCTCACACGATAAGAGAAGGGATTATAGGTTTCCGCAGGAATCACGACCAACCAGCTGTCACTGCATCAAATCAAGTGCAGGAGGATCGAAAAGGGCGTCGCCTTGTTAACACGCATCAAAGCGAAAGCATCACATCGTCTTCCTGTGTGCATTACAGATCTGTCTTTGCTGGACAACTAACCTTCCCCTGGAGACCTGAAGAGTGATGAACTCTGCTGCAATCTCTCGGAGTAATGCTGAATACCCACAAACTAAATGCGTAACCATAGGCTACGAAGAAGCGTCAGCAGAGCGAGCAAAGGGATAGAGAGGTCAAAGGATCCGGCATGCGCTGAGGGACAAAGGGGTATGCAGCAGTCAGGTGGCGCCCTAACGGCTGGCACACGAACAGCGCAAGAGCAAGTCCCCAACATCTAGACTCGCCACCGCCAGACTTTTGGCAGAAAATTTTACCTCACTAACGGTTCACCCGCGGAAGCGAGCGTTGAGCATGCAATCACCAAGTCCAGTGGCCAACACCTTGCGCACGGCCAGATCCACTCAGCCATATCCGCTGTCTTACTTGGCCACGATTAATATCCAACTATAGCAGGCATCTGATATCGCCAGCATGGAGGTATCATTGGCTAGGCCTGGTCACAAGGCGGACAAAATGGATCACTCGCTACCGGATAGGGACTGCAGCATACATACTTCCGGTTTGCGGTAATGCTTCGGTCGTCCACATCACCTGTCTTTAGCCCGAGTGGATTGCCTCTCCCGTTGGATGATCTGTCGGGGCTTGCGCGTTGTCGAGCATGGATCGCCGCAGCTTGATTGCCTGGAAGATACCGCTGCAACACGAGTGGATGCACTTAACCAGCAAGGTGGCAGTGATAGGTTGCCGCTGTAGGTGAGCATGTGGGCGCAGTTTCTGTCGCCCCGGGCGGGATTGCATACGGGATCATCTGCCCGATGATGGTATGGTATCGAACGTGGTAGTAGGATGCGATGAGTTGCCGACAGATCCCCTCACACCTAAACGGGATTCACACAAGCCTAGGTTACATATTGTGTCCTGAAAGCGGACTTTCCCGGAAGCAGATGCTACATAGTCCAATCCGGTAGCAGTGGCATATTGTGGTATCAGGCCACATTTGAAGACTTGTCTAGGATGATACTGGGTTGCTCAGGGCTCTCATTATGGCAAGTTCCTACGGTAAACAAACATGAATCGAATCACTGCCACCCTAGGCATTCCCCTCACCCCTAACCACTTATGAGTTAACTCCTACTATCTCATACAAATCAGGAATCGTCTCAATCATATACAGACACTTAGAACTATAGAGATTGCACAACGATATCGTGCCCACGGCCGGAGATGAAGTATGCAATCTCCAAGCGAAATGAGTAAAGTCTATGTTATTCTTTTGCTCAGCCCAATTTTGTAGCCTCACTCGAGACTCTTCCGCAAGAGCAGCAACAGGATTGTTTGGAAAGTGCAGCGAAGTTACTTAGTGAGGAAGAGCTTAGGCTGGAGAGCTATGCTACCAGGGCCGGGATCTCTAGATCATAAGTTGGGCTTCACTGATGGTCAGTAGCCTGTTCAAATGAAGGTCCCTGCTGTCAAACACAGCCTCACAAATGACAAGTCTCATGTCATTGTCTAGAGCGTCTCTTAATATGGCCGAACAGTCAAAGCGCAAACCATGACTATGTCAAGTTACATTTGACTGATGAAACTTTACAGGCATGAACTTGGTTGGCATTCCTTGTGTTTTCACGACTTTTGCAAGAAAACTTGTGATCTCATAGTCAATGTACATAGGTTATTGTACCACGTTGTATACCTATCTACCTCTCTCAAATAGAATCTCGGAAAGATTACACATCGGCTGTACTATAGGCCGAAAACCACCCCTTCAATTATATATATTTTCAAAACACAAACATCACTCCTTCTCGTATCTCTATTTTTGATTTTTTTTGTGCAATAAGTTGTCGAACACCATCGAGCGCTATGTCTCTAAATGCAAAGACCCCCCTCACCATTTTCGACTAGTGGTAGCCCGGCCCCAAAATAATGAAAGAAATGGCCGAGAGAGCTGAGCCACTGGGCCAGTGGAGCCCTATATTCAACCCTCGACTACGCGACCGAGTTTTTGTCGCAACAAGGACTACGAAGAAACTTTGAGCAACCTTCACTTGCCATCGGGCATATGTGGCCAAAGATTGAAACCTTCTTTCTGCACACATGTAGTCAGCAAAAGTGGAGTTTCCGGTCAAATGCTCCATTAACTAGTGTACATTGTACACACAAGCTCATGATAATAGTTTAGTCGTCCCTCTGTTTCAGGATATTAGTGCGTCGCAATGCCGGATCCAACGCTCGGCAGTGGAGCCCCCTCCCCTCCCCTCCCCTCCCCCCATGGCATAAACGCTCACCGGAACATTAGTTCGTAGTAGCCACAACTTTTTTTTTGCCAGGCGTCAAGTTCCCGGCAATGGGCAAAATGGTTAGCAATAATCACATGCAAGTATCTTATGACTGGCCGCCATCGTAGAAAAGTACTAGCCCAAAGAAAGAAAAAACGCAGCGAAGGCACCGAGCTAGTACGCAGGTGATCTGCTTGCCCGGTTGCCTCTTCTTGTCACTTTGTGGAGGAAGATATGCGAGTATCGTTCGATATGTGCTCTTAAACTAACTCACCCTTCCCGCTCCATGACTCTAACTACAAGGGCTAAGATCGGGAAATATTAGTCAAGTAACGTGTGCAGCGAAACCATATGACGTTTTCTTTTCTTTTTTGCCTCATCGGGGTCAACCCTTTGGGACAACTAACTACATAGCCTTTGGGCCAAAAAGAAAAAACGGGTAACCCTTGTGCGATTTTCGTCCCCGGAAGAGGACAAACCTCATGTACTGTGTATGTACTTAGCGTCCGGAACCAGGAACAAGCACGTTGAGAAGTTGTGCCTTGCATCGTTCATCCGGACCGGCCTTGGTTCTGCGCGTTGCAAGCTAACTTGACTTGCCCCCCGCCTCCGCGCGCTTCCTTCTGCTTCACTCTATGTGCATGTGTGTGTGTGTGTGTGTGTGTGTGTGTGTGAAGGTGGGTTGTAATTCACACACACATATACATACACCCCTCAATCTGTTGAGACGCCCCATTTCTGCACGAAGACCCTGTCTGAGCACACGCTGCCATGATTTCCCACCGAGCGACTGACCGTAGGAGCTAAGCGACACACACATGCTGGGAAAGCCATGTACAACCCGGCTTCGCTACCGCGATCCCCCATTCCCCTCCGACTTGCTTGCCCACGTCATCCAGTATCGTTCTTTCCCCACATTCCGGTGAAAGTGAGTTTACTTACTCGTTTGGCCCGCGACACCTACCTACGGTGCGTTACATGTTTTGCTGGGACATGACTTGCGCAGGGCCCAGTATATCTCCAACTGCCGGTTGGAGAATTGAAGCTCACTAGCAAGAACAGTAGTCCTCTTTGTGGTTACTATCAGACATATGCGCATATTCTCGTACCATTCAGCACCTCAGTCACACCTACCCCTCCACAAGCCGCTCCTTCCATCCCTTCCAAAAAGTAAGTCAAGAAAAGGAAAGAAATCTGACCATGCATTACCCTCGGTCGACCAGATCTCTCCATCCACCCGCCCAAGTGCACCACCATCACTACCCCTGTCCAGCAAATCGCCCAGCAGCCCAATCGGCACAAGCCCCATTCCTCTCTTCCTCTCACTCACCCTAATGATGCCCAGTGCAAGCGAGGGTCAAGAGGCAAGGGCACACGCAGACAAGGGGTGTGTGTGTGAGAGAGAGTGTGTGTGTCTGCGCACACACACACACCCATCTCTCCTTCCCGCCATCCGCGCATCGGGCGTATTACGTGCTTGCCTAATCCAGAGGCGTGACGGCACCACCTGCATGCTCGCCTCGCATCTCTAAAAAGCCGTCCGTCTGGGGGGCGAATGGCCGTTACCGTTATACTAGTGGGGTAAAAATGATTGCCTAGCCATTCAAAAGCCGTTAGGTTGGCAGATGATCAATAACTCGCATTTTTGCCTTTTTCCTTTCCCGCTCCGTTAGTCTGTATATGTATGGGGAATGTGGCTGGTTAGCGATTGCCAGACCCGTTGTGGGCAAAACAGGTACCGGTTGCCTATCGGAGGCGAAGAAGGGAAGAGCGGCGAGAGCTGCTAGTGCAAACGGCACAGGGGGTGGGAGGATTAAAGCGCATGGTATGATTATCGGTAGGCAAGTATTGGCGAGTATAAATCAGCACGGGGGGGGGAAGGATAACCAAAAGAGTGTTTGGGCCCGTGGGAGTGGTTACGGCATCTGCATCGGAGTCTTTTTTCTTGCTCGCTCATCATTGCGAGTCTTGTCGCCTATCGCCACGGTATCTCTTACTCGGAAAAGATAGACACTTAGTTCGAGGAGTTGCGGATCTGTGCTACGTTGATCGCGCTTCTATTCTTGTGAATATTTTTGGAGACAACAAGTTGGAGGCGTCATCGTCGTCGACAGTTACCTTGTTTGGGCCGCCCCAGCCTCACTCTGCCCATTCTCTTGTCTTGTTCGCCTTCCGTCACGGGTAAGCTGCTCCGCCGCATCGTCGTTTGTTAAGACAAGGTTTTTTCCTAAGTGGTTGATAGTGGGCCATTTTGGCAAAGCCGGGTATTGGAGAATGGGTGGAGGCGAGTCGATCCCTTGGGGACAAGGGGGGTCCGAATGGAGGGATTGCGCTTTTCTCTTTGCGGCGCAAGATGGTTGATTCAGTGGATGCGGTCTTCCTCCTAGAGCAAGAAACGGACATGCTGGATGTGGAGAAAGAAAGAAAATATACCCGTAATAACGGCTTTTGGTTGGCTAATGCGGGGATTAATCTTCTCTCTTTTTCTGCTTCTTCATTTCTCCTGCAACATCGTTGTCATCATATCTCTTTTCCTTCGGCGTATACTCCATATTCCCCTTTGTGTACTTCCTTTTGATACTATCTCTCCGCACCGCCGCCCCCTGCTTATGTTGATCATCCAGCATAGCAAGGCCATTGATTGCCAACAGGGTAAACCCGTTGGCAGTCGCCAAAAAGCAAGGACACACGCGCACCCTAGCCCCCCGGTCCATCGCGCCTTCATCCGAGCTCTTCAATAGTTTCAACGTCGGAGACAGATTCCCTTCCCGCTGATATTGCTCCGGCGCCGCAAACGAAAGGGAAGACCCCGGTTAGCTCTACTGCGCGGTGCAAATAATCGACCATCCCAGTAATCGCACCTTCTTGCCGCCTCGTGCGCGCATCCTGTTCCCCGCTTGCGCGTTCGGCTTCGCGCGACCTACCACACCTCTTATTGTTTTTTTCTTGGCCTTTTGTGATTTATCGCACTTTTCTCCAGTTTTGGAGCTTGCCACACGCTTGCTCGGCAGCCGTTTGGCGCAGGAGTAGCGAAGTAGGCGCGGGACAGGTCCCCGAATTGCTAGTGTGGGCGTTATAATGGCAGGGTTCAGGGTCCGCCTGCAAGCGGTATAGTTTGCGCAGGGTTGCTAGTATTGAAAGTCGCGATCACGCTTGGGCGGATAACTTGTATATGGCGATGATTGCGATGACGAGGGGGAGCGGGCGTGTGGTTGACTTTGCGAGGGAGGGATAGCCATGAGGCGTGCGTATGTGATGAATCGTGGTTGGCAGTAGTAGGTAATCGTGTTGGAGGCTCGGTTGAGCTAGACGATTCGACGTCTCCGAGCCAATGTGACAAGTGTATGTACATACATGCTTGTGGTAAAGAGGATTTCGCAACCCCCTACGTGTGCCTTGTTGCTAAGGCAAAACTGGTGTATCCTTGGAGTGAACCCTCGACAAAGCTGCAAAGAGAAACCAAGTTGCCAGGTGAACACGTCACGTGCAATCGTTCTCTCGGAACAGCAAATTCCTCAGTGTGCGATACATCGACAAGGCAGGGTAGCTGCAAATAACACCACTTGTGATGCGCATGCTTAAGCTCTCCCTTGCTGCTAACGGACAGAACCTGTGTTCCTTGCCGTTCTGGCTCCGACGTGATCATGTTCATCAGGCCACGATAGTGTGGCTGCGGCTACCGCTGTCTCAGATCAACCTCGTCGTGCCGCTGTGCACGTCAACATCTGAAACCATACTATGAGACAGGCAGGACCCCAGGCTCTAGACACGACATGACGTGGGTTCAGCTCGGTTGGCGTGAACATGCTGGCGCCCAGTGAGCTTGGTTCATCGTCATGTAGCAAGTTGCGATATGTGAGACTTGTGTGTGCGCATGTTTCGACATTTTGGGTAATCTTGAGCCGTAACTGCATTTCTAGACTGAGGATGCATTCGAACATTCCAGAACCTCTAACAAGATGAGAACATTGGTGTTGGAAGTGGTGCTATGCTGGCCGTAAACTCTGCAACTGTCTGGAAGGACTAAATATAGTAACGGGGTATTACAGAATTGAAGTTTCGTAAAGAAACATGAAAGTATGCTGTGGCACCATGTGCCATATTGGGTGTTGAAAAAAAAGCCCTCCCCAATTCATCCGAACATAAAGTAAAAAGCGCGAAATATCGCAAAGAAAGGTAAGGATAAATGGTTATAGAAGGAAAGCTAACGCATGATATAGAAAAATCAAAAAAAGGATACCGGTTGTGTAGTACAAAGGAAAGGATTAGGGGAAAGACCAATGAGAACGCGCGCCTTGAAATATTGCCTGGGTATCTTCCCTTCTCTTGCTCCGTTGTTGACATGCCCTTAAACATCTAGTCTGTTGTTGCCAAGTTTGCCTCGCCGGAATTGTGGTATGCGCCAGACGTTTGTCAAATCTTTAGTTGCTGCGCCATCAACTCAAATCCCATCCTCCTCGTAAAGTGTTTCCTAACCTATCCTGTCTTCCCAACGCCGCTGCAATGCTCGACTCGCTTGTAGTATTGCGCGTCGAAAAGATGTACGTACTCCCTGATATATTCGAAAAGCTTCAGGGAGTGTGAATCGAAGAAGAAAGGCATGCCATGGCCCAAATCGTGGTTACGTCGTAGAAAATATTTTGCCAATTAAAGAAGAATGCATGCATGTCCGAAAGAAGTGTGTCGCAGATGCTGAAGTAAATCACACAGAGGACTTTGTGACCAGCACAAACCCTGTAACCACCACCCTCTTCTCCTCGTGTTCCCAACCATTGGGTTTCTCACCATGCACGGAGGGCCTCGACTTGACTAGCTAAGCCCCCAAAGCCATGGCCGGCCAGTCAATGGTATCTTGCGTCTGACTCACTCGGGCCGGCTCCCAATTGCGACGGGGTGTATGTGCGTGGTGGTTGTGGTTGCTGTTGTTGTTGTTGCTGTTGTTGCTGTTGCTGTTGCTGTTGTTGAAGTTGTGAATGTTCGTCCTCTTGTGCCTCTTGTTGAGCAAGCTCCATAGCCTGGAGCTCTTCGGCCTTGTCTCTACACGCGTTGGGCGAGAAACCACTACCGACCTTTGACGAGACGATTCGCCATCGGTCATTCTCGTACTCTTGCATAGCATTGCGAAGCTTGTCGACCTGTTTTTCCGATTGGGGTTAGCATACCCGGGCTTGTGTTTGCCACACACACGACGTTGTGTGTTTCATGACTAGGAGTAGGAACTTACCATCTCCGACGTCCAAACCGTGGTCTTTGCTTTGAGCTTGGTGCAGTAGCGGACCTGCAGAGTACCTGAGCTACGGCCAGGAAAGAAGTCTGCGATTTGCTTCCAAGTGAGGTTCTTCTTTTCCTTGAGATCGACGAGTAACTGGTCGTCTTCGGGGGTGAACTTGAGTTTGGGGCCGCGGGGTCGTTGTGCAGGTGCCGGCATTCCTTCTTGGCCTACAACGCTAGGAGGGCCATGGTGGAGAGATGGTGAGGGAGGCGCGCCCTCCATTGCGTGGTGTCGTTTATTGCGATGAGTGCTTGGTAGATGATGATGGTGAGTTGGAGGAAGAGTGGAGTGAGGAGCGGGCGGTGGCGGCGGATAATGTTGAATAGAATAACTCTGAGTCGCGTGCTGTAGTGAGACGCTTCCCGTTGCTTGTGCGTACGGGTTGAGCTGTTGCTCTAATGTTGGGGTAAGATCGTGCGGCAAGTCGTCTGGGTGGCTGCGCTTGCGTCCGGCGGTTTGCTGGGGCGGTGGATAGCCCACATTGTAGGATGAGGGAGAGTGTTGCGACATGGATTGATGGCGCAAAAGATGGGTTGGGTGTAGAGAGTGTGTCTCGATGTCCGTGTAAGTAGGGTGGGAGCTGGTGCCGGCATGTTGAAGGGTCTGAGACGGGTGTGGCTGCAGGAAGGAGTGATGGTATCCCGGAGGCAATCCGGTATGAGAATGCAGGACATTGGAGTGTTCGACGCTTGAAGTCGGAATATGATGCTCTTCCCCAGCGTTGCCTGATACGCTGTAGTCGAGGAAAGGGCCTCGATAGGGACTCGCCAGTGTTGCTAATACGCATGGAGACTACCAGAGCAAACTCGCTCTGGCAGGCCGCCGATATGAGACCTGAGCCAGAAATAACAAAAAAAGGGAGAAGAGAGAAAAAAAGAGTGCCTCGTTTGAGTCAAGGATTGTGGTTGCGATGAAATGTGTCGCACGCGATTGGGTTATCTCCAATATTTCTATATTGACAAATGTTGGAGCAAGAAGAGCTTGGGGGAACGCGCCATCGGACAAAGTGTTATCGCGTGTGTTAAGCTTTGGGATGGCCGGTTATAGCTTGCAGCCTTGTAGGGGAACAGACGAATAGCAGGTTATTGTTGGGGACGGCTGTGGATTATATGATATTTGTGCCTGAGGGCAGAAGGCATTAACAAGGTCGGGCAGTATGTCCCCTCCAAAAACCCGGTCCGTCTTGTGCGATTGCCACACGGACACAGACTCCAAGCATGTACAGTAATGGGTCCTCTCCACGAGACGCTCTGTTCCTGAGAAGGACCAAATGAGCTTAGTAGGGAAGGCCCAGGAACTGATTCTACGTCAAGCATAATGCGGTGATCAATGACCAGGCCTGCGAGGGGAAGGGGGGGCCTGGCACACGATCTCGTCGAGTGCAATGCTGCCTGGCTCGTGTGGTGAGTGGCTGCCGTTGCAAAATGAGGTGGGAATGAGGTACTTTGGCCGGCCAGCGGGGGCCAGTGGGGCCCGGGGCGTGCGCGGTCCATGCCATGTCGTTTATTTCTAGAATATCACAAGAAAGATCTCCAGCACCGTTGCAGTGTCTGCAAGACGAATCCTGGCGCAGCGTGGTGGCCAGGAGATGCGCATTGAGGATGTTCTGAACCGGCTAGCGACACGGCAGGGGCACAGTGCGCAGTTGCCGAAAGGGGAGCGCCACCACCGAGCAGGTGTATGCCAGATTGATGAGACAGAGTACCCAGCAGACACACAGCCAGGACCGCGGGAGGAGCGCTCGGGACCTGCTCGGGGGGCGAATGCGTCGAGCGGTCCTGCCAGGGTCATGGTGGTGGTGGTGGAGGAGGCGGGCAACGGTGTGTAATGGCATGTGCATGGTCATGGCATGTAAGTCTGGATGGTGGTGGATGTGATGGTTGGTCGTGTCCAGGCATCCGGTGCCGGTGCGTCAACTGAGGGTCCCCCCTTCATGCCTGGAAGCACCTTGGCCGACCGCAGAAACCCGTTGAGCATGACGGAGCTTTGCAAAGACGTGAAGCTTTGATCCAGGCAGGATGGGCTTGTCTCTGTCGGCACTCACGCTGCCGTAGCACCCGCCTGTAAGCAGTGGGACCGAGCGATGGGCAGGGCCCTTTGGTCATGGTTCTCTAACGCATAGGCATGGATAGCCTCAGATTGGCTCATGCGTAAGCCGTTTCAAGGTATACACTGAGACCCTGTCCTATATGCGCTTCGTCACCCCCCGTGAGATGGGACTGGTACACTGCAAATGGTACCAGCCACAAGAATACCCCGACGCCCGCGCCAGATGACGCATTTCGGGCACGCTGCCGAAAGCCAGCAGGCGTGCGGAAGTTGCCAACGGCCAGTAGCAAAGCGGGCCGGCGCTGCGTGACCGATGGCTGTTTTTCGCTTTGTTTTTCGCTGCTTTCATGTGCCGGGTGCTAGTCCTTAGTATACCTGAGACAGTAGCTGGCGAGGTTGGGAGGATGGCTGCAGCGAAGGCGTTGTGGGGGAGAAGGTGAGTCGACGTCGGCTGCAATTGATTCGGACCTGGACGCGCTAGTATCGAGAACGACAGCGACAGCAGCAGCGACAGCACAACGCAGTCTTGGCGCTGCTCGCTCGCTACTCAGGCCGGCCGCGATCTGCCCGCCCCGAAGCCCCTCGCATGCACACATCTCATCTCTCGACCGCATGCATGAGATGAAGGGCGGACGGCGCTGACGGCGCATCGTGGGCCCCCCAAAGGGTTGCGCGCCTGACGGCTATGCCCTTGCCTGGAAGACGACGCTCACGCTCCCTTGCACTTGCATTCGCCTCTCAAATACACCCTCATGCACGTGATGGGCCTACCACAGCCTGCACTCTACAAACCCACCCACCCCTGGCCGCGCCTGGGACCTCCCTGCTCCCTGCCTATGCAGCCCTCGCTATGACCTCACCGTTGACATTCAGGCCTAGCAATGGCCTGCCAATCTTCAAGTACTCGACCAGCGGCGCATTATCCATTTAGGCTGTTGCGGGCCTTTGTGAACTATAGGCTCGACGGGACGCACCATGTAACCCACTTCACCCTCGCCCTCGCCCTCATTCAGCACTCCTCCCCCATCCGCGACCCTCATGTCATCCAGCCTGTCTCGTGAGCGGAGCGCGTGCAGGGCGTCGAGTCCATGTGGACTGCGAGTTGCGGCACATGGTGGGCGACTGAGTTGAACCCCCAGTCGCTCACTCACACCGGCGGGCCTCTGTCCACCTGCAGCTGCTGCAGTTGCCAAAGGGAAACAAAAGGATAAGCGAAAGAGAGAAGACAAAAATCAGGACCTCTTCCCATTCCCAAGCGCCTTGGGAGTACAACCACTTGCACACCCACTGAGCTGGCTCGGTAGTGTAGCCGGAGCCTTTGTCTGGTAACGGCCCCCGTTACACGTGGCTATTTGCAACAGAGATTGTCAACACGACCGCTGATTGCACAAGCAATTGGGCCATTTTTTGTTGAAGGCGCAGCTGGCTATTTGTGGCACACCTGTTGGCGGGCTGCCGTGTGTGTGTACACTACTATGAGTGTGCGTGTGTACCAACAACGGCATAAGAGCACGCTGATCGGCATGCGGCGACTTGCAGGAATCAGGCAAAGGATTCAAAGTGTGGCGAGGTGTCGAAACATTTGGTTGAACTGCTGCAGGTTTGCAAAACCAGCGATACGTTGACATGAAACAAAAACATAATCAGGACGGACCAATGAGCAGTGCAGTGATGACCTCTTTTTGCGAAGCCCTTTCCCCACGTTTGACACGCCATATTGCCATGGGTAGACAATTCATACGTAAGGATAGCCGATACTAAGTCCGGGATAGGGACAACCCCCCCTCGCAAGTCCTTTGCCGAGCCCTCTTCCGAAAGGAGAGCCAGAGGAACCAAAAAAAACTCATCCCAAAATAAAATTGGCCACGTTGTCCCGAAAACACCCAAGCATTGTGTAAATCATCAAAGACGAAGGAATCCTCGAGTACGCCACTGGCCAGGAAACAGAGTGCGGAAACACCAAGCAGGACGGACGGATGGCTGACTCGGCTGTGTGCAGGCCGAGCTAGATTGAGAGGAAAAGAGAGCTGGTAGTATCGTCATGAACCTGGCGCATCGTACGAGCAAGCGGGAACATGCAGACGGATGGTGGGCATGGGTCCATCAATACTTGCCACCAAAGTTCTCCTTTGCGTATTGCTCGCATGCCTGGTGTCTGTGTTAGCAGCAGAGTCGATGCTTGTCCACGGGGATGCGAAACAGGCCGCAACGTACTTTTGCAGGTTTGCCGACCTTCTGCCCAATGACTTTCCACTTGTTGGCATCGTACTCCTTGATGGCGGCAAGCAGCGCGGCGCTCTTCTTACTCATCAGCATACACGCACGACAATGTCAGCGGGTGCACAACTCACTTCATCCTCTGCGAACTCTGCGTAGTGCATGTCCTGGAAAGTCAGCAAAGGGGCATCGCGACAGTCGGGGACTGGCTTTGTTTCCTACCTTGTACCAATGCTTCTTCACACTTCCTTCGGTTCGCTGCGGAAACGTCTATAAAGCACGCGATCAGTTACTTGGTACGTCTGGCAGGCGCTGTGTGTTTGGAGTGAAGAGCTAAAAGGGAAGCAGTGACTGCGACATGGCGCACCTTTGCAATCTCACTCCAGCTGTTGCCCGCATCTCTCATTTGCTTGAGTCGCAATTCTTCGGCTGGGGTCCATGGTGTGTTGGTACGACTCTTTTTGGCCTTTGGTTCCTGGACAACGTCTGGTTGAGGGGGCGGGGGTAATGCTGCACTGGTTGCGTGGGTTTCTACACTGCTTTCTGTCGCACCGGCCATGGGCTCGTGCGAGTGTCCGAGTGTGACCGACTTGCGCTTCCGGCTGGTGGGAGAAGGAAGTGGCTGCTGAGGGCCGAGATGGGTGTCTTGAGCCGGGGCAGTCAACGGGGCGGCCGGGTGTAGAGTGGGCAGGTCGGCAGGTGCAGCAGGACGAGCTGTCGGAGGCAGGTTGGTGGTCATTGGCGATGGCTTCAAGCTGCGCTTGGTGGAGGGCGGGGAGCTGTCGGGAGCCACGACGTCAGCATGCGCGGCAAACAAAAGAGCAAACGTCAAAGCAAGAATGCAATGGCAAAAAGAGGTCTTGCAGCCGGGGCCAGGGCAGGGCAAAAGCAGCTGGAGAGACTCACGACATGGCGGCAGACGGGACGAGACGAGACGGGACTCAACGAGGATAAGAGGTTAGCCAGGCGCGGGGGAGGCGCGACACAAGACTGCTTCACTGGAGAGCGCGAGGAGAGGCTATGTCAAGCAGTGTCATGCCGGTATATTGCAGCTTGGAGAACTGCCTTCAAAGAGTACGACGGCCAGAGTAAAGGCAACAAAGCATCATGATATCCAAGTAGGGCGGTCGGCTGCAGGAGCGAGCGCTGATCAAGTACAAGGAATACAAAGGAGGTCAGGTTGGCAGGAGGCTGGCGAATGAGAGGGGGGGCAGTGGCAGCATGGTGGAGGACGAGACAGAGGCAGTGAGGTTGAGTGGGCGGATGCTAGCGGGGGTTGGCGGCGGTGCTGGGGGGGGGGCAGGTGGGTAGGGGGTACATGTGAGTAGGTGAAGTCATGGTGGAGGACAAAGTACAGATACGCGGGGACGCGGTGCAGACAAGAAGCGGGGTAGCCGGCTCTAGGGGCCAGGCTTAGATGAACAGGTGGCTGGCGATTGAATGTTACCGCGACAGCAGGATGGATGGATGCTGCGAGGGCGGGGGAGAGAGGGAGAGAGGGAGAGCGAGCGCAGCGCGTGACAGGCGAGGTGCATGCATCGTGGACTTGATAGTACTAATGGGTGCAGCAGCAGCAGCAGCATGTCGCCGGCATGGCGTCTTGCGGCTGTCGAGTAGGTGAGTGAGTGGGTGAGTAAATGGAAGCAATGGTAAGTGTGTGAGTACCAAGTAGATGTACACAGCGGGGCGGGCGAGGCAGGAGAGAGAAAGCAGAGAGAGTGCATGTTGTGTGAAGCAGAGTCATGGCCTGGCGGGTGGGAGGTGACGCGCAGGCCGTGGTCGCATGCAAACGAGTGGTGGTTGGCGATGATCACGACTACGACTACGACTACGACGACTACGACGTTGGGCACAGGGAAGCGCGGTAGACAAAAGTCGCTGTCCAGAAGCGGGGCAGGCAGGCTGGTAGCGTGTGCGTGCATGGGCCGGGCCCTCATCGGTAATCAACACCATGGCCGCTCCTTGCCCATGGGCCCCAACCAGCCTGAGAGCGTCACATAGAACCGACATCGTCGCCTGTTGCTATCCTGTTATTGTTGCTGTTGTTGTCGTCGTCGTCGTCGTCGTCGTCGTCGTTGTTGTCGTTGTTGTCGCCGTCACTGTCGCCATGCATACAAGGCACCCGCTGGACATGTAATGTACATACATGTAAGTAAGGTATACGCTTGTACTTACATACTAGTACGTACACACATATTGCGCTGTGTGAGCAGCCACCCACTTACTCATTCACCCCCAGTCTTGTCCACTCCGGCACTGCCATCGGAAAATCCTCACCAAACAGCGACAGCACTCGCACATGAACAAGCACACAGTTAGTGGGCAATGCGGGGGAATTAAAGGCTGCCTCAAACATGCTGTCGCTGCCATCAGGCCATCAATCGTTCTCTCCACGCTCGCCTCTGCTGGCGTGCATGCCAGCCAAGCGTCAGCTCCAGCCGCCCTGACGCAGCGCCAGTATCACCACAAGCCACAGGTGTTTGAGAGAACCGCTCAGGCTGGACCCCGCCACTGACCGCCAGTCGCCAGTCGCCGGCCGGCCCATCGCTGCTGTCGCTGCCACCGCTGCCAAGTGCTTCCGCCTGAAATGCCTGCCTGATCTGTTGATGCTCATAGCGGAATCCCCTCGACCCGAACTTGCTCTCGTTTCGCTCGTCTCACACAGCGTCGTCAGCACCGCCTGTCCATGTTGCGTCTGCGCCCCCCAATCTCCCCCATCTGCCCTCGACTTACTCGCGAGCTGGTGTCCGACAACTGCAATTGATGGAGCCAGCCAAGAAGAACCGTATCATTACCACCAAACCTCGCCGATCTTCCATGGCCCATGTTTCCCCTCAACGCCATTGGCGAAGCCGCCCGGGGCACAGTCCCCTACATACCCTGTCACTGCGTCTTCTGGGTTAGCCCCCGCCGTCACGACGCTCTGGGCGCTGCTTGTTTCCCTGTGGGCCAAACAACGTCAAACCATTGCCTCCGTCAAAACTGCATCAAGTCCGACGCGCGCGGTTTTGAAACTCGCCCCGTGAACACGGATGAGGCTCACTCCCTTATGCGCCCCACTCGCCTGCCCAAGGGCCCCAGGCATCAACATTGAATGCGACCACAAGTCCGTTCCCCTTCCGGCTTAACATGTCTCGTGTCAAGGTTCTTCCAAACATTCTGGCTACGAACGCCCGTCATGCCCCATACCGCCGATCAAGATTCGAGTAGCAGAAGCGACGGTTTGAAAACGTTGCCAATGTCACAGACTGCCACTCCTCATCAGCCTAGTCTACCACCTCCAAGACAAACCCGTTTCCTGTCCTGTGTCCAAACTCTATAATTACTCGGCTGCCCCAAGTTTCGAGGCCTCAACCGCATCTGTTCAATCGGCAATCAGTCTTTTGTTTTCTTAGCAGCCTTGTAATACTCTCTTTTACATCCCCACTGGTTTGGGCTGCCCTACATTCACTTAATCCACATTGCTGTGCAATCTACTTGTCCTTACCGCATAATACCTTCTTTTTCAGAGCTAGACTCGATCACCGCGAACAGACTTCTTTATTCAAAACAAGACGACTCGGCACGACTTTTACAAAAACAATCATCTTGCCAGCTCCCGAGCTACTACAACTCTTCAACTATCAACATGCTTCACCACCAGCCCCAGATTCTCTCCCCTCTCCCCGAGATGAACTCGCAGTCCCCTACCGATTCTTCCAGCCTTCGTGCTCGCAAGATGTCGGCCGGTGGAAACAGGTCCTGGTCCGAAGAAGAGGTGAGCTCCTTGTTCATGCCTATCAAGCTTCCCCCGTTTCTAACATCAGACAGGAAAACTACCTCCTCCAGACCCGCATGCAAAAGATGCCTTACAAGCACATTGCAGCCCACCTCAAGAAGACTGAGCTCGCCTGCCGCCTCCACTACCATCAGCTCTCTCACGGTAGCCACCGCCGCAAGCGCAACAACTCTGTCTCCTCGACCACCTCGTGCAGCTCTGCCGGCACTTCTGCTGCCTATGGCATGGTCGCCGAACAGGATGCCTACTCCCAGTCGTCTCGTCACAGCTCTCCTATGAGCTACACGGGCAGCCCCCATGTCCGTGCTGGCTCGGTATCCAACTCTCCCGGCCGTTCGCAGCACAAGATTCTCCTCCCCAAGCCTCGCACTCTTACCCCTTGCGGTTCGCCCGAGCCATACAATGGCCTCCGCATTAACACCGAGGTTGCTCATCAGCCAAAGGTTGTCGATACCGATCGCCTTCGCTCCATCTACGAGGCTCGCCGCCAGCAATTCTGGGCCACTGTTGCTGCTGACTACGGTGCGGATGTCTCCCCTGCCCAGCTCGAGGAGATATGGCGCAGCGGCTCCAACGCCGTTCGCCCTCCTACACCTGATGCCTCGCCTGACGGTACCATCATGCACAACCCCGTCTTCAAGCCTGCTCCTTTCCAGTCCTATGCTTCCCCTGCCCAGAGCGAGCCAGCCAAGCACTACAGCCCCATGAGCCAAAACAACGCTAGCGCTATATCTGTTCCGGAGCGCATGCCATATGTCCTCCCCATGCCAGTCCCCTCTTCTGGTCGCCCAAGGTCTTGGAGCTCTGCCCCCAGGGATAACATGCCCATTGCTAGCCTGCTCAACGACGACAGGAACTAGATTGGTTTACTGCCTTGACGTTTCTGTACACGATAAAAAACACATATTTGGCATTTAGGCACATTGGGAATATGCATGTTATGGGTTAGCACGGCTTTCAATTCTTTACTTTCATTAATTCTTCATTCAATCAATGCGTTTTTTTTCCTCTACTCTACGACTCAATTGAACTAGGCATGGCATGGTATATGCGATCTTCTGATATGACACTGCACGCGTTTCGCTTTGGTCTGGCTGGGGCGGAGCTTCTTCCATTCACGTCTCTGGGATTTGTCACTGTTTTCCACTTTCCCTCGTCTTTATTGCATGGGTACTTTATTGGCTACTGGATAGAGCGGGTGTTCTGGCGTTGCAACTGTCTCGTCTTTTTTACAATTGTGGATAACTATAGCTTTAGATAGCTATGTAGGGTCCAGACGTGTGGCGCAACCCCAGGTCTAGAACAAATGTTTCCATATGAACGCCTTCTCCATTTGCTGTGAACCTATGGCGCTAAAACCACATTGTCTTAATTGTGAGTGTGGGAGATATATTATCATCTAGCATTGTATGCGATATTGAACTGTAGTCACCCTGATAATCTCGCTTAAGTCCCATACCTTGTTCTTTCGAGGGTATTAAGCGAGAATGTTGTAACAGGTGTTCGAGACTGCTACTAGCGCTTGACATTTTGCCAGCCGCCATGCTCGACATTGTGGATTTGTGAACCTGTCATTAATCCTCTGCGTGCAGTTTTGAGGTCGCAAGTGGGTAGGACTTATAGTACATTGTGATATTATCGGCGCTTGCTTGCATCGCAAAATTACTTGTTCGCATTCGTGTTCAACAAAATGCTCGTGTCGTGCATAACCCCATGTTGCACAAAACCAAAGGTGGGGTAAATCACCAAACCACAATAGGAGCAGACATGCTTGTTATCGCCCAAAGTTTCTACTACGCATCTGTCATCACCCAGCTTCTTCTCATCTTTTCCGTCTCCATCAAAGGTCGCGATGCATCCTCGGCGGCTACGTATCCCATCTCTTAGCTCCTTACCAAACAAGCATTGTCAATGAACCATCAATAACAAACAAAAGAAAATCCCAACCGCCGGGAACACGGTAAGTTGGCCGTGCACACGTGCCTTATCCCCCGTACCGTTCCTCCGCAATTCCGTATCTTGGTATCCTTTTACTTTTGCGTCTATCTGTTTGATTGAAAGCAATGACACTGCAAACAATTTAATCTCCGAAAAAGTACAGGACATGTCTATCAAACATCAAAACAACTAATGTCCCTCCCGTCCTGCAGGAGTTAACAGCGGCCTTAGTTTCTTTTCCGGCTCTCGCCTTTCTTTCCCCCAGGTTCTTCCCCGCGCACTGGGGCGTTCTTAGGTGCAGATGTTTTCATTTCCTGAGTTCCGTAGCACATGGGGCGCAGGCACACCAGCCACCAAAAAGGGCAAGAACAGCCAGATAAAGTTCAAACAAACAAACGGCAACCGCAACGACATGACCGGTTCATCTCGGCACTCCGTTGCACTTGCTCCCCCACCTTTCTCCTCATAACCCTCTCTTGCCTCTGCTTTCCCCCTTTCCTCCTCAACCACAAAACACCATCACTGCCCAACCCAATTTCTTCTCGCCCACCCACTCGCTACACTGAAACCCTCCACTTCTCGTACTCTGCTGGCGCTGCTGCAGTTGTTTGCGCGCGCGTGTCGGGCGAAAAGAACCAGGTAGCGCCGAACGTACCGTTTGGTTCAAATGTTTCAAGTACAATGAGATGGGGGTCCACGCCCCGCACACCTTGTTCCGAATGATGCCAAACAAAGGTTGCTTCGCATCCATGTATCCGCCTTTGTCCTCCCCGCAATCCCGCAACGGCTATCGCTAATGTGGCTTGGGGACTCGTGAGGGCTTAATTTGCTGGACTGACGATGGTCGTGTTTGTTCGCCTGTCTTCCCGCAGTGCCGGGTGAGGGTTTCTTGACATACTGCTTGATACACGCTATGTTCCTGACCTGCAACGGGTACTATACGATACACAGCGGCATCGCATCCTCCCCTCATCTACACACATCCACTGCATATGAACAAAGTGGGGAAACCCATCAAAATAGCGACACCAAAACAATCCTTCGTCGCGCGCGAGCCAAGTATAAAAAATAGCTATGAAACATTTCACACCGCACCAGTTCCTCCTCGCCCCGCCTTGACTTGCGCACAAAACAATCACCACTGGAATATGAGTTCATAGTAAACATAGGGCTCTACCTTCCTATTCAAACTTCTAGAATAATACGTACCGAGGTTCACCGCACCCTTCAGCCTCAGCATCAACCCGAAAAACCACAAACGGCGTTTCTTTCCTCTTTCCTCTTTCCTCTTTCCACATTTCTCGGCACGCACTACGCGATTCCCCGCATTTCCCGCAGACGCGAGACGGAACTCACCGTTATCGGAAGGCGGGTGCTCGCTAGAGCCCAATAAATCACCAAAAAATTTCGAAAAATCGTACGATTTTTGTGCTGTCAACTATGTAGTTACCATGTCCCCTTGTGGGAAGGGGGGATTTGTGAGCCCTTTTAGGTAATTAGGCATGTTGATCGCTCGGTATGAACAGAGGCAGTGCCGTGCCCTAATCGATTACTATAACTCGCTAACGTCAGGTTACCCTACTACTGTCATCGTTGCGCCAGCGATAGATTGCTACGTCAAGGTAGTATTCTTGCTTTTCTGGGGGCATCGTGTTTGTCCTCGGTTGTCCTGTTCCTGGTACTTCCGGTGAGCAAAAAAGAGAAGCAGAAGAGGAGGGTCCACACAAGTTGGGAAGGCATGAAAAGGGAGGTTTTCTCGGTGAATTAGTTACTTCCTCGTTGCATTCGACCTTTCCGTCTTGGATTCGAAATCTCCCACATGTTGCGCATGCGGTGGGAAGGAATCAAGGGTCCGCAAGATTAGGTATACGATCGCATTTCATGCGTCTATCTATCTTTCTCGTATCGACCATCTAGAAAGCCGCCTCCTTTTCCATGGCCTATGGCGTCAGCGTGGGTGGTGTGCGTGGTGTTTGCATTCTAGAAGGAGGCATGGTGTTCTTTTCGACCAAGCACACTGCCCCCCCCCCCCCGGCATACCCCTGTCCAAAAAAAGCCACCTCATTTTCGACTTACCGAACCATCGTGCACATCTCCCGTCCGCTGCTCCCTCACCCCCGATGTCATTGCCCAACGCACATCCCCAAACGCCACAGGCTGGTCCCCCCAAAATCTGACTCGCTGATACGGCGGATTATCTGCGGGAAAGCCAATTTCCCAGCCCATCAATGTGGCTGTCACTTGTTCCCTGTAACCAGGACACCGTTTCCATCGAACTCCGATCCTCCTTGATCCCCCTTGATCCTCCCACTCCAACGAGTCAATTCCCATGTCCCTCGCGCCCCGGTGCATCTACCAAGTCTGGATGCGGATCTGCACTCCGGCAGTCCTTGCGCCTTTGTCGGGTCTCTTTGGTGTCGCCCGTCTGCGACTCGACGTGTCGGGCGTCCATGTGGAGATTCAGGGTCTGAGCGCTTCAAGCGGCGTTTATGCGAACTGGGGTTGGAAGGACGTCAAGTGGAGACGGGGACACTCTTGTTTTCTTTTTGCTTTTCTTTGCGCTGGCTGGTGCCTTTAGTCTACAAGGCGCATAAATGTACATTCCTAACGACGTACGCGCGCGATGGATTGCAAGCCTTGTAAGGCTGATGGCTCGCGCCCATGATTTTTGCATGAACAAAGTATAGGTTCACCCCCATCAAGTCATCTTACCACGCATGTTGCTGTGGCGCTCTTCGGTCATATCCGATTGATTCTACTTAGAAAATTGCAGTCGACCGAAGCGTTAGGGAAAGAGGACCGACAATCCGTGACGTGTTTTGCACGTAGTAATCAGAGTTGGCTGTCCACGGTATGCATGCAAGGCATGGGCGGGGGGCATGTGGGCTTGCTGAACAAGGAGTCGTCAGGACTGTGTCACGGAGCTGCGTTGCCCGAATCCAATACACTATATGCTCATTGTCGGTACCGCACGGTGTGACGTTAGACCGATAGTAATGCCGCAAGAAACCCAAGGTGGCTGAGCATGTTCAAGTGGTCGTCATCATCATCAAGGATCTGACTCTGCCTGTACCGTCGCCGACGACGACTCGCAAGCAGTATGGTTATTCGGTTGCGAGCGTCTCCTATGCTCAGGGTCTTGCTCCCCCTTTCCATTGTTGTCCAGCGTCTTCACACCGCTCCTCTCAATATCCCTTCTCAGCTCAGCTTCCTGTCGCGGGTCCTCGGTACCTTTGGCATTGTACTCCTGGTCCATGCGGTGCATGAGCTCTTCGCCAGGTAATAATATACTTCGGTCAATTGCAAAAGGCAGACCTCGATGGCGACCACGAAGCATTGCAAATAGCAACACTACTTTGCTCAAACTGGCAAAGTCGCCGCAGAGGCTGTAGTTTTTACCCGGGACACCGAGGCTGAGGCCGACGGTGCCATATGCTGATGTGACTTCGAATAGTATAGAAAAGACGCTAAATCCGGGATCGGCATTTAAGATGTGACGTCTCTCGATGCAGCAGATTAGGAAGAAGACGAGAAATTGGAACCAGATGTCGTAGGCCAGTTGCTTCTGCAAGTGTGAAGCTACACCAGTAGCACTATTATCACTCTCTTCCAGCCCAATTGATCGTTCTTCGTACGTGTTCGTCTTCCTCAGTGTCAGTGTCATTGGATAAATCGAAATGTACCTAAGCAAACAAAGGAATAAATGTTAGCATAATCTATAAATATCATCCATCCGTGTTTGCAGCAAACTCACATGATGACAAGGTATGCAACCAGACATGCTGGAGCAAGAGAGCTCAAGGAGATAATATACGCTCCACTGGTCCTGAGTCCACTTGCCTGGAAGAGACCATCCAGAATACGTGTGCCAGTCGGAAGAGCCTCGACATCCGGCATACCGATATTGAGAATCTCAAAGCAAAGCCAGGCAGTGACATCAATCACGAACTGTGTGACGAACAAATACAGCGTCTCGCGAGCCGGAAAAAGATAAATGAAGCACCGCCGTGGATGCTGTAACAGAAAATCCATGGTACTCCTGAACCGCGACTGCCTGGGCGCCATCTTCTTCAACCCCCAAATCGTCGCGCGAAGAAAAATCGGAAACTGCGTTTGGCCTGCAAAAGCGACAGTCGCAGAGACGAGCAAGACATAGGAGTATCCGCTAAAAGGGATAAAGTTTGCGTTCAATATGTTCAGACCACCATTTGCAAACTCAGTGGCTGTTGCAAAGAAGCCCCACCAGCCCGGATTGATACCCTCGGGCTGGGCGGTGTATAGCACGTTCTTGATATTTTCCCTGTAAGCATAAGGGAGCAGGAAGGTGATGCCGAGTAGATACCAGAATATCTGGTAGCCGACCAGAATCAAGAGTAAAGCTTGTAGGGCGCGATACTCAACGCCTCCGAGTTCCATGCGATCCGCCTCGCTCAGGTCACGGAAGCGGCCCCTGGAATCCAAGTGCGGTTTGAAGGAGATGTAGTCGTGATGTTCGGGTTTTAGTTCTGTGGCGAAGAAGTCGATGAAGCGGTGGAAGAGGTTCTGTGCGAATTGCGTTTCCCAGGGTGTGGGCATGAAGCCGAAGCCTGTTTCGTAGTGGTAACTGCGTTGGCGAGATGCAGGTTTGATGTTCACTTTGGATGAGTCTTGGTTGTGGGATTGTTTGCCTTGGGATTGAGGGTCTTGAGATACTGTTGACCTTTGTCGTAGGCCTTTGTTGCTACTATTACTGCTTCTGTTGTTTTCAGCCTGATCTGACTGGTGATTTTGTTCAATATCCCGGACTAATCGTTGCATTGTGTGCGAGTGCTTTACGACATCTGCTAGTTTCTTGCGGAACAAAGCTCGTCTGATCAAAACTACGGCTGCGGAGACAAACGGTATGTTGCCGACCATCATGAGGATGGCAAAGGTGGCTTGTTGGTAACCAGATAGTGGGCCGAGATCGACCGGATTGAGACCTGTCTCGTCGTCAGTTGATGGATACAGCCAATTGGTATGACAGAGCTTGCCTGTTGTAGTCATAGCACTACAGCATAAGAACAATGCATCTGTGTACGTCATATGGGCACTACTCAGTTCTTTCGGTCCATCGGCACGACCTTGACCATACACAACCAGTGAGGAGACGAAGATGACGACAATAAAGTATAGCATGTGCGCGCGATAAAAGTTCAATCTGAACACCTCATTTTTCATATACTTGATGAAGTCGTCTTTCGCCTTCCGCGGGCTCTGTAGCTCTTCCAGCGGATCTGTCATGATTGATTCGTCCGTGTCGTCATGGCTGTCAAGTGGCCGCCAGAACGAACTCATAGTCGGCGGTCCAGATCAATTACCTTTGTACTGTCGCTCCAAGCTGCTATAGTTTGTTTCCGGCGTTGATATGTTTTTGTTTTTGTTGTTGGAAGGCTCTGTTGCTAACCTGCTGGGTTACGTTGATGATGTCACTCAATGTCACTTGCTGTAGCGTGTTTCCTAAGCGAATCAATAGCCGCCTGAGACAAGAGGCTTTTGTCGGTCATCAAGTCCCTAGTTGTTTGTGATTGGTTCATGTAATTGACTTTTGACACGTTGTAATTCGTGGCGTTCGCTTCTAGTGATGGTTTGTCGTAGTTTACTTCAACTTGCGCTGACAACCGATTCACACGTACTTCCTTAGTCCTCGATCTTCTGAGGATGGCGTGGCTGACAGAGTACTCTGTAAATATATTATATAGATTTTAAGAGATATAAATATGAACTAATTGTCCCAAATGCCTACATTTTTCTCTCCCAGAATATCCAGCCTCTACCAATAGAAGAAAATGTTTACGAAATCAACTACCAGAACTTGACATACCAGATATTATGAAGCATGTAGGCTGTTTAGCATCCCCAAGAACCACCTTTGCTTACCACACATCATTCACTTGCTAAAGTCGACAAGATACTTTAGTATATCGTACTTGTAGTCCGCATACGCCCCCTGTATTTTCTGAAATTCTTCCATCATACGTTTGGCCAGTTCACCTAGTACATTGTCCTGGTAAAAAAAACCTCACTTGCCCAACGGAAATCAGGAAAATTCAATCTAGAGCACCGATTCTCGGTGTCTTGGACCTGGCGCATGTATTCTGTAAGAAATTCTAAACGAGTGGCCGGATCACGCGCGAAGTTACTTCTTGGTGCCGCTTGAATTTGACTGTTTTTGTGCGGTAGGGATACGTGACGTGCGCGCTTTATGGCTCCCGAGATTGGGTGTTTGAGGAGGACTGGGTGATCATGTTGACATTCAACAGGTCCAATGAATACTAATTTGTTTTTTACCTAGTCATCAGGTCTTTTGTAAACAATGGATCGGTCCATTTCAGGAAACGCGGCTTTGTAGAGTATCAAGCGCAATTCCTGTGGGAGTCCGGATGAGTCGGTAAGACCGTTGTTCACAGCGAAGTTGCAGAATTTCTTCGTGGCCTGTGTTTGGGTCCCATCTTGCTTTAGATCGTTAAAGACTGTGTGATCGGGCTTTTCGCCAGCTTCGCCTTCATCTGCGCGGGTACCGTCAGTCTTGTGACATGATGATGTTGGTGTAGTTTCAGTCTTGCAAACCAACTTATGCGGGTTTCCTAAAGCTGTAGTTGTAGAGACATCCATGGCTAGAACGTTGACTATGAGGAGTTAGGTAGATCAGTCTTGACCGAGTTTTGGGAGGGGAAGTGTAGGTACCAGTGTGATTTTGCTGAGGAAGCAAGAGTGTTTGATGTTTGTAGAGAGAAGACTGAACAAGTTGTAGAAAGCACCGTCGGATTGTGAGGAAGGAAAGAAGCAACTGTGATTAGTGCCAGACTCAAGTAGGTAGAGTATCACTCAGAACGTAGTCAAGGTAAAGGACAATATAAGAGAAGAAGGTTAAGCCGCACAAGGAAGAAGACACACCATCGTGTCAAGCGGGTGACACAAGTGATACTATTACCAGGTAGCTTTCCCAGGCGTGTTTTTGTAAGAACAGTAAAATGGACATGCGCTGATTGGCCAGTGTAGCAAATCATTAGACTACCAAGACAGGAGTTTGCGCGAAGAATGCCCAATTAGGAAGTTATCCTCCCTCACTGTAATATTACCTGCAAACTGTTCAATCACATGTAAACATGTTCACATGCTCACTTAGATTAGGGCGTTCCACCCTATCATATCACCAACAATCACTTAATAAGAAACTCTATTCTTCTCACCGCTTACATCGCTAAACGTTCAAAAAAAGACAACCGATTATTCCAATCCTGCAAGCGCTTGTGCTTGTGCTTGCGTGCTACAAGCACCGGATAAGCAAATGCGCAAAGTGGAGAGAAAAAAAGCACCACCAAGTGGAGTTGTTCTTCTCCGCCACACCAAAAACAGGTACCTGAACCCTGGCGCGGTTCGGTTCCATTCAAATGCGCGGCGCATTTCGCCTCCGGCAATAGTACGTATTGGGTAGCCCAGCCTAGCCCCAACCACTTGCGAACCGATGAACAGCAATCGCATTCAAATGCAAACGCCAGCAACTGCATCACGCGACGGGAAGAGAATGGACAGACACGAGGTATGTGTGTGTGTGTGTGTGTGTGTGTGTGTGCGCGACATAATTTATTTCTAGTCCGATCGGAATTCGGAATGACAAAGCAGCACAAGCTACATAGCAAGCGACGGGGTGTGGTGGGTGACTCGATCCTTTTCTCACACCGTCAGATAGGCGCCCTGTCAAAACGCTTGCACCCCGCAATGACGGCGGGCTAAGCCGCTCGTGGTTATGGGTCATGGGGACGGCGGCGGCGGCCGACTCAAGCAAATGCGACCGCGCATTCATGTTTGGCGATGTGACTGTTACCTCTCTCTTTTACTACCCAGCCTTCTTCTTTTCTCTTTCGCTCCCTCTTTTGCCCTTGAGATTAGCTACTAGCTACTAGCTACTGCTGGCTACTAGCTAGCGGAGCAATAGCATGCGAACACCGCAATCACCGCCGTCATGACAGAACACCGGCTACCAGTTAAGCAACTGGTTATTCTATGTACGTTTTTATTTGTTGGCAATGCTGCGTGCGTTTCTCTAATTCCTATGTGCTTGTCGCTGACCTTGTATGGTATTGTAGCAATATGCCGCTTTTCCGAGCCTATAGCCTTGACTTCGGTCTTCCCGTACGTCCCTGAACTTATGGAATCCTTTGGTATTCCCAAAAACGACATTGCGCGATGGGCTGGTATTTCTTCGTCGATATTTTCCCTCTGTCAGGCATTTACCGGTCTCTTCTGGGGCGCAGCATCGGATCGCTATGGCAGAAAGCCAATTATACTGTTTGGCCTGTTCAATACCATGTGGACGATGCTGTTATGGGGTTTTTCTGTCAATCTGCCCATGGCGTTGGTGGCGCGCGCTCTGGGGGGTCTTTCGAATGGAAATGTCGGCATCCTGCGAACGACCGTGGCAGAACTGTGTCCGTGGAAAGAGCTGCAGCCTAGGGCTTTCAGTGTGATGCCCCTCGTATGGACTGTGGGCGCAACATTTGGACCTACCCTCGGTGGTGCGCTTGCGAATCCGCTGGGCGTAGATCCGCGGAAACCACGAGGTACCGCATTTCTGGAAAGATTTCCCTACGTTTTGCCAAATATTGCCGCCGCCATATTCTTCACCATAGGGATTGTTGTTGGCTGGTTGTTTCTCCGGGAAACGCTGGAGAGCAAGAAGCACGAGCCGGATCTAGGACTGAGGGCCGGCGCCCGACTAACATATTTTGTCCGGAAACTGCTGCGTTTGAAGACGGAGGGAAAGGGTCTGGATGGCGAGAGTGAACCTCTTCTTGGCCGGCAAAAGGCAGTAGACGCTGAAGCAGCTACTTCGCCTCGCGTGAAGAAACAGAACAACAAGGAGAAGACGCCCTCAGTTCGAGATGCTCTGACGTTTCAAACATCAATGAACTTGGTTGTATATACGCTGCTAGCTCTGTACTGTCAAGCATACGATCAGGTAAGTTCATTTTACAAGTCGATCTACCACTGCTAACCACCTATAGCTGCTTCCAGTATTTATGCATCACCCTATCCAGCTCGACTCTGATCCCGCAGTCTCGCTCCCGCTCAAGTTTGCAGGGGGATTTGGTCTCGAGTCGCGCCGGATTGGTCTCATCTTTACCCTCTTTGCCATTACGAGCACACTATGCCAATTTCTGCTCTTCCCACCGATTGCTCGCCATCTTGGCGTGCTCCGTTGTCTCCGCATCGCCTTTATCATGTTCCCGATGGTGTTTTTTATGACGCCATTTTTGTCGCTTATTCAGGACCCGATTTCGCGGCAGATTGCGATGGTATTGCTGTTGGTGGTTAGAGGAGTCGCAGGTACATTTGCATTCCCGACGAGCACCATTATGCTCACGAATAGCGCGCCGAGTCTACGCGTGTTGGGAACGATTAATGGACTGGCCACAAGCTTCAGTGCTGTTGGCAGGGCGGCCGGGCCGACGCTGGCGGGCGGATTGTTCACGTGGGGCGTCAAACGCGGCTATGTGATTGTACCCTTTTGGACATTATCTATGATTGGATTTGCTGCGTGTATCCCGACATTATGGCTCGTGGAAGGAGAGGGGTTCGGTGAGGATTCCGACATTGACGACGAGGAAAACACCGTCGAGGTTGTGCAAGAGGAAGAGGAATGTGCGGTAGAAAATGGAAGGGCGTCGGTGCTACAGGATCGCGACGATGCAGTGCAGTCAGAGTCGGAGTTTGGAGATCTGGGCGAACCGCCGAACCTGCTGAGCCTCACGACGACACGATCGAGCTTTGGGATAGTATCAGACGATGAGGATGGCGGAGGAGAGCATGCGGCACAAAGATGGGTGGGGCATGGCCTGGAGCCGGCGAGAAGTCATTCACAAAGCAGGAGACGGGCAGTCCGAAGACGATCGTCAGTGCCTATCGGTATGGGCATCGGGTTCCGGCGATACAGCTCCAATCTCGGCAGCACGGGGATTGGAGGGGGAGGTGCGAGTTGGGGAGGTGCATAGAATGATGCATGTGGTGGTGGTGCATGGATTGATGGTTGGAGTTTGGCGTTTGATATAGTTCAGTGGGTCTTCCAGATTGTTGCCCGATGGGGCTAGGCGGGGTTACAGATGATTAGTTAGCTGCGGCTGACAATGAAACACGAGGACACAACAGATGGGGCAGCCCTAGAGGAGGGTAGCATAGCGTAACATGCACACGTACAATAGAGCGTATACAGCGTATAGAGGGACCTCGTTTACATGATGTACGATAAAGGGCATAGGCGGGACTCTGGTATGCATGAGCAACAAAGTCACACAGCTGCAGGCAGAAAAGCTTACGGAACTAGCGGCAGGTCTGGCGGTGGCGAGGATTCCGAGGGATCCTATGGCAGAGCATGGAAGGTCAGGCCTGTCCCGCGTTTCCAGCTGCAAGCGTAGGGGGGTTGGTGGGTAGCCTCAGGTTTAGGCGGGGCCCGAAGAGCGGTCCACCACCAGACGAACAGGAAAGGCGAGCTCCCAGCCCGGTGTTGCAGTTGCAGCATACCGTCACAGGGGCGCGTGTGAGCTGGCTGGAGCTCTGCCAGCGTGTCGCCGTTGCAGGATCGCGGGCATGCGTGTGTACATATGGGTGCAGTTTGTCATCTGGCCGAGTGCCAGTATGTATGCAGTGTCCAAACTGTGCAGCTGCCGTGGCGGTCAGAAGCGACCCAGATTTTGCGCCATGTGGAAAGATACGAGTTCACGCCCACCAACGGGGCACCGGTGTTGCTGTAAATAGCACACGCCGCCTGCATCACACAAGACGTGTTGGCATTAGCGTGCTGGCGGCAGATCGGCCATGGGCAGCCAGCCTGAATGCAGCAACGTGACCTCCGACCGACATGGCTGGCTGCTGCAGCCATACAAATGCACACAAACACAACCTGATAGACATTGGCCGACCTCCCCGGTCTGGCGCTGCTGATAATCGCCATGCTCGCAACTTGCTTTTGCCATTGCTAGACTCCTCGCCTGCGACCACCGACGACTGACGCAGACATCGACGCGGACCATGGCTTCCAAGCCTACTTGACCCGAGCCCTGCCACCATACCCCTCGACTAATCCTCACCACCCCTCCCCCATTGTCGGCTTAGGCACGCTGCAACGGGGCCTACCATGGTGGGTATGCCCGACCATCTCCACAGCTCCGTTCCCACGACGACGACGACGACGACTGCGACTGCGACTGCGACTGCGACTGCGACTGCGACTACGACTGCGACTGCGACGACCAGGACCAAGACGACGGGGCTGCCAGGCGCTCAGGGCAGAGCAAAGGCAGTCGCCTTCACTGCCAATGACGCCACCACCCAGCCAGGTCGGGCGGCATATCAACAACGTGCCCTCGCGGCCTCTATAAGCTCGGAAGACTCGGGCGACGATGACCTCCTGCACACGTTGCTCTCGGCCTCTTCCATTGTCAACACCGACGCCCTCTCGTCCTCGGGTCACTCGACGGCCATGACCTCGGCCACCACTTATGACGACCGACCCAGCCCTGAGACGCCACCCACAACCCTACCGTGTGCTCACCCTACCCTCTCACTCCTCGAACTCGTCTCCAACACAGCATCGTCTTCTGCCCTGCCCGACAGCTTTGACGTCAACGTCTCGCGCAAGGGCGGATTCGTGGCCGTCTACTCTGCCTCGAATCTGTTTCTGATAAAGACTCTTGAGCTGCCACGATTGTGGGCCCGGACGCTGCAAGTCAAACGCAAGCCCATTGCCATTGACATTACCGAAGATGGCTTCCTCCTGTCGGTCCTGTCGCGACCCTCCCAAGTCGACCTCTACGAGATACATGGCGAGGGAACCGACCAGATCAAGAAGAGGCGGACCATCATGCTGGTACACGAGGCTAGCTCCATTGTCGTCTCCCCAGATGCACGCATACTCATAACGGGGAATAAATTCGGCATCGAAGTTATAGCTATTGGTCCTGAAGTACCTGAAACTCTGCGACGTACGCTCTCGGGACCTGCAGGGGATGCGCTGGAATTCTCAGATGATGGGAGGACTCTGCTCATCACGGGATATGCGAGAAAGTCGGATGGGTCTGCCTTGTTTGTTCTGCCTGGCTTGTACGACGGGCCCCTCACCGAGGAGGGGGAGCCAATACCACAACCACCCGAAGCCGCATGGACGGGCTCGGTCCTGTTTCCAGAGACAGCAAGGATAGCGCGTCAGGCTACACTTCTTCCAGACGCGGACACTGGCACATTTAACGAACTGTTTGCCTTTAACGCCGAAGAGGATTCTTGGGGCATCTACGACATTGCCTGCCAGCGCTTCACACAGAGGAAAATGTTTCTTCCCGACCACCAACGTTGGACGCGTTCGGAATTTGTCGACGACGCCATGCCTGCGGTATCACCCAATGCTGACCTCGCAGCTGTCGCTCTACGCATCCAGGGCACGACCAATATATGGATCTACCAAGTCCCCGGCTGGGAATACCAACCCAAGGAAAAGTCGAAACAGGAAGCTCCGATTCAGCCCTGCTTTTGTATCCCGATACCCAATGGCGATGCGGGGACGTTGCAAGAGATTTGCGTGCTGAGATGGGTCAGGCTGAACGCCAATGTCCAACGACTCGTGGCTGTTGGAAATTCGAGCACAGTGCCTGACGAGAACGAGGTCCTTGGCGCGTCTTTGGGATCAAACGGAGTACTTATTGTTCTCGATTTCGACAAGACGAAACCTCTTGGAAGTGTTCCGCCAACACCACTGAAGACAGAGTATGACCTCGATCCGCTGTGTCCTGGGGAGATGCTACCAGAGGGGTCGATTGACTTTGACCGCGAGGTTGAATTGGTACGGACCAGAACCATTGCCCAACGTAGGGCTCAGGACCGCAGCGAATCGGTATCGCGGAGAAACTCGAGAATTGGATCCACGCCTATACAACGTGCAAATACTTCTGCTGCGAATCAGAACGCGCCGCGGCCGGTAATAATAACCGACGAGTCTGAAGAGTTGACGCCAGAGGAGGCACAGGCTCTGTTTGAAATTCCATATGACAACCAGCAGCCGAGGTCGCAGATGTCGCTAGCTAGAGCTGCTACTGTGGCTGCCGTATCTCCTGCCAACCGACGGCATCTACGGTCCTTGCCGTATAGGCCCCTGGAGTACCGTCGTGCAGATGGACACCGAGAGTTACCTCACGAGAGTGACGCGGATAATTGGGTGCCACCACCACCAGCATACACAGCTACAGCGGCGGCGGCACAAAGCGTTAGCTTGAGCCATCCTGATGCGCCTCCAGTGCCACGAGCGCCTAGTGTACTGTCATCGTCCTCCATGCCTCCCGCCTCCACATTACCGAATACGTCTGTACGCATTTCACAGGTGCCTATGCATCTGTACCAGCAACGCCAGCAATCCATCTTGAGTAACACATCCTTTGCCCCAGACCAGGAAAGAGGCCGCAGACCAACTCTCATCCATCCATCTACGTATCCTGCACCGCACCCCTCGGACCCAATGCAAAGTCGACGGAGTTCGTCAGTACGCCCCTCAGCAGGTCAAGTGCCATACTCCGCACATCCGGCGCCTTCGACATCCACATACAGGTCTCCTCACCAAACTCCAGTAAGGAATCCGGTCTCAGAACACGTCAACCGCGATCTCTACTCGCCTCCTTCGGTATCATCATCCGACCCAGCAAACACAGGCTCCCGCCGCGTCTCCGCACCACACATACAACGCCGGCCTGTTCCACAAAATGCTTCTGTTCCTGCTCCCTACTCCAATTTTTCTCCATCAGCATTGAGACCAAGCGTAGACCCAAGAATGGCCGCTCTGCCACCGCTAATACCGCCGACAACTCCCCACCAGCGGTTCGCGTCTCCCCACCAACTCCCCACCAGCGCGCCCCCGCTTGCCAACCATGCAGCCAGTTTCTCACACCGAGCCGCAGTAGCGCAGACGCGAGGACAGTCGCTGAGTGCACGGGGTGGTGGCTCGAGAATGGACACTCGTCAAAATGCAGATTCAGAAGGAAGAGATAACGGAAAGAAGGCAAAGAGGAGGACGCATTGTGTCATTATGTGATAAGTTTTAGAGGGTGCGCGATGGGGAGTAGATGTATATATCGAGGTTTTGCAAAGTGAAGGAGGCATGCAAGTAAAGTATCATGACTGATGGATAGAACGGTTTTTTATTTTCGGTTGTTTATGTATATACCCATATCTTGAGCTCTTGTTTTCTTCTTTTTTTTTGCTGCATTGCTTTGTTGTTAGATGGGATGATAGTTATGCATTGTTTGGCGTGGGGGGTGGAGTGCATTGGGCGTGATAGAGGAGATGTGTTACAGCGCATGACTAAGTACCCTGTGTGGTGTGCTTACTCGACGACGGAATGGAGTGAGAGAGAGAGAGAGAGAGAGAGAGAGAGAATTTATACGTTAGATACCCTTTATTCCCATTTTGTGGGAAAGTAGAATACATGCATTTTTCTGGGGGAGATCAACAACGCTTGCTTTTTTTGTTTTGTTTTTTTGCTGAGCAACGTGCATGCGGGGAAAGACGATGAAACGACGTGAGGAGTTTTTCTTCTTCCGTTTCTATTCTGGAGCTGGATTGCAAAGCAGGAAAAAAAGCAAAAATTGGGTTGGGTTGGGTTGGGGGGGTCCATAGTTGCAGAAAGAGGGTTGTGGAGCTCGGTCACAAAAGCAAATACGAGGCTTAACTGCACATCTTCAAACGACAATGTCACAAGTGGCACTCAGAAGACTCTCAGTTTATGCAATCAGCCAAAAGCTAATATATTTCTGTCGATATCCACAACAGCGTGTGATGTTCAAATCAACAACGCAGAGCGACACCATCCCACCAGAACGAGAAAGCCAATAATAAACACGAGTGGTATAAGCGATCATTCCATTAACCAAAGAATTTTTCCCTTTTGCTAGTCAACGAACACAGCGGGTACTAGCAACCTCATCTTTCGCAACCTCGAGGCAACAATTGAAGGAGAGAAAAAAAGCGAAGATGCTTAGAGCATGAAGGCAACGACGGCGGCAGCAGCACCGACGAGGCCGAGACCAGCGGAGAGACCAGCAGCGGCGTTGGTGGTCTGCTCGGGAAGAGGAGGAGTGGTGCTGTTACCGCCAGTGGGCTTGGGGACAGTGCCGTTGGGGTAGAGGCCACCGGTACCGACGGCCGCAGGGGCAGAAGCCATGGTAGTGGGGTAAGGAGCAACAGAGGCGACCGAAGAAGGCGCAACGGGAGTGTGGGCAGGGTAACCAGCGGGAGCAGACGAAGCAGGGTAACCTGCTGCGGGCGCAGATGAAGGCGCAACGGAAGGAACAGCAGACGAAGGCGCAACGGAAGGAGCAGCAGACGAAGAGACGGTACCGCACTTGCCGGCGGAGATACCGAACTGGGTGCTGTACTGGTACTGGCCGGTCACATCGTCGATGATCTGGAGTCCGTAGCCCTGGTTGGCCTCGGTGATGGGGAGGTCAGCGGCGGGGGTCCAGGTCAGGCTGCCGCTGTTCTTGATGCCCTCGGCGAGAGAAGGTCCGAACTTGACAACGTTGGTGGCAGGGCCCTTGAGGAGGAGGACCGAGACCGAGTTGGGGGTGGTGGGCTCCCAGGTGATGGTGAAGGGCTCGCACTTGGGGACAACCTAAGGGGCGACGAGTCAGTTTTTCTGTTTGTTTGTGTGTTTTGGATTTGTATGGAAAAACGTACCTCGTTCAAGGGACGGGTGATGGGGTTACCCTTTGGGTCACCGACGGCAGGGTGGATCTGGGCGGCGGCGAAGCCAGCGAAGATGGAGACAATGGTAGCCTTGGAGTACATGGTGTTTGTTTGGTTTTTGGTTGTGTGGGTATTAGATTATCGCTGGGATATCGAAGGAATATTATGTAGCTTTACAAAAGCAAAGATTGGGTAAAGAGTGACGACTGTGGGAGGAGTTTCTTAAAGAAAGGCTGAAGCAACGAATGTCTTCTGAAGGCTGCAGTAATATACTGTAGGATGGGAGGAAAGAGAAGAAACGCGACTGAGGCGGCACGGCATGCGCATTCTTATTGAGAGCGGCCCCCAAACGGTCCTATGCAGGGATAGAGGAATTGGCTAGTGCTGACAGGAGATTGGACAGAACTTTGTGCACGTCGGCACTACTCTTGCTTCGTACCTGAATTTGTCCCGCTAGGCCTGAAGAGCATCTCATCTGAGCGCCTGGAGCCAATGGCGCCCCGCTGGGAAATTGCAGCCAGGTCATGTTGGAGACAGCCAGGAGGGTTGGTGGCGGAACCGGTGAGGTGCCTGGCCCTGCTCGCACGGCCTATTTCTGGAGATTGAAGCCTGGAAGTGGTGCATCGGAAGGACGCCTGAAGGGAAAACAAAGGAGCTCCGCGCCGCCATGCCCGTTTACTCGTCTGCCAACCTGCGGGAGATGAGCGCACGCGCGCGAAGCATCTGACGACGACGACGACGACTAGGATGCCATAGCACAATTAACTGACGCTATCGACATCGTATCTGCCGTGGGCCTCAATTCGATATGTCTGTGTGTATATAGCATACTGTGTACATACATACATACATACATACATACATACATACATACATACATAGGTGCGATATATGCGCGCGCGCTCCCCCCCTTGTGTGCGACCACTCACCGCCCGCAATTTGACAGCTTTACTAGCCTCAGGAACAGTCATGCAGACTACCGCCAGCACTGCCCCTTGCCCCTCTCTTAGGCCGCCCTCTAAAAAAGGAGAGCATTGCGCTTGGCGCCCTCCGTCGTCTTGCATCATCCTCATCTCTGACAAGCGACCTGCACCCGTCATAACCATCCATTGCATCCTCCACCGACGACCAGGCCTTGCGCTTGTCTGGCCACAATAAGCCCGCAAATTACCGCCGTCCGCCGACTCCTCCAATGGTCATCGCCGTCAAAACTAACCATGCTGCGACTCCACACTGCGACACGGACATTTGCTCTTGTTTCAGTATGCTTGTTGGGATTCAATTCATCTTTAGAATTCGACTAACTAGGCTGCTAAATTCATGTCATATGTACAATGCGCCGACTACAGCTCTCTTGGCCCATCTTCACAATCAGGGGGCCAACATCCTAGAAACAACTTACTCGTAACCAGCTCCTGAAACCGTGACATTCGTGCGCCAGGTAAACTCTGTACTTAAAGCTTGCAAGGTGGGGCCCCGGGTGGAAAACGAGTGAACGCGTCGGGGTATCTTCGAAGCGGAATGGGATTCATAACATCGTCATCTCGTCATCTCTCGTCAGTGCGCAGCTCGCACATCTCTCTTGCCCATGGAGCGGGCTTCGTGTGCAGATCATCGTGCAACAGCAGCGGAGAATAGCAAACTATCTGCGCACTACCTAAATGCCAAACTGCTTACTTAGTTGCACTGGCCAGGGACTGGTGGCTGTCAGCTTCAGGCTCATACAATGTCAAAACAAATGCAAACAAGGGGTCGCGTTACTCACACTTTCGCGAGGTCAGTGGCTGTGGGAAGACGCCGTTGGCTAGCAAAGCCTTCATATCCCACTCTGGCGAGCTCTCCGTCTTCCAGGTCCAGAAAATCCATCCGTTGGCCATCTCGAAACCATCAAGCTGTGCCTCAATGTAGCGTCGCATGCCCGTCTTGTAGTCTTCCGAAAGGTTGGCAACAGTGCCGGTATACTTGCCGTCGCAGCTGCCGACCCTGGAGCTTCCGTCAAGAGTGCCGTCGTAACGCGCGCCCTTGTCCTTGCCGTTCAACCACTTGGTGCAGTCGGTCATGGCACCAGTCCACTCTCCGGAAATAGTCCATTTGCCGGTCGATGCCATTTGCCTACCAAAGCCGCAAGCAGTCTTGACATGGTCGTCGACGCTCATGGCAACGGCCGAGTTGTCGAAGATTTCGTAGTGGTGAGTGTCGAGAAGCAAGTTCCACATGCCGCTACCCCACTGGTTCCACGAAGTCACGCCTTGGAAGGCATCGTGGAACGTCACAGCAACACCAGAGTCTCGGAGGTTACCCCAGCCATCCATGTAGAATTGTCGGACAGTGTTCATGTCCAGGGCCGGACCCAGAGGCTCGTTTAGGAGCTGGATAGCGGCGACAGCAGGGTGTGATGCATGATCGTCGCGGAGCTTGTTCAGCACTTTCTTGGTGTAGTCGACTGAGTCGCCTTGAGTCCAGCTAACCGAGCCGCGCTTGCCCGAGTTGTCGAAGCCGTTCTGCGACCCGGGTGCGCCATGGAGATCGATCATGACCTTGAGACCTGCGGCTCCGGCCCAGTCAAGGGCTTCACCAAACTTGTCGTAGGCTCCAGCAATGTATGGCATATCGTCACGTGGAAGTACGCTCCACCAGCCAATTGGAATTCGGACCATGTTGAGACCGGCGGCAGCCATCTGCTTGAAGTCATCCTGAGTATACCATGTGTTCCAGTGGTTTTGCAGCATGGACTTTGCCGCGTCCCTGCCCATTGCTCCAGCAAGCGTGTATTCATCAATTGCGCCGTTGCCTTCGAAGATGCTGGGAGTGATCCAGGGTTCAAGCACAAACCAGCCACCAGTGTTGACTCCGCGGACTTTTTGCCCACCAAAGTCAAATGATGGTGTTCGGTAACCTTGAGATTGTCGTTTCACAGATTCCAGTGGAGATGCGTTTGTGCTCATAGCGAGCAGACCAATGGCCGCTGCAGTAGTCCAACGTCCGACCATGATGAGATAGATTGTGTTACTCAACTGATTGAAGGCTCAAAGAGATAGCACTTGTAATAGATGAGGATAGAAGAAGGTTGTTTGCTTGGTGTGCTTGAGTTTCGAGTTGAACAAAGCCTCCAGACCGGGGAATCAAGTTGGCTTTAAACCACAACATCAAGACCCGGGCATAGGCCAACACAGCACTCAGTTTGCCCCAATTTTCTCTTCAGTCACACTCACGTAACAGGCATGTGTTTGGTTCTGCTCCAAGACGTAGTGGTGATCCTCACTTCGCGGAGAACTATCCTAGCTAGCGGGAGTAGCCATCCTAGACGCCTTCAGAGCGGTGTCGACCGAGGCGTCTGGGAAGTGACTAACCGTAGTCTGACCAGCGAATGGAAACTTGGCCATGCCTGAACAATGTGTACATCGCTACTCGTTCGGAGGTAGAGGTTCGGTTGGCAATTGACGTGGTGACGCAAGGGCTTGGAAGAAGAAGCGTGAGAAAGCCACGCCCGACTGTCGGACTAACCAATGCAGGAAGCTGTCGTGGATTCAAGCTGCGCAAAAATCGGGTCTCCTAGGCCTCGGCCATGATTAACAAGAAGCGTAAGATCTGGGGTCATGTGCAATCAGGAGGTAAGGCGACAGAGCCACTCTTGGCAGAGGTTGTAGGTGGACCTCAGGTACATGGTACTGATTGGCTGCGGGTGTAATGGCGATGATGTGGGGATCGGCGAGTTGCAGCCACTTAGATGCCGACATGGTGCTCACGGGTTACAGTCAAGCTGCCGAGAAGCTTCCAAGAAGGCGCAAAGAGCTTTGGTGCAATGCTGAAGCTGGGTGGCGGATTGCCTGGCCTAGTGTAGTAGTGGTAGTCGTGGCAGTAGTACATAGTAGTAAACTGGCACTACAGCAGTTGTACATACTGTACATAGTCGCGTGAGACTCTGGTACCGTACTTTGAACTCGGAATTTGTACCGACCACATGTCACCGAGCCTATTCACCGTTAGGACTGCTGCAATGTCATGCACCGCTCCCTGCATGCTACAGTCAGCGTTCCGAGGAAAAGAACAAAGCATGGCCTTCTCTTTGCACTTGGGCGCCTCCTTGCCCTCATGATCTGCAAAGCACGGGAGCCCAAACAGTAAATACCCTTTCTGCCGAGCCAAAGATCTGCGAGGCCTCCAGTCCTTACAGTGAGGGGCATTAAGTAAGCATGGTAGCATTGTCTGATTCAGGACGCCCCGTGAGGACTGATCGTTCCCGCATTGGGGTGTAAACTGCGTTTGTGGTGTTTGCCTCTGAGCCGCCTAGGATCTCGGATAAAGAAGCGCATAGTAGTAGTTGGTTGCACCAGAGCAGCCACAATGAGGAGGAGTGCTTCCGCGACGTCACCATGGCCTTACCATTTGCCTTGTTAATCCTGAATTGCCGACCCGTTCTTCCTGCATGTCACGAGAGCCGATTTCCAAACACCGGACGTACATATATATGCAGCTTGCCTACCGTCGTCTCTGGCATGTTCTGGTTCGGCGGGAATGAACGTGCGACGGCGCGAGAGCTTCAAAGCTTGGTACATATATGCGGGGAGATGCACGACAACTGTTCTAGCGCTGCCGTCCGTTGGGGTTAGATCAAGCAGCACGTCATCCCCGTGAGCCTGTGACCGCGAAAGTCTTTTCACGCCTGCTTAGCGGGCGCGCACCCTTTCACGCAGTGTCATGCTAGGCCGAGGTTTCTCATGCTTGGCGTACCCGTCCGTGATGTGCCTACCGCTATCCCTACCACTATACCTCTCCCTTGGTCACAGCTAAGAGTAGAATCCTGGCGTCATTGATCACGTTGTCTTGTACACCGACAGAGGAGATGCGCAAGTGAAAGGCGTTGCTGCACTGGGGCAAGCAAAGTCCTAATACCCGGTTGAGTTGATGGGTTTGTGGGGTAGTGCGAGAACGTGGTGTGTTGGAATCTGGTTGACGGCGTCCGACATGTCGGTGAGCATCTTGGTGAAGCAGCAGTGACGGTATCTTGTCAAGGACCTGGTAGCATGGCTCTGGTGGTGAGCTGTTTTCACGTCGGCTATGCCGTTCCGACATACACGTGACGTGTGTCGTTGCCAGAGCTGACTCGCCACGCTCGTAGGATCGGGAGGCATTCAACCGTCACATCTCTTTGCTGCACAATTCTCATTCATTCTTTACATGCTGCCGGTATGGAGGTGGTTTCGGTAGGGTATGTAGGATGCCGTGTTGTAGGCGTATACGGCAATGCCGACTTGCCCGGGTGGGAAAGGTTTACCCAGAGCAGGACCGATCGGAATGAACGGCGGATATATTTCCGATCCAAGTTACCGAACAGAACGCAGAAGTGGTTACTAAAGTACCCACGATGCGTCTGCCACTGAAAAATACATAGTTGGAATAGGGTCAAATCCGCAGACGGTGCATTCTCTATGTGTATGCACTCAAATACAATGCAGGTTTCGCCAGCCCATAATGCAGCTTGAAATACAATGTGTGTGTGAGGGAACAAGGGTGCACTAAATGGCGGGTGTAAGGCCAGGGCAGGTTGAGCGGCGCGCTGAGGTAAGAACGCTGTGCGTTTCTCAGCAAACTTAGGAGGGTGGCGATACCATACCGTCATTGTTACAATACACCGTCGCCGTAACGTACAGTACAGTACAAACATCCCTTCGCGACAGCCGATTTGAGGTGAGCTCCACTTGTCCTGCATACAGACATACTTTCGCTTGTGTCAACCTGTCTCATTGCCTTGTTCATCCGCATGCGACTCGTTATTTACTACCCGCCTGTCCGTCGCAAAAGAAACAAACTTGCCGCCATCCGCTAACCTCCACAATGGCAGGCCGCCATGGGCAGACATGCCAACCCCGACATCCGGCGTGCTTTTGCTGAATTCCAGGACCAGGAAACGCCCTCCAAATGCAACAAGGTCCGCTGTCGCCATTGCGGCTACGTTCGCGCAAAAAATACGACGCGCCAGATCGAACATCTGCAAGAATGCCAGGCATACCTAGCCTCGTCGGACGCGCAAGCCCACCTCCTCGCGCAGCAGCAACAGCAGCAGGATGGAACTCCAGCTGAGCCAAACATGGCCGCTGGCTCCAGTCAAATCTTCAGCGGACAACAGCCCAATCCAAACCTACAGGTCCAACGGCGGGGTCCCAACACCAGCAAGCGCGCCCGCGATACCCAGCCCATTATTGCGCCAAAAACTGTTCCGGTGCCAACGGTCATGCCCTCTCTGACCGCACATCTACTCAATGTCTGCGCTGGCCCTCTGCGACAGGCAACCCAACGGCCCTTCTTGTCGCATGCTGGCTGCGGATCCCTAACGGCGGAGCCTCTGTCATGGTGGCTAGTGCAAGATGGGCACTATGCGCGTGGATTCATACGCTTCGCAGGACAGTTGCTGGCCAAAATTAGGTTACCGCAGACACCGAACTCACAGTTCCACCCCATGTATCGTACCATGGACCTCTTGATCTCGGCTTTGAACAACATGCGACGGGAGATTCAATTTTCTGAGATTACTGCAACAAAATACGGGCTGTCTCTGGGCACGGAACTGCCTACCCCCGTTACTCGCGGATTAATGGATCTCTTGATCAGTGCCAGTAGCTCAAGCGCATCTCTCTTAGAGGGAATGGTTGTGCTTTGGGGAACTGAGCATGTACGTAACGATATGCAGTAAACAAGGCGTACAGAACTGACACTCCACAGGCCTATCGTGCCGCTTGGCAATATGCATCGACCTTTTCCAGCTCCCTACCTACGTCCATCAGTGATTCGCATATTGCCGCACTCCACCAAGTCCTCATACCAAATTGGACCTCGCCCCCCGCATACAAGTTCCTTGACGCAACACGCGCGCTTGTCGACGAGCTGGCCAACATCACAACCACACGAGACGGCAAGGAAGAAATGGTCCGCTGCGAAGAACTCTTCCGGCAGATATGCTGGTTAGCAGAACGCTACTGGCCCGCCATTGACGAGAACGGCGGCTGGATTGACCCTCCCATGGGCTACACCATTCCCGGCGCGCGTCCCGTCACCATGAACAGAAACGTCATACACCCGAACATGACCGGACCCAGCATGCACGGCCCGGGCATGAACATGCATGGGAACCCAGTCAACGGAAATATGGCAGGCCCCGCGCCAACCCCCAACATGCACGGTCACGTGAACACCAATATGAACAATAACGCGAATGCCAATCCGAATATCAACACCAGCACCAATATGAATACCAATGCGAACAACAGCAACAGTAACAGGAATAACTCTGCACCCAGTGCTCCAATTAATGCTGGTGTCCGCAAAGAAAGCACGTCTGTTAATGATAATAGGAGCCAGCAGAGCATGGACCGTGCAAACAGCATGGATAGCGACAGTGGAGAGTCGTCGGCTTGATGAATAAGGCTTCTCTGGGAAAACGACTCTACGATTTTATCCTATCGATAACGGTATTGGCTATTAGCTTTCTACAAAAGCAAAGGAGGGGTATACCCGTTGGTGTATGGCATGATTTGTTGCGACACGACGCTGAGTGTGCAAAGGAGTGATGACTGGGTCGTTTTTGCATGAATCCGCAAGAGAGAGAGAGGGTGGGAATTTGATTGCGTGTTTGCTCTGCCGTATGATTTTGTGGATTTAGCTTGTGATATCCCGTTTGTATAGCCAAAATTTATGCGTCTGTACATATTTTTACATTATACTTTTGAAGTATGTGTTGGAGACAAAGAAAACCCCGTTTGGTGATGTTGCTGTTGTGGGGTCGTGAAATCAAGTTTCTAATGTGTATGGTCTGCATTGAAGAAAAAAACAAAAGAGAGAAAATAGTCGGAAAAACATGTGTCTGTTGTGAAGGAGTAGTCAAGCTTGATAGTGCAACTTGGAGGACAAACGAGACGAATTATCTGTTGAGCCCTAGCAGAGCTCGAGCGTAGACTCGCTTGCAGAATCGGCTTCCGGTTCGAATGCAGCTCAGAAGTTTGGTGTCGTAGGGATCTCTGTTGCGCTAAGCCAGTTTGCTGCCATAGCAAGCTTAGCGCATATCATGCAAGCTATTGGCTCAGCCGGGTAACAACGAAAGCTCTTTAATCCCGCGCCACAGAGACACTTTCTCGATAATTTACTTGTCTCTCTCTCGCTAGACTCTATACATTGCTAGATTGACCTATTTCCTAGCAGTACGGTGCCCTGAACCCCTATCATTATCGCTCCGCGCTTGCAGTGATATTGGAAACGGATGCCGAAAGAATGGCGAAGTTAATTATTAACGCTGTAGTCGTCACCCGTCTGATGACCTGGGTTATAAGTATCATGTTCTAGTACAACCACCATTGCTATCTACTCGCGACAGATCCAAGGCCTTCGCTATTGCTCCTAGCTTCTCGCGATAGTCTCTAGCAAGTACTTGTGGAGCTAGGACTGGAACGGGTCGGTCCGCGATCGTGTCCCTAGGTCTCGCTCTCAAGGAACCGGAGGTTCAGCAGTTGCGTAGTCTTGAAATGACGGAAGTCATGAAGCGTGAGACTGTTGTCCGCAATGCTGGCAACCCAGTATTTGCGAAAGGTATCGTCTGAGTATGTACCGCCCAACGGTTTGCAGATTCGAAGCAGATACAGCGACAACAACGTAATAAATATAACTGGAGCTATTCTGAAAGCCACTGGCGGCACTAAAAAAAAGGGGGAGTATAATCTTAGTTAGACTATGTCAGCCTTGTGGGGAAGACGTTGTGAACGAGAAAGCTGTTCTCGTAGTGAGGGTACAGTAGATAGATCATGCTACACACTCAAAGCTTTAACACCTATCCTCGCTATCCCGCCTGTGAATTAGGACGCAACACATCGTGGAAAGCCGATAATACAACGCCTCATGCACCCGTTCCAGTGCCGCGTCCTCGATCCAACGTCTCATCACTGCAAGGCTCATACCACAGGGCTCCCGGCTGATGCGGGAGCGGCGCGGCGCGGCGTAGCGCTGCGCAGCTCGACCTTGCGAGGGCACGTTGACCAGGCTGAGGCGACAACGGCTTTCTCTCTCACTTACATTTTCAGAGCAGGCCATGATTTGACTTCACTCTTCCCTCTTGCGCAGGGCTGAGGCTATGTGCTAATGGTCTCTGTTAGATGAAGTGAAGTCACGACCAGCTCTGATAATGCAAGAGATTTGCCAAGCTGCAGGACCAGGGGCGAGTGAGGCATGAACGAGCCGCTGCCAGTTATCGCTCATGGCTGCGCCCTGCAACATTAGCCGCACCACTGTGTGTTCGCCATGGCAACATGTAGGCGACAGGCTGCAGCGGCGGCTACAGGGCTGGGGCTAAGCGGCAACATATTTCGAAAGCGCTGCTGCTGCTGCGAGACTATCATGATCAATCCCTCTTTTCCGCAAGTATCAACTCCCAGTGCGCATACATTCATCTTCCCACCGACATTGTAATCGTCCCAAATGCTACGCCAACTACGCCGCGAAGAGTATACGGTAGGATGGGTGTGCGCGCTGCCTGTCGAGCTGGCGGCGGCCAGAGAAATGCTAGACGAGAAGCACGAAGACGCCATTCGCGAAGTCAGTGACAACGACGAGAACGTGTACTGCATGGGATCAATTGCAGGCCATAACGTCGTCATCGTGTGCCTTCCAGCGGGCCATATCGGAAACAGCCCAGCAGCAACTGTAGCGACGCAGATGCGGACAGCGTTCAAAGGCATGCAATTTGGACTGATGGTAGGCATCGGCGGAGGCGTTCCAAGTGCTGGCGTAGACATTCGACTTGGGGACGTGGTGGTGAGCCAGCCGCAGGGGACCTTCGGCGGAGTAGTACAGTACGACTTTGGGAGAAGAACACCAAACGGACTTGAACGGATTGGATCGCTAAACTCCCCACCTCAGATACTGCTTAGCGCTGTAAGCGCTGTGCAGGCAAATGCAATGGTCAACGAGAGCACGCTGTTAGACCACCTATCAACACTCGAGCGCAACCCTGTCTTCCAGCGCCGCAGCGCAGGGCCCGATCTTCTATTCAAGGCAGTCTATAACCATAAACACGGCGCCACGTGCAGCAAGTGTAGTATGAGGAGTCGACAACCACGGCCAGAACGCAAGAGTGGAGAAGAGGTGATAGTACACTACGGCACGATTGCGTCTAGCAATCAGGTAATGAAGGATGCTGCTCAGAGGGATAGAGTCAGCGCGGAGCTCAGCGGGATATTGTGCTTTGAGATGGAGGCAGCGGGGTTGATGAATAGCTTCCCATGCCTTGTCATTCGTGGCATCGCTGACTATGCTGACACACATAAGAACCATAAGTGGCAGGCGTATGGGGCAGGGACGGCAGCAGCGTATGCGAAGGAGTTGTTATCGGTGATACCAGTAGCAAATGTGATGAACAAACGCCTTGCAGAGGATGCTATGAATGGCGCAAGTAGTTAGTTCAGAGATAAGGTTGCTTTCTAAGGTGCATTCTAACTAATAGTGTAATAGAACGGAGCCTTCAGTCATTATCTCCCAATCAAGCTCCCCATAAGCGCACGAAGACTGATATTTCTAGTGGCTCACCTCCTGATTACGGAAAGTAAGTTGTTTATGTCCTTAACTGGCACATCTCCGCTGAAGCTCTACTAATCATAACAGGCAACGAAATCTCACGCGTACGTATCGTCAATAGTATTCAAGTGTATACCTGACTTATTCTTACTATTACAGTTTCTATCCACTCCAAGAAACCCTCCCAGACACCACTAAGTGGTGAGCAAAGGCAGATTCTATTGGATTCTCTAAAATTCGAGCAGATTAATGCACGCCAGAAGACGATCAAAACTGCTCACGCTAAGACGTGTAGATGGCTCCTAAAGAGTGAGCAATACCTTGACTGGCTTGACATAACAAAGCTAGATAAACATCATGGCTTCTTATGGATCAAAGGAAATGCTGGAACAGGAAAGTCAACATTAATGAAGTTCGCGTTGGTTGATGCTCATAAGACGATGAAAGACCATATTATACTCTCCTTCTTTTTCAACGCGCGCGGCGAAGAGATGGAGAAGTCTACTATTGGGGCATACCGTTCGCTGTTGATGCAGCTTCTAGAGCATGTCCCAGTGCTCCAGAATGTCTTTGATTCGCTCAGTTTCTTATTACCAAGCTTCAGCGCAGACTCTGAGTGGGATACTGAGTGGGATACTGAGTCGCTTAAAACGCTGCTAGAGCAAGCTATACAGAACTTGGGAGATTTACCTGTTGTGTGCTTGATCGATGCGCTTGACGAGTGTGAGGAAGAGCAGATTCGGGACATGATCCAGTTCTTCGAGCACATTGGCGATCTAGCTGTGTCAAACGGCATCCGCTTCCAGGTCTGTTTTTCGAGCCGGCACTACCCATATATCACAATCAGCAATGGGTTAGAGCTCGTGCTAGAGAGACAAGAGGGACACTCGCAAGATATTGCTGACTACATAGAGGCTAAGCTGAAGATTGGTAAAAGCAAGACCGCGCAGCAGATCCGAGCTGAGCTTCAGGAGAAGGCATCTGGGGTTTTCATGTGGGTTGTACTTGTCGTTGGTATCTTAAACACAGAGTCAGACCGTGGCAAGATTCATACTCTCCGACAAAAGCTGCACGAGATTCCAGGCGACTTGCACAAGCTATTCCATGATATTTTAACGCGGGACTCACACCACAAAGATGAGTTAGTGCTATGCATCCAATGGGTGCTTTTCGCGAAGCAGCCGTTGAGCCCAGAACAGCTATACCATGCCATCTACGCGGGCACCAATCTTGAGGCGGTCAAAGACTGGGATCCAGAGGATATCACTAAGGATGTGATAAAAAGGTTTATTCTCAACTCGTCCAAAGGTCTTGCCGAGGCCACCACTTCTACGGAGCCGAGGGTCCAATTTATCCACGAGTCAGTCAGAGACTTTCTGCTCAAGGAGAATGGCCTCGGTAAGATCTGGCCCGAGTTTAGGAGTAACTTCCATGGCCAGAGCTACGAACAACTAAAGCAGTGCTGTCTTAACTACATTAGTGTCGACATCACAACGCCCTTAAAGATCCCTAACAACTTGCCAAAAGCATCCTCACAACAATCAGCAAGCTTGCGCAAGTTAGCGGCCCAGAGATTCCCGTTTCTAGAGTATGCCACACGTAATGTGCTGTATCACGCAGACGCAGCAGAAGGTAAAGGCATCTCTCAGGTGAATTTCCTTCACAGCTTCCCGCTTCCTCGATGGATCAAGCTCGACAACCTTTTTGAAAAACATGAGGTGCGAAGACATACGAAACGTGTCAGTCTGTTGTATATACTGGCCGAGCTCAACGCGGCAAATCTTATCAGGGCTCGGCCGTCAACCAATTCATGTCTAGATGTGGAAAAGGAACGCTACGGTTGTGCCTTCTTTGCAGCCAATGCCACTGGAAGCCACGAGGCTATGCAGGCATGTATTGAAGGCCTCAAAGCCGGTCATTCAGTGGCTGAGCACGATAAGAGCTGGTCGGAAGAAAACTCTTTACATGAGAGGATGGAGAGCAGTTTAGGCCGCAGCTTCAAGTGTTCCAAGAAAGACGGAATACTCATACATGCAGTGGAAATCGGTAGTGTGGCAGTCTGTTCCTACCTGATCGGATTGGGGGGTTTAGACCTTGACTCAAAAGATACGAAAGGCCGAACGCCACTGTACGTAGCAGCAGAGAAGGGAGCGAGTGTTCTGACTCGAATACTGTTAGACAAAGGCGCCGACGTCAACGCACAGGGCGGACACTACGGCAGCGCACTCCAGGCGGCTTCAGCTGAAGGCCACAAAGACATCGTGACGCTGCTGCTAGACAAAGGCGCCGACGTCCACACGCAGGGCGGACACTGCAGCAATGCACTCTGTGCAGCTTCAGCTGAAGGCCACAAAGACATCGTAACGCTACTACTAAACAAAGGCGCCGACGTCAACGCGCGGTGCAGAGACTACTACGGCAACGCACTTCAAGCAGCTTTAGCTAAAGGCCACAAAGACATCGCAACGCTGCTGCTAGACAAAGGCGCCGACGTCAACGCGCAGGGCGGGTTCTACGGCAACGCATTCCAGGCGGCTTTAGCTAAAAGCGATGAAGACATCGTGATGCTGCTGCTAGACAAAGGCGCCGACGTCAACGCGCAGGGCGGATACCACGGCAACGCACTCCAGGCGGCTTTGAATGAAGACCACAAAGACATCGTGATGCTGCTACTAGACAAAGGCGTCGACGTCAACGCGCAGGGCGGTAGTTTAGGCAATGCACTCCAGGCGGCTTCAGCTGAAGGCCACAAAGACATCGTAACGCTGCTGCTAGACAAAGGCGCCGACGTCAACGCGCAGGGCGGGTTCTACGGCAACGCACTCTATGCAGCTTCATATAAAGGTCACAAAGAGATCGTAACGTTATTGCTAGACAAGGGTGCCGACGTCAACGCGCAGGGCGGATTATACGGCAACGCACTCCAGGCGGCTTCAGCTGAAGGCCACAAAGACATCGTGACGCTGCTGCTAGACAAAGGCGCCGACGTCAACGCGCATGGTGGACACGACGGCAACGCACTCTATGCAGCTTCATATGAAAGTCACAAAGAGATCGTAACGTTATTGCTAGACAAAGGTGCCGACGTTAATGCGCAGGGCGGATTATACGACAACGCACTCTGTGCAGCTTCAGCTAAAGGCGATAAAGACATCGTGACGCTATTACTAGACAAAGGCACTAATTTCAACGCGCAGAGTAGACAATTAGACAAAGCACTCTATATAGCTTCAAATGGAGGCTACAAAGACATCGCAACGCTGCTGCTAGAAAAAGGTGCCGACGTCAACGCGCATGGCGGACACGACGGCAACGCACTTTATACAGCTTCATATGAAGGTCACAAAGAGATCGTAAAGTTATTGCTAGACAAAGGTGCCGACGTCAACGCGCAGAGCTGGTTTCACAGCAACGCACTCCAGGCGGCTTTAGGTAGAGGCCACAAAGACATCGTAACGCTGTTACTAGACAAAGGCGCCAACATCATCACAAAGAGATCTTGACGGCATTGCTGCATGAGAGCACATCAGGAGTATCTAAGTAGCCATTTCGTTGTTGGCTCTACCAGATACTGTAATCAATGAATCAATTTGTTGCGTTTATTCCTAGTAAGCTACCACACCAAGCTTGATGGTTGACCTTGACAAGCACTGTTGTCAGTCGATCAAAATGATACAACTAGCGAACCAAAAGATCACTAGTTAATCTACTTGTCTAGCAAGGCTTTTCATGCACTTTTGGCACAAGTCGGGGAATTTCTCGTTCAATTACTAATGAATAGGACGCTAGGAGGGCTTGCTTAATATGATGCGCAACAGTTCAAAGAATTAAACAAGCATCTTTGAGGCGCAGGATTAGAGTACTTTTGTGGACTGCGACACACAATATGATGCAATCATAGGCTACAGTTATAACGTACATCCCTTTGCGACGGAACAACCGCTGTAAAGGACAAAATTACAGGTACTTTGACTTTGCAGTAACATCATAGCCTGCAACTATCGTAAAAATCATGTTGGCCTACCCAGGTATATACTAGGGTTGATTCTGAGTCGATGTATGCCCACCAATATAAAAATTACAATCGTGTAGATACCTTCCCTGCAGATGTGCAAAGACACCTGCTTTATCTTAATAATGCGCCTCACAAGTTATACGACCATTACTATCAGTTCTATCCGTCGCAACACATCTATCGCTTCTATATACGTATAGGTATTCGATAGAATCGTTCAGGCCTGCTCACCAGCGGTAAGGGCTGGTCAGTGAACTGATTCGTGCGTGATCGCCACACGACCTGGTACCTCTGCAATATCTGGTGCACCAATTAGCAGTGCTAACATAATCTCGATCGCTGAGCCAGTCGAATAAGGGTAAGCTTAAAATAACAAGCAAAACTTTACGTGTCGTGGCCATGCGAGAATTGTGGTGGCGGTGGCGGTAGTGGGATAGCGGTGGGTGTATAGGGCTATAGTTACTAGTCATTTGTTGTGACTGCACCGCAACTGGGGTAGGGCAGGATAGGCTTTGCAGAGTGAATCATGTAGTTACTAGGATTAATTCCAAGTCGATGCATACACTCACTTGCAGAATCAGCTTCCGGTTCAAGCACGTCCTGCATTGTCTCACCTTACACAGCCCCCGCACTGCTAAAGCGCTTGCTCTGTCAGATCTAGCGGACGACACATGCTTGCGGATTCTTCTAGAATGTTCTTGGATTCATACACTGCGCCACTGTTTCCTTTACCCAGACAATCGTTTATTAGCTCTGCCTCTAGCCGTTTTCTTACCTCTTTTCCATGTTCAAGGCTTTTTACCATGGATGGCTCGCGCATGACCGATGTTTCTAAGGAATCGCACCAATGCCAGTATTGCAAGGACATCATATTTACAGTTGGCGATTCAGTTTCGTTTTCATATAAAGATGCAGAACAAGCACAGCAGGCTGAGTGCGAATTCTTCCGGTTGGTTCTCGAAAAATGTCCTGTCAAGGATGCTGTTTTATTATTGGAGCACCTGATGTTGGAAATATCTTGCGACGGTGGAATGCAGATTTCTGCTAAATGGATGTTTCCTGGCAACCCAGCTTCCACCGAAGGTCGCAGCGCCATAATTCCTATTTTCGCTCCACCTCCAGAAGATAGCTCGGATTTTGAAATATCGTTACCGAGCCCGCTGAATCTTACTCCAGGATCATATGAGAGTTTTTCCACTATACGTAGGTGGCTCCGCCAGTGTGAAGGACATTCGTGCTGCAAAAATTCACACAATTGGCAACGCCCTACTCGACTTGTCGACGTTGGCAATAAAGACAGCAAAGATGTATGCATCTTTATCACTGATCCTGAACGCTCTGTAAAATACGCAGCTCTCAGTTACTGTTGGGGAGGTGATCAAAAGTCAAAGACGGTATGGGAAACACTGGAAAAGAGATGCAGAGGCTTCCCACTGGCGGAACTTCCGAAAACCATCCAGGATGCCATATTTACTGCGAGGAGACTTGAGATACCATATCTTTGGGTTGATGCATTGTGCATCGTCCAGGATGATGACGCTGACAAAAACCGAGAACTGCCTATTATGGATCAAATCTATGCAGGCGCTTTCCTCACCATTTCAGCAGCAAGAGCAGGAAAGGCTGATTATGGCTTCCTTCAGCCGAGAAATTTGAAGCAATGCTACGGAACATTGTGCCGAGTACGATACCGCAAAAGCGTAGAAGGAGAAAAGCTGCTAGGTTATATCGCTGGAAACACTCTGCACATTGCATTCGATGACCCTATTGACTCGAGAGGGTGGACTTTCCAGGAGCGTCTGCGATCGTTCCGCACTCTTCGGTTCGGCGTGAGACAAACAGTGTGGCAATGCTCGCAGGGTGAGGAAGTTGACGGTGGCCAAAACCACGTCGAAAGGTCCGCGTGGTCGACGGAGGAGTTTAACCCGTCGAAATTTACCGGCGCGCCAACCGATCGACCCTATCCATACCCCCTTAGCGATCCAAATTATGAGTATCAACTAGACGAAGCCTGGGATACCTGGCAGACAATGGTTCAAGAATACTCGTCACGTACTTTAGATAAGAGCATTGACAGACTTCCTGCCTTTGCTGCTATTGCAGAGGCCTTTGGAAGCTATCTGGGGCAGGGACCTGAACAGTACTATGCGGGACTCTGGGCTCCCGATATTTGTATGCAACTGCGATGGCAGAGGCCAAGCCACGCGCGAAAAGATTGGCAGTGCAAGGAGAGACATGGACCAACGTGGTCATGGGCATCGCTAGAAGGTGCTGTCAAGTTTGATGATCAACGACTACCGATGGGTACAGATACGCTTGAGTTGGTCCACGACGAATGCCACATTACGTGGGAATTGCCGAATTTCAAGTACGGCCAAGTGAAGTCTGGGAAGCTAAAGGTCAGAGGGTTTTTGCGTCGGTTGCGTTTGACCGACGGGAAATTTGTCGATTGGCACCATGGTGAACAATGTGACGTTCTTCTCCCACTAGAGGCTCATTTTGACTGCGATGAGGAAAGAGGTCCCGAACTTTGGTGTTTAGAAATTAACACATACCCTATACATGATGCTGTGGATTCGATTGGCATTCTCCTGGCTAAGACAGGCGACAATGTCTATAAACGGGTCGGTTGTTTTGAATTTGATCATACAAAACTGATACCAGAGCCGATCCTGGAGGGGCTACATAAACCAGACTTACCACCGAATTCCAATTGGTTCTATAATGGTGGATTTCAGGAGATTTGTATTGAGTAAACAGCTAGCGTAGATCAAAGTTTTTGTAACTTCTGTATTCGCATTGCTAGTCAAATAACGGCAACATATCGTGATTTGCCAATGAGCCGTTGTCGGTTACTGGTAATTAGGTGAGACGGTATATTGAGACTGGTAGACACATGTAATTAAATAGTTTTCCTGATAGAGTTGTTCGTGAGGACGTTGAACCTGAAGGTAGTTGTGCAAGTGAGTGTGCTTTATACGCGTTAGATCCGACCGTAGCACGAGATCACGAAGTGGCCTAGAGTAGCAGTAGGGCTTCAATATCAGCCTAATATAGCTAAGCATATCATCACAGATCTTAAGTATCCTCTAGACGTTATTACGCACCTTTCGCAATACCCTAAAGTTCTTTTGGAGGAGCAGGACGGTAAGGGGACTAGTTTATGTCACGTATTACAACACTCTAAAGATCGGAACGGTTTCTTTGTAGCTAAGGGTTAGAGCGCTTCTGCAAAGCCAGGCTTGAACAGAATAACTATGTATGCGCTAAGCTGTATCTGGCAAGATGCTAGCTTAGCGCAACAGGAACTCCCTGCAACTTCGAAACTGCGTGCTGTATAGGACCGGAAGCCGATTGTGCAAGCTAGTGTAGCTTTTATTTGCATAGTCGGAAAATATAGTTAATGTGCCGAAACCTTCTTTACATGTACTACCCACATTACGAATACTTGGCGGATCAAGCTTGAGCCGCGTTCAAGCTCTTTCACTGTTAACATCCGGCTTCGAGTTCACAAAGTTTCATGGCTGAATAAGCTTGACCGCGACATCTGTTTTATGTAGAACGCTCTTTCTGTTGTCAAATCGAGCACATGATCTTCACATTGCCATAAAGAGTTAATTTGGATATTCATTCACATTACTTCAGTAGCGGTATAACTACATGAAACTATATTAGGGGTTGCATTCCACATAGAGGATGGAGATCTCAAATATGCGGTCAAAATCTGCACTATTCTCACAGATATAGAGAAAACAAGTCTAGGCTGTTGGAACAGCGTCGCTGTTGTAGCTCTTCTCGATGATTGGCGGAGGCTCGGGAATCTTCTGGCGAAGAATAGTGCGCTTAATGAAATAAGGCACCTGTTCCGAGATCTGGTAGTGAAGATATGTCTTGGTGGGTACGCTGAAGACCTGGTCCAATTCTTCGAGGGTAAGCTGCTTGGTCTCGCGGACGAAGCAGAAAATCATGCCCCAGGCAATCAGGTTGAGACCGGCGTAAAAACCAAAGGCACCCGTCTGTGTCATGACTGACACCATGCGGGGGAAGGTGAGGGACAGGACACCGGCGAAGGTGTTGTTGATGCACACAGCCCAGGCCATTCCCTGCTCACGCTGGATCGTGGGGAAAACTTCGGCAGAGTACTGGAATGCGACAGGTCCTTCTCCGAGAGAATACATGATAGTGAAGAGATAGACGAACAGGACGACAGGCCCGACTTGTGCGGCTTTGCTGGCGGTATCGGGCTGGAGCAGAGATAGACCGGCTGCTAGCAAGAAGATGCACATAAAAGGGAAAGTCTATGAAATTCAGTCAGTAATAAGAAAAACAATGAGAATTCTTCTGCAACTTACCCACATGCAAAGGGTCCTACGGCCCTTTGTATCGATGAGGAACAGAGTCGGAATGGTAAAGACGACCTGGATAGCACCGTAACCGAGAGACGCATACAAAGCTTGATCCGTGTTGTAACCCGCTTGACTGAAGATTGTCGAGCTGTAGAAAGAAATGATGTTAATACCGCACATTTGCTGCGCAATCATAACGGTAGAAGCACCATAGTTGGCACGCCTGATTCTGGGCACACGGAAGCAGTCCCACATGCGGTCAAAGTAGCCAGCTCCACGTGCAACGGCCAGCTCGGTCTCGTAGATGACGTATGAGTAGTAGTAATCACGTGCGGCGATGATGGGATGCGCTCGCAGTTTGTTCATCGACTCGAATCCTTTGGCGACCTTGCCGTGCTTCATCAGCCAACGAGGAGATCTGAAGATATGTAAGCATTGTCCTTTAAAAAGCCAAGAAACAGTGAATACTTACTCTGGACAAAAGAAGATGCCAACCATCAGAACAAAAGAAGGGATGAAGGCCGAGCCGAGTTGCAGGCGCCATGAGATTCTACCAGTATCTTTGACAATGACGTTGGCACAGAAACCGAGGAAGATACCTATATTCAATGATTAGACACGTTTGGAATTGCAAAGAATAAGTATCATCCTTACCAATAACGACCCAAAGTTGCCAAAACATGACCAAGGCGCCTCGAATTCGGTGTGGAGCCATCTCAGCGGAGTAGATGGGAACAGTAGCATTCTTTGCGCCAATACCGATACCCATGATGAAGCGAGCAGCGAAAAGTCCCTCCCATGATTGTGCACAAGCAGAGCCAATGGGAGTAACAGTAAGACAGATGGCGGTCACAAAGATCTCACCCCTGCGGCCCAGGTACTTGTTGAGCGGGTCGACGATGAAAGCGCCAATGAGACCAGCAGTGAGGAAGATGATGGCATTGATAAGACCAACAATCCATTCGCCATAAGCACCTCGCTCAATGAGGCCAAACTCCTCTGGGAAAGACAAGTTGGCACCGTTTGATCCAGTTTGATCCCAGCCTTGAGTGGCGGCTCCGATAGCACATAAGCCGATCGAGTACCACAACATCTTGGGGCCGTGCCACTTGTGATCGCGCTCGTAGATGAGAGCATTTCGCTCGGTGTCGTCGAGTTGGGTGATCATTTCAAAGCGCTCAGGGTCGCGGGCAACAAGGGCTGCTTTGCCAAACAGGGCGGCGTGTTCGTCCAGGCCATGTTTCTTAGCCCATTCCTCAGCAGCGTAGACACACTCCTCTCTACTCTGGTGTGTCAATGGGTTCTCGACGAGATTGTGAGCAACAGACGAGCGACGAGCGTTGGTATCAGCAATGTGCTCGGCGCCAGAAGTGTAGATGGCCTTCTTCTCAGGATCAGTGGCTATCTCTTTCTCCGGGATGGAAGAAGCTTCCTTCTCAACGTGAGCGGCAGGCTCATTATTCTTTCCGTCCATGGTGGTGGAGTTGTGCAGAATGACGGATTAGGAGGAACTAGCTACACGAACATGTGCAGGGAGAGAAGTTGAAAAGAAAAAAGGTGGGGTGAGTCGAGGGAGCCGATCTTATATCTGAAGGACTGAAGGAGGCAAGAAAGAGTGAGAGGGAGGCCCAAAAAGTGGAGCCTCCAACGGTACACCGCACATGTAACAGGCTCAAAAAAATGAAAGCTGAGATGCGCTAAGAGCATTCACTGGAACTTTGCATATGGTGAAGGGCCAACCCCCCCGGAAGCCTGATGGGAGCCTGACCAACGGGATGTCATGACGAGGCGGATGAGGGGTGGTAGTGACGCTAGGTCTATTGTTCATGGGGATCTCCACAGAAAGACCCCATGGAGTAAGCTTCGGCAGGCTAATGGGCGCCACACGCTTGTCTACAACGCCTTGGCGCCCACCACACGCACATGCATCATCGCCTCTCCCGATGTCCATGACCTCACCCTCTACCACCTGCCAGCCTCCCTGCATACCTGCCGTACGCCACAATGCGACCTCATCTTGACTTGTGGTAAGCTTACACATGCTCATACAAAACACGGGCATCTCGACTGATGTTTTACGTGCACCACACGCGATGCCAGTATCCGGTGCTGCACTCACACCACGCCCAAGAATTAAGGCACCCTCGCGGCGAGCTTGGTGCTATATTGGCTGAGGCTTGTCGGGAGCGGGAGTGGGCTTGTTGGAACGACATGCTTAGCGGCACGATCACCACATTACTTGCCTCACCCGTCACCCGCTAGTTTCTCGGCACATGCTTTAGCGACCGCTGGGGAGTGAACAGGGCAGGGTACATGCTACCACTCCGATCCCACACCTCCATGTATGTACTTAACTGTACTTGGACATACGAACGAGCACTTTAGCCGCCATTTGCGTTGCTGAAACATCAGCTCACGATCGTACTGTATCGCGCGATACCCGCCATCCGCCAGCCGGCACCTCTCTATCGGTGACGACGCGCTTATGGAGAGGAGAGCTTGCAAAAGATGCACATGGCCATACGAGCGCAAAAGAAGCGTCGCTTACCGCCACGACCAGACGAGCTAGCTACAGAGATGGCGTACGCGCGGCGACGGCTTGGGCACCTTGATTCCTCTTGTCCCAACAATCAAGACGACGGCAAAAGCTTGAGACCGTCTGCCTTTCCGGACCAATAGCCATGAGATATGTTGCTTTGCACGGACGCACGCGCACGTTTGCTGTGGGGACGCCTCCAAACTTTTCTCCAGCTCTTTTCCCAGCATCGACGACTGGGCCCGAGTCGTGCGATGTGGAGAAGAACATTTGCTCACGTGCTTGGCAATGCAACCCAGCGGCGTTTCGCAATCTGAAAACGTACGATGAAAAAACAGGTTACAATACGGCCGTTTAATAATCCAACCGCTGCGGTACTTATGCATGTCAGGACGGCCGCACATGCTGATCCAAGCAATGCAGCCCCGTCTCGCATGAAACCACCGCACAACCTTTTGCATCTCACATGCGAACATTCTATTACGTAGAACTATACTACCTTGTCGCACCAGAATATACTATTCACCGGGCATTCTGGAAGCGCCTGCCAGACTCTGCCTAACCGCGCGCTAGTCCGGATTTTTGAATTTACGAGATGCCTTGCTCAAGTGGATCTCGAGGTTGCGTACTGGCCAGTGCTTGCTACCCCGATACTACCCCACAGCTCCGGGGTCCTAACGGCGGCCTCCGGATTACCCAACTGGGACGTTATCTCACAGCTATCTCAACTCCTAGCAGATAGCCGCAAATAAGCTTGACTCCCAAGATATTTGCCTCTCGATAGCTTTTCTTGGTAGTTTCTGTTGATAGTTCCTCTTGATGGTCTCGATCCATAGCTCCCCTCATACTAGCTTGTCGAGACCCTTCAGTCGACTTCATTGACCTTCCTCGGAGGAAAGCCTATACGGAACTCACGGCACTTGGCGTGTGATCCAGATGGGCAATCGGCTTGTGGTATCAGTAGTCACTACGAAAATATTACCAAAATTAGATTCTAGACCCTTTACCATCACAAAGAGCCGCATCTGCAGGTGCAGTAGTCGGTAACTGTAGAGCGATCTAGAGTCTTTACGACTCAATATCGTCTAGTAATGGCGCTAGGAAAGGACTACGTACATGTACACGATCCACCTTGTGTCACTATACCCTCGACCCCAAGAGATGGAAATGAGGAAAAAAAAGATACTTTCTATTCTTATCCAAGCTCGTCGACATGATAACCCTGGGCTAGCTTCCTCGTGACACATAACTACATGGTACATGAAGGTTTTCTCGGTGGCCAAGTAAGACGATGTGCGTCTAACAAGGAGATCACAATTCCTGTCTATCTGCCTCAAACCTCTTTCTTCACTATACCGATATTCCCGTATAGCCTGCTTTGTCCAAGTGTTGCTGTCGTAGGAATAAACCATCACACAAACCGCAAACCGCTTTTTGCTCCATTGCTAAACGGGGATGATCCGTTCTATTCATTTTTGCAAAAGAAGAGATAATTAAAAGAACCGAAGTACCATCGCACGCATCGTTAGTCTCACGTCGGAGTGCCCGACAGACAACCCCAGTACAACCCCTAAATACCCTTACACAAGTACATCCAGGTATCTTTCTTAGTGAACTCGGTTCCGCCAGCCAGGACGCGCAAGCGCGCGGGGTTGCACGGCAATCCCAACGAGGCAGCCCTGCATCTAACCCCCAGCTCACCTCTTCCCACCACAATTAACCCCCCTTCCCTTGACTCCACTTAACCGCTCGACATGACTATCTGCTCCTCCCGTACCTGCTCCAGTCGCGGCATTATCATCTTGACCACCATGACGCTATTCATCCTCTTGCGCATGCCCTCGAGGTGAAGCTGAAATAGCGGTTTAGCACCTTCCTCGAATTCGTGGGCTGTAACCTTATTGAGCCAGAGGGCTTCCATGAGGTAGACGTATTCGTTCCAGTCGTCTGGGCCTAGTGATGAGAAAAGGATATGCGTTAGCTTGTGTTTGTGGTAGGTGAGGCGATTGAGGCGATTGGTTCTTACCGAGAGCTCGACGTATGCCTTCTAGTTCTAGAGGTACGTCGTAGTCGTACATTGGACGTCGCCTGAGAGTGCGGTTTGGAAGGAGTGATGACGGTACGTAGGTTGATCGGGCTATTTTTGTCCCTTGGAGGAAGTTTTTTGTTACATTCCTTCCTTCACGATGTATCCTGGCAGGTATAGTAGTCCTGGCGGCGTCATTTTTGCTCTCATTGCTCTTTATCTTCCTTCTGAAAGCTCCCTCTTCTCTCTGATTGTTTCCACCCTCTTGATTATCGTCTTTTGTCATCCCCTTTCCACCCCTGCCCATCTTAGTTAGCACCACCGGACTCTGTCTTGTAGTGTCCTGGCATTTTTCAGTTGGGACTCGGCGACGCTTTTGTGCTGGTGTTGCAGTATTGGCAGAAGTTTCTGGTCGGCTACTCGGTTGCGTTTGTCCAGGCTTCGAAATGTTCCGACTTATGTCTTGCGATGGCGGTTTTGATTGGCCTGAATTGCCTCGCAGTGGCGCCTTTCTCGGGATATTCCTTGAAGAAAGACGACTGAACTTTACGTCTGAGGCTTTTGACGGAACAGGCGCGACTTGTATCGTCTTCCCAGCTAGTGGATGGGTGCTTACATGCTGCAGCAGAGCAGGTTGACTACTACCTGGTGTCTTGCCTGCATATGAACTTCCGTTACTCGTTGTCATACAAGAGCTGAGTTGGGATATATGTTGGGCCATAGTGGATGAGGATAAGAGCTCTATGCGGTGAGGCGGTGCGCTACCAGAAGGATAAGAGTGAAGAAGAGATGTTCCAGAGATCGAAGCATGTTCTTGAAGTATAGGTTCTGGGACGTGAGTCTGCGTGTCGCCTACATTTGCCCCAGATGTGCCTGCAACGTGCGGTACCATGTTTGGGATGAAGCCAGGGAAGGTACAATTCTGTGGAATCATTGCTGTACTGAATAAGTTATCTTGCCTCTGGGAGACCGACAGTCCTTGCGACGATGTCATTTGTGATAGGTAGGGACGACGGATGAACAAGACCGCAGTGACGACAGAAGCAATATCGTCCGGTATCAGTGACACGATACTGGTCGTATGAGATTGTAGTCAACGGCGGCAATACTTCGACCACTCGAGGTTTCTAGGATTTAGTATAAGAGTGTGCGAGTGGACTCCGAAAGTAGGTGGAGAAGTTGGAGCGTGGGATACCGATAGTTTGAGTGGGCAAAACTGAGGAAGGTGCCTTTTACACTCACCTCACCATTACCTGCCGTCTCATTGGCTACCCAGGTCTCACATAGCCACAGCCATCAAAGTCCCAAACTCATCCGAAGATCTTGCAGGAAAGCCAACAAAAAGTCGGTGCATCCCCACATCTGTAAAGCTGACCCTGACCCTTCTGCAGAAGGACTGCACAGCCATTAGTGTTGGGAGCTGAGTTCATCGCCTTGCATGACACCTAGCACTTGATTGAGTCTCACGACGCTAACAATGGATGTCACACAAATGCATCGCATTTGAAGGGTGATCTTGCAGATCTGTATATTTTCCGGCACCAACTAGGGATGCCCTTGCAAAGAAGTTCCGCTTTCGACGCCATCGCTTAAGAGAACAAAGGGCGAAGCAACATCACTTGCATCCCATGACTTCTAGAATTCTCTCCCGTAGCAATTTACATACTTTGCGCTATTAGAAGCCTATTATGGAATCTAGTACACAGGTAGATTGTTATGCAAATGGGCAATGAGGTTGAATATATAGAAGAAAGCATTGTTGTATATACGTAATATGGCAGTGGCCCCAGTGGCCCCAGTGACCCAGCCCCGCCAAGTTCATATATGCAACTGAAATAAAGAGGGACTAGTAGGCCATCGTACCCAAAAGCCATCACAACCAAAGGCTACCAATCCAGCATTTCAATCAGAACCAGTGCACACATGCCTATTGCATGTCCGGCAAGTCCGGTGAGTTGAGGCCTCCATCACCAAAGCTCTGGGCACGATATCTCGCAACACCCTGCAAATGCTCGTTACTCCCCGACAGCGCAAGACGAGTAGGCGGCTGTCCGCGTGCCTGACCAGCCCCCACAGGACTACCCTGAGCCTCCAGACTCGCAGCCGTCGAATACCTACGCTGCCCACCTGCATCCTGCTGTGCAGGCGGCTGCACTATCTTTTGATTCCCAATCATCAGCGCACTAGCACCCGCCTCGCGCGCCTGCCTCCCAGCATACGTCTGCTGATACCGCGCCAGCGAAATAGCCGTCAACTGCTCGCGAACTTCTGGCGTCGGATGCGTGAAGCCCGATCCCAAGTACGGTTTGACTTCTGTCCAGTTCCTCCTTTCCTCCGCCGAAGCCTCAACCCACTTGTCGTTGAAGTAGTGGAATGAGCGCAGGCATGTGATGGGTAGCGCAACGTACTTTTCGATATTCACTCTTGCCATGACTTCCGCTGCGATGACTTTGGAGTGGTTAAGCAAACACGCGACAAAGTGAATGCGTTGAGGGAATGTGAAGTCTACGTCTTCGCTGTTTAGCGATATGAGGTCGATGGAGCGCCTGTGGGCGAAGTCGGTCACGCCCGAGATGTGTATGCGCATTGTCGTGTACATGACGGTGTGTGCTATGGCTTCGATGTCGCGATGGTCTGTCCATTCGCCTTTTGGCATGAATTTGCTGAATTGCCAGGGTGCACTTTGTAAGTCCCAAACTTTGGAGATGTTACGGAGTGCGATGCAGATCTTTTCGAGGTAGAATTTGTATTGATCGCTTGTTTGTGGGAATCCGTAGCGGTCCATGGAGGGGAACCAGCATACTTCGTTCAGGTATACGTTCACTTGCCCGAAATTTTGGAATTGGTAGCCCCAGAATGGGAAGGACGGCTGGGAGAGCGGTGGCGCGGACTGAGGCCACAGTTTGCTCAAGGGTGGTTGGTTTGCAGGATCTGGATATCTTGGGCTCATATGTGGCGAGTACTGGGCAAAACCCGATGGTGTGTCGGGATTCAACCCAGGTGAATGTGTGAATGTGTTTTGGTTTGAAAGAGGATATAGGGGCCCATAGTGTGCGTTCGGTGAAAAGGGCTTTTGGACGGACATGGAGAGCATTCCATTGCTTCCCTAGCCTTCTGTTAGTCTTGTTTGCTTGAAAATGTGTGGTCTAGCTCATAAAAGTACCCGAGATAAATCTTGCTCCTGCGTATGTGCATTATGTATGCTAGGCACCATGGAAGCTCTAGGATCTGAGTAGTATGCGGGCTGACTTCTGTTGTCACCAGAACCGAACTGTGCAGTATCAGATCAACTGCCATGCAATATTGCAGATATCCCTAGCTTACCATGGGTGTACCTGCGCTACCGCTTTGCCCAAAGTACGCACCAGCTTGATATTGCTCGGCTTGGAATGGGCCGTGCAAAGCATTCACCTCAGAGTTAGTTTCGCGATTAGTCTCGTCATCAACTTCGCGGTTTGGTTGATCAGGCATGGATATACTGTGTGCAGCCTGGTCGCTCATGTCGGAAAATGCACAAACGACTGCGTGATTGGCCTAATGCGACTATCCAGCAACCTGTGGTGAGATAGCGCTGCGAGATGTTATTATGAAAGGGCGAGACTGATTGTATTAGATTTTATGCCCACCTTTTCGACAACGTCTAAGAACTTGCAGAGCTCGTAGAGTAGCCTCGCCCGCTCGCAAGAGCGTCGCACATTGAAACCGAATGGTATGGCGCGAGATAGAAAGATTAGCGAGGTCTAGCACACTATTTCTTGAAACTGATAAGCCTAGATGAGCCTTTTTATGGAAAGTATGGAGAGTGAGTGATCTTGGCAAAAGCAAGGCAAATACGGAAAAGTGAATCAGTAAAATAAGTTTGTACCATAGTGTCACGTCATGTGAAGCTAACATCAACCATTGAGAATAAAGGAATTTAACATAAGTACCAGAACTTGGAACCAGGAACCATTGCCCACTCGTCGAAAACGAAATCTAATAACCTCCGCCCGCACATCGACTCCGGAAAATTTGTCAGCGCCACCCAACTGTCCATTCTAAGCTACATATAGCCATCAACTCATCATGTGACAGTTCTATGACATCTATAGTGCCATTCAGCCATACAAAGTACCCTTAGTGCGCTCACTAAATTGGGTCTCGTTGTGGAGATGTTGAGTGACATCCATTGTAGTGATGATGTGGTCGTAACTGAGCTTTTCTTCTTTGCGACTTGCGAGCAGCCTAGCTATCTTGAGGATGTTTTTGACTTGACGACCGTTCAGATCCATGCGTGCAAGATCCATGAGTTGAGACTTGGAGATGGTGTGTTCTTGCGAGGAAGAGTCCAAAAAGTTTTTCCATACCGTCTTGCGTGATTCCACAGTAAGACCAGGGTAGTCAAGTGAAATGTGGATACGTGACTGGAAAGCCGGATCAAATGTTTGGACGCGGTTGGTGGTCAGAAACATCGTACCCTCGTAGTACTCCAAGACGCGAAGAAAGATGGAGACCAACTTGTTGCGCTCGAGCTCGTGAAGCGAACGCTGTTCAAGGAAGACATCCGCCTCATCGAGCAAGAGAACGGCGTTCCAGCGACTACACATTTCAAGAATGTCTTGCAGATTGCTCTCCAGCCTTCGAGGGTCGAAGCCGAGATCTCCGGCGCTCATCATATAGAGTGGGACCTTCATCTCTTCGGCAACCGACTCGCTAGTGAGAGTTTTACCAACACCGGGCGGGCCGCATAGTAGAACAATCATGCCTTTACCCTTGCCTTCAATAACATCGTCGAAGCTGTCACGGAACTTGCGTTGGGACTCAGTGAAGCCCAGAATCAGCTCCTTCTGGTTCTTGGGCAACACTAGCCTATCAAATGCATCAGTCTGCCATTCGATATCCTTGACGCAGTTGACGAAGAAGTTCAGCCAAAGTTTGTTCTTTAGACTGTACCCGCGCAGCAGAGGCGAGCAAATGAGCTTCTGCTCCGGAGTCAAGGGTACATGCTTTGCCACGTCGTCTTCGTCCGCGAAAGCGCCATCGATAGGCATTCCGCTGTCGTCTCCGTCGAGATCGTCATCATCTTCCTCTTCTTGCTCGTTCTCAGAATCGTATCCATCTCCATTGCAGTGAGGCTCTTTCTGGTTGAGTGGAGCAACAAAGATTGATTGCGTCGGGTTAAAGCGATTCCAGCCGTATGTGTCGATCACAATCCGACCTTTGACATTGTACTTGTCCTTTGTGCCGAACTGGCCCTTCCTCCAAGCGACGCCCTGGTAAGCTCGATAATTAGCACCAGCAAGCTCTTCAGTTTTGGCCCCGCGCTCAATAAGGCGAGTGCAGATAGTTTCGCCTTCAGGATGGAACTCGAGGGGATAAACGCGAAGGGAAGTGATAGCGCGTGTTCCCGTGTAGATTGAAATGGACAAGTTGATCTTATTGGTTCCAAACTTGGCGCCATCCCAGTCCACGTACTTGCAAGTTGCCCAGAAGCAAGGTATGCCATTACAATCTTGACCATAGCGCGTCTCCACCAAGGACAGGGCTGTTTCCTGGCCGTCTTGTCGGGCGAACACAACCGATCCTGGCTGGAAAAGCGTCCAAAGATGTTCGAAAGTCATGACTCGTTTACTTTTCATGTCTTGTGAAGTATCGATCATGTTCTTGAATTCTTTTGTTAGGATGCCCTGCAGAAGCTCCGCGTGTGCTTTTGTTGTGCGCTGCGCTTCTGTTTCGTCGCTAAGCTTGGCAATGGCGTCCTGCAATTCGGTCCTGTACATGGTGTTAGTTTGTGGATGGTCTACAATGAGCCAAAGAGTACGGGAGATTATCTTACCAGCGATGGATGAGGGGTTCGAATTTTCCAGTAAACTCAAGACGATTGAGACCAACAGTCACTCCAGGGTAGCCCTTCAGGACCTTGACGAGGAGTTTCTTGAGGAGTGGACTCTGCACGACGATTGAGTGCATGGACAACACGCGGCGCGGGTCGTTGTAGACTTTGACATTTCGCACGAGAAGTGCCCATTTCGCGGTTTTCTCGTTCTCGGCAGGGTCGCCCACATCCTCAGGAATCTCTTCCTGCCATTGGAAGCGCCCTTTCTTGTCTTCTTTGCCAGAGTAAAAGTGCTTGAGGCCATTCTTCATTCCTGGCTCACATGGCTCATCGTCCTCTTCGCTCTTCTCTTTGGCCACGCCATTAGGCTTGCTCTTGCCGTTAACCAGAACGTGTTTGATGCCGTTCAGCTTGGGCTCGTTGTCACCCGAAGACGTGGATGAGACTGATGGCGATCGGTCTCGGTGACCTCTATCCCGCGATTCTCGCCTCCATCGCTGGCGCTCGAACGTTCCTCTGTTCAAATCCATCGATCCGTTTGCTTTTTGAGTGACAGTTGGGGATGTAGAAGGGTTGGGGGTTCAACCCGATTTCTTGTAGAGAGATTATGAGGTGGCCCAGGGAAACCCTTTACTTCAATGGGGACACTCAATTGATGAAAAGGGGAGTGAGAGAAAGTTCGATGAAGCTGCAAGGCCAGCTTGAAGTACTTCGCACAAGCCAAGTGTAACTAATCTCACCGGTGAGGCTGCGGTGCTGCCTATGCAATTGGAGGCCTCCTTGCTGCACATTGCGATGAGATAGACCTATCAGAGAGTCACAGCTGTATGACTGTAATAGGAGACGCTAGTCCGAATTCACCTCCAACGCAAGGCAGTCATAATGCGCTGTCCGCCTTTGCATGCATCCTGTCGGACCAGGCTGTCGATGTTGATGCCTGGCGCCCCGTGCGTGACGCCATAGGGTTATTGATCGCCGCAAAAAGGGCTGACGCCTAGGACTAACAGAGACTCTGCTGAGCGGGGGATAGCTACGGGGCAGAAACTAAAGATATGATAGCTGTGAGAAACGTGAGATACGAGATATTGAATCTTGGGCGTGGTTACAGGGGGGCCCACACATGAGGTGAGGCTGGGGGTGAGTGTGGCGGTGCACAGCCGGAGGTACCCCGCGGCCGGCGTCGGCATCGGCGTCGGAGCCCCGCGCCATCTTTTTCATCTCTCAGGTGTGAGCCCAACTTTTTTGCGTGGCTCATCCAAGAAATCCACGTCAAGCCTCAGGCGCTTTCTGGCCCAGAATGACTACTTTGATCAAGGTGCCCTGCTCGTCAGCCAACATTGGCCCCGGCTTCGACGTTATCGGTCTTGCGCTCAACCTTTACCTCGAACTCGAGGTCACCGTCACCAAAAAAGACAAATCTGAACATGCGCTCAATTGCAGAGTAACATATGAGGGCGTAGGCGCTGAAGATGTCCCCCTCAATGCGCAGGACAATCTTATCACACGGACAGCCGTATACGTCCTCCGCTGCCATGGCGTCCGCGACTTTCCCTCCGAGACACACGTACATGTCAAGAACCCCATACCCCTAGGGCGAGGCCTGGGCTCCTCAGCTGCAGCCATTGTGGCAGGTGTGCATTTGGCCAACGAAGTGGGCAATCTCAACCTGTCAAGGGCGCGCATGCTCGACTATTGCCTGATGGAAGAGCGACACCCTGATAACGTCGCGGCAGCGCTCTATGGAGGCTTTGTCGGCACCTATCTAAACGAACTCTCACCCGAAGACACGGAGCGCCTTGAGATCCCGCTTAGCGAAGTCTTGCCCCAGCCTGCGGGAGGCGTAGATACCGGCCTCCGCCCGCCCGAGCCTCCTCTGAACATCGGACACTACACCAAGTTCAACTGGTCGCCCACCATCAAATGTGTTTGCATAGTTCCACAATTTGAAGTGTCTACGGCAAAGGCACGCGCCGTGTTGCCGGATTCCTATTCAAGGAAAGATGCCATCTTCAACATGCAGCGCCTGGCTGTCTTGACGACTGCCCTTGGTCAAGCCACACCTGACCCTGACATGATCTACACAGCCATGCAAGACAAGCTCCACCAGCCATACCGTAGTGGCTTGATCCCCGGACTTACCCAGATCCTCCAATCCGTCACACCGCAATCGCATCCCGGACTGTTAGGCATCTGTCTTTCCGGCGCTGGCCCAACGATACTGGCTCTTGCAACAGAAAACTTCGACAAGATTGCAGAACATCTTTTGCAAGAGTTCAAAAAAGAGGGTATAACGTGCGATTGGAAGCTCCTTGAGCTAGCAGAAGAGGGAACTGTCGTCACTCGTCCTACCAAGACACCACAACCAGCCGGCGAGGCATTGACATATGCATCATCTGGTGTCAGCATTGATGCAGGCAATGAACTCGTCAAGCAGATCAAGGCGCTGACTGCCAGCACAAAGCGACCTGGAGCCGATGGCAAAATTGGTGGATTTGGCGGGCTACTCGACCTGCAGGCGGCTGGATACAAAGAGGCCCCGATTCTTGTGGGTGCTATTGATGGAATTGGCACAAAGGTCAAGATTGCCTTTGAAATGGGCAAACATGATACGGTTGGAATCGACCTTGTTGCCATGAACGTCAATGATCTTGTCGTACAGGGTGCGGAACCACTCATGTTCCTCGATTACTACGCTTGTAGCAAGCTCGATGTCGAGGGCGCAGCAAAATTTGTCGAGGGTGTCGCCAACGGCTGCCGGCAATCGGCGTGCGCTCTTGTGGGTGGTGAGACTGCAGAAATGCCTGGCATCTATCAAAAGGGCGAATATGATGCAGGTGGAGCAGCCATTGGCGCCATCAAGCAGGGTGCAACGATATTGCCGGACACAGCTTCCATGGCGGAGGGTGACGTGCTCTTGGGTCTTGCATCAAGTGGAGTCCACTCGAACGGCTTTTCGCTTGTGCGAAGGATCGTTGAGGCGCAGGGCATGTCATACCTGGACACTTGTCCTTGGAGCGCCGGTGAGAATCTAGGAACCGCTCTCCTGACACCAACCAAGATCTACGTCAAGCCGCTGCTAGCTGTAGCCCGGCGGGGCTTGATCAAGGGCATGGCCCACATTACGGGTGGCGGCCTGCTTGAGAATATCCCGCGCATGTTGCCGAAGACCCTGGCTGCCGAACTCGATGCGAAATCATGGCCCCTTCTAGACGTCTTCAAGTGGTTGAAGAAAGCGGGCCGGATGGAGCATACCGAATTTGCGAGAACATTCAACACGGGTCTCGGCATGGTGCTTGTTGTGAAACAAGAGGACGTCAGAACTACCATGGACCGATTGCAAGAGTATGGCGAGAAGGTCTATGTGGTTGGGTCGTTGAAGAAGAGGACTGATGATGAGTGCACTGTGAACAACATGGAGGTCTGGGGTTAAGCCAATTCTGTTATCTTTAGCTATTACGAACGGGTAGAGAACAAAAGTCGTGGGTTTGAGCGTGTAGTGGTTCCTTCTAGTCTGGCATCGGACGGATCCGCAGATTTAGCGGCATATTAAACAATATATACCCACCTTTTCCTGAGCTTCTAGAGCAAAGTTTTGATCCATAAACCCGTGTTATTGCCATGGTAGTTGTCTGCTAGATGACACGCGTCTTTGTCTCAGGAACAATTGCAGAGACTGCTTCAATGTGTCATGATATTACCAGGTCGTCGATGGCGCAATGAATGAGTGCATGACAAGTGTGTCGGCGAACCTTGGAACGTTGGGGATAAGGAGGCTGTGGTACAGCAGAATACGGGGCGACTGTTTTGGACGGGGTGCATTTGCATATGCAAGCCACGACTTGTTGTGGGGACAAAGGGCCTGCGAGCTGCGAGGACGCGTAAATCAAACTATCAGTGGCTTTCAAGCCGAGAGCATTGTTCCGATGAGGCCATCGTGCCCGAAAGCTAAGCCGCTTAGTCAGACGAAGATTACCCGGCTGGCTGTAAGGGTGAACGCTACTGGTTCACCAAGAGTTGGTTTGCTGGGAAGAGGTGATGTGCTAGCATGGTAACGAGTGGAAGGGTTGCAAAGTAAGCGCACACCTGTCCCATGCTTCCCGCTCGACCTTCTAGAACGTCTCACCGCCGTAGGGTAGACCGCATTAGCCATACACACACATACCATACAGGCAGTTACAAGTACGTGGGGAATATGGTTTGGCCCATGCCTTGCTTGAGCGAACAAAGCTGGCAGTGACGTGAGGCCCACGTATCATGCAACGGATGACATGTCAGCCCAGGAAGAGCAAAGAGAAGCAAAAAAAGGGGGCGCGTCCTGCTTGTCGTCTTGTCGAGGGCGCGCCACGATATGGACGACCGAGGCCGCGAGAAGCGTCGCCGTCGAGGGAGCAAAGAATCTGTTGAGGCAAGCCCTCTTAGGCGCTCGATATGACTCCTAGCTCCCCCGGTCATCTATGTATCCTGACGTCGACATGCAAAGTATGTACAGGTGGGCCGCAGGCGTGATTCGAGACACAGACCAAGACGCCAATGCAGACAGGGAGGACTGCTGTAAGTACTGATGGAGCGGGCACTGGTGAGAGGCGTCGTGGTGATGGTGTACAGGCGCCGGCACGACTGAAACCGTGTGCTACCTCGGCGCAACGGGCTAGACCTGGTGGGGCGCCACCACGCCCACCCCGCCCTTCTATTCGCCATGGGCCTGTGTGCTGGTATACGCCGGACCGCTTTGCACCAGGGCTAACTTTTTTTTTCCTGCTTCGACTCAGAGTCGACAGACTGTCTTTGGCGCTGGGTACTCGTTGCGCACCTTGTCCTGTCTCCCGAAGCTGACAGCATTACATGGCAGCAAGCCAGCCAGCCAGCCCCCCAGTCTTGACCACTCGTCCCCCCCTCTAATCGGCAGCCTCTACCTAGCCCTATCTCACCACCCCCCTCCCCAGACTAGACCGAGCGATTACTACTTATCTCTCTGGGACCCCCTCCCCCTTCCTTCATAATGTCCGCTCCCCACGACTCCGCCGCCGTCCAATCCAACTCGGTCAACACCACAACCCCCGCCAGCTCTCAGGTCGAGTCCACCAACAATGGCCCCTCCCAAGGCGGACTCTCCACCTCCAGTGCCTCCACCGCCGCCGAACTCGCCAGTCTTAAAAGCACGCTGAAGTCGTCATTGCGCCAATTCCCAGACTTCCCCAAGCCGGGCATCCTCTTCGAAGATATTATGCCTTTGTTCGCGAACCCACAGCTACACGAGAGCTTGGTACGCGGACTGGAACTCGCCGTCGAACAGCACTTCAGCGCATCCGGCAAGCCCGATGTGATTGTCGGACTGGATGCGCGTGGATTTTTGTTTGGGCCCAGTCTGGCGCTGAGAATAGGTGCCAGTTTTGTGCCAGTGCGCAAGAAGGGAAAGCTGCCCGGTCCCTGCGAGACCGCGGAATACGAGAAAGAGTATGGAAGCGATTTCTTTCAGATGCAGACCGACGCCGTAAAGAGTGGCCAGAAGGTGCTCGTTGTTGACGACATCATTGCGACTGGTATGTAAAAGCTGCTAGGCTCAGCACGAGCCTTTGTGATTGCATCGATGCTAATCGAGATATAGGCGGCTCTGCAGTTGCCGCGGGATCCCTTGTTACAAAGCTCGGCGGAACAGTCGTTGGATACCTCTTCCTTGACGAGGTCCCTTTCCTAAAGGGCCGTGATAAGCTCAACGCGCCAGTATACACACTCCTTGCAAACCCTGAGCAGTAGAGGGGCCATTCCAGGTCCCGAGCTCAGCTCTCGATTCTAAATTCGATTCTAGCACATTGGAACCGAGGTGGTACAAAACACATGACAGGCCATAGACAGCAAGCATCGCATTTGGGTGGTGTTTATTTGGTTTTGGACATTTATCCATAGTAGATGGCAACAAAGACATGTCCTTTCATGGAAGGATTAGAGGAAGCATACGAACCACATCCTGGCAGGCACCTTGTTGACAATGTTCTACTTATACCCACTACACGTATCTTATCAAATATACACTCTACCTAGCGTACTCTGCATCTGCCACGTAAGTGCTGCTCATCGTATAACCATTATACTTTTCCCGTCGCGAAAATCCCGACCAGACCAAAAAATCTTACATTTACCCCTCTACGCTGGCGTGCTTGTAGGCGCTAGCTCCCAAAACGGGAAGGTGGGAATGATGCTCATTGGCTCCGATGCCGGCCGCCAGCAACCGTGCAGATGCCCCTCATTACCACAGCTTCGAGCTGATGTAATGCCAACTGGGTGCCCCCTCTGGCTATTATCAGGTGGGGTTTTGGCGCCCGGTCGGCCCTGTCCAAGTAGTTACTTATCATAGCGGATTTCCCGACAATAGCCTCGTTTTGCCAGACGTAGATAAAGTGTCCCATGCAACGCATTGTCTTTTCTCAACGACTCTTTACTACTACAAGACTTTTGTGCGTTGAGAGAGCTACCACTACTACTACCTTCACTCCTTCGATAACGAGATTGCCAATTCGACACCAAACCATTGCAACTGAGCAACGAAGAAAAATGTCAGAAATCAAGAAAGTATCCACTGCCAACGCTTGCCCTCGTACGTCCTCCTCAGTTGCTCTCGATACATCCATGCTGTGAGTAAATACTAACAACGCGGTACAGCTGCGGGACCCTACGTACGTTCTTCACAGCTTACGATCAAACTTCCAAGCACCTTTACATCCGACGAGCCCTAACCATACCATCCTCATTAGTCCCAGGCCATCATCGCCGGCCCTAGCATCTTCGTCTCAGGCCAGATCCCCGCGGACACAAAGGGCAACCTGATCGAAGGCAGCATCGCAGACAAGACCAAGATGTGCTGTGAGAACATCAAGGGCATTCTTACCGAGGCGGGTGTTGGTCTAGACCGCGTCGTCAAGGTGTGTTTTTGAACAACCTACCTTCCATACCTATCTTCTACGAGAGAAATAGTGTAACTGACGGAGAGGGGGGTGATTTTTAGGTCAACGTCTTCCTCGATGACATGGCCCATTTCGCCGAAATGAATGGCGTCTTCGAACAGTACTTTTCGCACAAGCCTGCGCGCAGCTGTGTTGCGGTTAAGCAGCTGCCAAAGGGTGTTCCCGTCGAGATTGAGTGCATTGCTTATAACGGTATGAGCGCAAAGTTGTAGGGTCCGCGGCGCTGATTGTTGATGCTTGTGTAGGCTAAATGACGATGGAAATGCGCGTCGGGGATAAAGGGGAATAGGAGGGTGAGATGTGGGGATAGATTTTGTGGGCCTGGAATGGCCTTAAGAGGAAAGAAATGAAAGAACGAATTATTGGATCTTGTTAAACGATCTTGTGCGCATGGAGCTGCATGTGGCAATGCCCTGTGTCTTTGAATGTGTTTGTACTGAACTTACAATAGCAGTAACGAGGAGCTTGGAGAGCATTACTTTGATATCGTGAGAGTACTTGCACATCGAGCGCCTTTATCAGACGTAAAGCCTCCTTATTTCAAGCCAAAGTCCAGAATACTCAAATCACGACAAAGTACCAGAGAGTTAACCATCTAATCAATTAACCAGAACGCATCTATCATAAGAAGCCAGCTATCTACACATTACTTTCCCATTAAGAACCACATAAAAACCTCAACCAAGTCTCACTCCCCTACGAGCGCATATGAACCCGAGCCCCATCCCCCGGCGCAAGCACCAGCGTAAGCGCCTGCTTCTCCATGCCTGTCGGCACCACCGTCTCATCCGCCGGCAACTTCATATTCGGGAAATTCTGAATCAGCCTCACTATCGTATACGCAATCTCGAGGTGCGCATACTCCTGCCCTAAGCACACCCGCGGACCCCCGTTAAAAGGCAAGTACCCATACCCTATCCTGCGGAACAGGGACCCGTCTTCCCAACGCTCAGGTCGGAACTCGTTGGCGTCTTCGCCGTAGAGGTCTTTGCGGCGGTGCATGACGTACACGGAGTACCCGATGATTTCGCCTTTGCGGACGAGGAAGGGGGATTGGCCCGAGGGTCCGCCGCCGACGGGGAGTGTGGTTGTGCAGTTTGCGGTGCGGCCGTTGACGGGGGCGATGGGGTAGAGACGCAGGACTTCTTTGAAGACTGCATCGAGATAGGGCATGCGCTTCATTGTGGCGCGAGTTGGGTACGGCGCATCTTTGCCCAGGCCGATTGTTGCGTCGATTTCTGCGCGTAGCTTTTCGAAGACTCGGGGGTGGCGTACGAAGAGGCGGAATGCCCACGAGAGAGTGCAGGCTGTGGTGTCTCTGCCTGCTAGGAGGACGGCGAGGCATTGTGAGCGGATTGCTTTTCTGTCCGAGGTTTTGCGGCGGAGAGCACTGCAGAAGCTGGCGTTCTTGCCGGTGCCATCATCCTTTGGGTCCTTGAGTGCTGCTTCGATGCCCCGGTCGATGAAGAGATGAGTGGTTTTGCAGGCGCGCTGGAACTTCATCGAATTGGCAAGCCAGTAGTAATCTCCCAGGCGGCCACGATGAGATAGGTATTCCTGTGCTACGAGAAAGGCTTCGGCAAATTCTTCGCCTTCGCCTGGGTTGTCGCCTGTTTGCGAGTAGCCCATTGTGCTTCCGAACAGGAGGAACAATGTTGTGTTGAGAGCTAGGTCGTAGAAAAGAGGCAGTAAATCTACGACCGCATCATCTGGGATAGCCTTGATGAGTTTTTCGACTGCACTTTCGATGGCATCGTAGTTCTTTTGGAGGTTTGCTGCTAATTGTGGGCGGAGAATTGCACGCGAATGCTTCCACTCTGCTCCGTCTTGAGTGAAGATACTACTTCCTAGCAGAGGATAGAAATTTTCGAAGCGTTTCCCAACGCCAAAGTCTGAAGCTCTGTTAGTCAAAGGGTTTAGAGGATGTAGCTTACAGACTGACTTTCGAACTGGGTTCCAAGAATTGCTTCAATATTCTTAGGCTCGATCGTATTGTAAGTTACCTTACCGACTTATAATCATCAGGGCTGTTCCCAAAATCCTGTGTTTTCAACTTACGCGTTCGCTGCTCATGTGTATATCCACTTGACTCCACGATACCGGTAAAGAATTGCATCAAAGTCTGATCCTTTACATGAAGGCCTGCCTTGAAAAGAAGGTCCACGCCAAGAGGCCATTCAGTGACCAATTTAGGCACAGGTTCGCAACCCATTCCTTTTCCAAATTCATCTTGTTCCTTTGAAGTGTTAGCAGTCGGATCAGAGAAATGGTTATGTGCCGTTTGCCTTTCTTCGAACTCGGTTTTCCCATAATCGATACAAGAAGAAGCTCAACGCCGCGATCACGACAATCACGTTCCTGACATTGACGGTGTCGCCCAATGTGTACGACATGTTAGCTGACGGTGAAGTGATTAAGGGAAAGAAGTGAAGGGGAGATGCTGCCATGATCAAAAGAACTCATCGCGGGGGTTTTGTAGAGAAATCTGACCTCAGCTCCCGCGCGGAGGCGTATGATCGTGGATGAGAGTACCTTGGTCGGGGTCGAGTCGAGGGTACCACATTAGCACTATCGTGATTCAGTTGGCTAAGGGTCTTATTAAAATTCACGTCACCATTCTTCTTCCGGTGGGAAACCCAGACCCGAGGCATTCCCTGACCCATTCTCAGATACTATACTGTCAACGAGGTTGTACACTACTCAAACTCGGGGTCTTGATAAACTGTAGGGTCCTATTGAGCTCGTGGTTCTGGTGTGGTATCTTCCGGCTAGTTGGTAACATGGCTTTCAGGGTCCACAACTTGACATGGAATGATGCCTGGTATTGATATCGCTGGTGGCGCCATCCACGATCTTTGGTTCAGCTCAACGTCAGTGACTTCATCATGAGGGCTCTACGAATTATTTTTTCAGATCCAGCAATTTTAGCTTTTATCCTAACCCTCTTTTCTATATCAAGATCTTAGCCTTTCTTTCTAAAGAGCCTTAAGAGCTCTTGAAGCTATATTAATGATTGGCATATGTAGATTTCTTCATTGGGAAATATCCCTGCTTCCGCCTAGCTCAGCCCTGCAGTAATGGTATTAACTGCAGAAGATGGTGCTTGGATCAAGATATGTAGACACCAAAATACCTTATCAGGCTCAGGAGGACCTCGCAGATGCAGGGTCGAACCTGAACTGACTGTTGAAACTCGTGTTAGCTGAGCCTGTGAATAGACATTATGGCTTCAATTCCAAGGGTGAACACTGCTTCCTATAGAAGCTGCCGTATCTGATGCCACCATACGATTGGACCGTATAAGAGGGTGACCTATATGTAGATGAGGTTAAACCACTTTGATAGGGTCAAAAGCTCCAAAGCCAATAAGAGATTGGCTGCTCTATGCAGTTCGATATTGCCCTAGACATGTGAAAACTAGCCGAGGTAACCCGTTTATTTCTCTGCATCTATTTCGAGCTTTGGAGTGTTGCCTGGATAATATTGGTAATGCTACTCTGTATTGGGGGTGAGCGGTCATTAAGTTTGTGTTTGATCTAGCGTCGGGCCGTCTTGCCGTCCGCGGATTGGTGCGTACTATGATTTCTCCGCTTTCCCCACTTCCCCTTGTGCACAAATCCAAGAGAATGCGCGTCCATGGGCAATTCTAGTTGGCCGCCTCAATGACCTCTTCCCCATTTATTACTGGTCACATGCGAATATTGACTCGTTCTCATTTTCTACATCAACCACATAATGCGCCAAGTATCAGGCCCTCCATTTTCGCATATCTGCGAAGGATGTATCTCGGATCGATCATGAACTCTACAAAGCCACAATTCCCGAAACAAGAGAAGAGCTGCCTGAATTTCGTGGGGTATGTTCACAAGTAGCAAGTGGTACATCGTAATAGTTCGCTTCTCGTGTTTACAAGCCATGTAAGCATCAATGTGATTGACACTGCAGTGCATTGATCAGTCTCCTGTTCCGTTCAACTAAACTACCTCAGACAAGTTAGATATGAGCTGCCACCTAGGACGCTACATCCAAAGAAGACGCTAGTCGCGCTTCTGTCCTGTGTTGTTTGTGCGAGCCTCGGGGAGCGAACATGTGGTCACACTCTACTGGAGCTGCAGTATCGCGTTCGCCTCATTACCGCGTCTTGAAACCACGTAAAGCCCTACTAAGGGGAATGCCACGGAGCCATAAGGATGACCTCTCTGCTGAAATGATATAGTATCACAATCTCAGATCTCAGATAAATCCGATAGAGTGGTTGTCAAAGAACCTTGTAAGACCGTGCATGGAAGGATCGGCACTTGCTTGGTTGAGAAGGTCAAACTCCCAATACAGGCTTAAGCTGCGGATTTCAAGTCTCAGTTGCATACTGAGATCGCGATCTATCTTGGTCAGTATGGTCTCTCGAGAGTCCGTTTTTTCTTTTCTTTTCCAGACCTGCAAAGTTGCCCACAATTATTTACCAATACCAACTCGCGACATAGAGCCCCCAGCATCGACTACATGGCTTCAATTAGCAAAAGTTCTTATATGACAACCAAGTACCTAGCCCAAGAGCGGACCCAGAATGTCACAAATCCAGGCGGCAGTCGCTCGGCGGATCTGATAGGAGTCAAAGATGCGGACTTTGTGGCCATTGGCCTTGGAGGCACAAACATGCTGGCCATGCTGTGGACCATAGCTATGGGCCGACGTGCTGTTGGTGTTGAACTTCGTGGCGATCCTTTCCTAGGTGTACACTGGAACATCCGCGAGGACATGTATCATCAGCTGGGATTGATTGATAAGATGATGCTGGACCGCTACGGCCTCGAAAACATGCCGAAGAGACTCGATGGATCGCCGTTCACACTTGCTGGTCTATTCTACTCACAGTCAACAATGTCCGGAGTTATCATACCAGGATCGATCATCGAAGGGTACGACAAGAGTCATCATATGGTTGGCGACATCCATGACATCGAGTACATTGATGACCGTTGGAAAGATGGACGACCACATCGTACTGTAACATCTGTGCCACCCCCGAACATGCCTACTGCGCCAGATTCAAGCAAGATCCGGACCGAAATGCGTGAAGTGCTTGATGGACCGTCAACATGGCAGGCAGCAGCTTTCTCCATCCAGCTTCTTCTACGGCGATACCTCGAGCAGCTCGAAAAGATCGACCTGAATGCCGGAAGAACGCCTCGATGCCGTTTATTCAGCAAGCATCGCGTTGTGCAGGATGGAAGCGGGCTAGTCCATCTTCCTTGCGGTCGTGTCCAGATCCGCATCGAAGAAGTCACTGAAGTACAGTACCACAACGACCTCCAGCGCATCCGTACACCAGGCAGCGATTTCATCGATCTCGGCGTCCCAGAGCTCTTCAGCATCGCAACAGGCATCAACTGCCGCGAAGCAGAAGATTTAGGATTCCAACAGCACGACGTAGAAGTCGACCACGGCGACGGCCAAGGCCCCAAAGTCGCCCAAGCCGACTTCGTCGCCGGCCAATTCAACATCCTCGTCGACGGCCGCCTCCGCCGGCGCATCGCCTCAGAATTTGACCATCATGGCAACGAAACCTGGGTCCGCCAAATCGCTGTCGGCCACGAAAAAGACCCTCGCGTCACCTGGCTCATCGTCGAAGTTCCAGAGCACATATCGCTCTGCCCAGCAGCACGCGGTATCGTCTGTCCCACAACAAGCAAAGACTCAGCCGAGTACTTCGCCGCCTACCAACTCCTACTCTACGACTACTACATCTCGCAAGCCTCGCTCATCCTTGAAATCTCGCCTGACGACCTCCGCCGCGTAGCCATGGTATACGGCCCCAAGCCCTTCAGTCTCGTCGAGCGCATCGGCAACGACGCCCGCGTCGCCACCAACGGCGTCGTCGCCGGCGACTCCTTTGGCAACGGCCACTTCTTGCATTCCGCAGGCGCAATGTGCGGCATGCTCGGCCACGCTTATCGTTTCCTCGAGTATTGGCAGCGCCGCGCGCACGACGCGCATTGCGCCGAGTCCTCTATCCGACTCCTTGCTGACCGCATCAAGGCGGATACAGAGGCCTTGCTGGAAGTCAGTGCCAAGGAGTTTAGTCAGGCGATCCCGAGTAATTTTGGGACTGAGCGCGGATCCAAAGTCGCGGCCGCGAGTGGGATTGCGCAGGATAAGAGGGCGAAAGTTGCGGGCAAGAGGTGTATAAGGTGGGCGCAGGCGCCGCTTAATCCGACGGATTGGAGGAGGGTTTTCCTGAGGAACGGGATTACATGGAGTGGGAAGTTGCCGAGGATTGATGAGAGGCATCCTAAGGCGAGAATGGAGAGGGCGAGGCTTTAGAGTCGTGTAGGGGGCTTGTCTTTTGCAGGTGTGTATGTGATATCAGTAAAAACTAGTGTAGGCTTTTATACATACATTTGTACACAATCATGTCATATACATTGTCTGATTTTATTCCTTTGACTCTAAATGTCTGACACGAACGTCACAGTCAAGTTCCAAATCTCCACATCTTAAAAAGCGTAATTATATTAGCAATAGATGCTACAATAAGCTATTGTTAGCATTGACTATATCATAGCCTGCATATCTCATCCACATCATTACTGCGTAATAACCCCATCGGTAGACAATTCCTCATCAAGCCCAACCCAGTACCGAATCCAGTTGAAAATCGACTTGTGCCACAGTAAACTATTATGCCTATTGGTAACCCAGTGACCTTCATCCGGGAAATGCAAGAAGCGCGAGGGCACACCCAGACTCTGCAGGATATTAAAAGTCTGAAGGCCCTCTCCCTGGAGGACACGGTAATCAAGGTCATTATGAATAACGAATTCAGGGGTGCTAGCATTGGCAAAGTGAGCAAGGGGCTCCCACATCTCGTAGTTCTCGCGGTTTTCCCAGACGGTGCCGTTGTTGTCGTGCTGAATGAACCAGATTTCGTCTGTGCCGTAGGAGGCGACTTGGTTAATTTTGCCGTCGTGGCAGACGAGAGCTTTGAATTCGCGGCCGAGGGCGTGGCCTTGGATCCAGTTGATCATGTAGCAACCGAAGGAGGCGCCGGCGGCGATAGCGCGGTTCGTGTCGACGTAGTCGACGTTGTCACGGAGGTGCTCGAAGACTTGAACGAGGTCTCTGTAGGGGCTGCCACCCCAGTTTGCTTGGATCTAGATGGCGAATTAGCGTTGCTTTGAGCGGAGGATCTGATCTTCTTACCTTGTTTGTGAAGGCCTGGCTGTAAGATGGCGATCCAGTGAATTGCGTGGTGGTCACGATGAAGCCTTGATCGGCCCATGTTCTCAGGTTCCAACGTGTACTTTTCATTTGTTAGCATAGGAGCAAAAAATATGACTTGTGCATAGTGTACGTACCTCCAGGTGTCACCCTGAGTAGACTGTGGACCTCCGTGGATGATGAAAGCAAGTGGGTACTTCTTGGAAGGATCGAAATCGGTAGGATAGAAAACAAATGTCTGGATGTCATCGCCATCTTCGTTTGTGATCCAGAAGTTTGACACGGAGTCAGGCTTCAGGCCCTTGAGTTCGGGGTCGACCTCATTGGCGGTGAAAAGAACCTCCTTGTCCTGGCCGGGGTGCTGCTTATAGAACATACGGCTAGTCCAACTGGCTGATGCTGATACGAAGGCACTTTCATCAGGAAGAATGCCAAATCCAGCAATCGAAGTATCAGGACCAGTGAAGTTGGTTGGCTTGTAGTCAGCCGGGGCGTCCTGGGGCACCAGCCACAAGCGGATAGAGGCATGCAGCTCCGATGTAACCCATAGATCAACATCATCATGGCTCCACTTGAGACCTGTAGGGCTGGAATCCCAGTCCTCTGCGACTGAGCGGACTTTGCTGTTGGTACCGTCGAGTTCTGCTACGTACAGCTTGTACTTGTCGGATTCGTAGTCAATTCCATCTTGTTGGGTGTATGCCAACTTGCTGCTGTCATGTGACCAGACAGGAGCTCCAGATGCACCTTGGGCTGTTTTGGGAGCGGTAGTGCCTGGACCGTTGACGGGGACTGCAACCTTAGAGCCATCAAAAGGAACGACGTAAATGTAGCTAGCGGTGTAGTTTGCCTTGGGGAGGTCCGGAGACTTGGTACGGAATGCTACAAGCTTGCCGTTAGGAGATAGGTCATAGTCGCCAGGATCGCTCGAAGAGGCTTGAACAGGGCTTTCCGGACGGGTGATTGTGTAGTTCATGCCCGAGAGCAAATTGGTGAGCTTTCCATCATAGGAGTACGTGCCATTGAGATTGCTCAAGACACCGCTGAAGACCGAAACGCGTTCGGCTGTAATGTAGTAGTTCCAGTGGCGCACAAAGTTGGCATCGTACAGTTGGCCAGAGGTCTTGGGCGCGGTGACAAGCTCTGGGTTGTATGCAGATCCGTTGTGTTCGTAAGCAAGGCAGTTGCCGACGAAGTTGATTCCGGAGTCTGTCTTCACAGCCTTGAGGCCGGATAGCGGAGCGTGCAGAGATGCAACCAGGGTCGGCTCAAAGCTGTCTTTGCTGAGATCGGCGGTGTAAAGTGTCACGCCTCCAGGGATCTGCTCGTTGGTTGAGTTGATGTAGAGGATGCTGTCGTCACTATCGCCAACCCAGACGACCTCTGAAGCAGCGCTTCCAAATGGAGCTTTCTTGACATCTCCAGTCTCGGTATCGAGGAAGTACCAAGCTGTGCTGGCCTTTTCAGTGGTCCAATTGAACTTGGTCTCTGAGAAGAGTGCTCGGTCCTATTATTTGCTTTAGTATAACCAGCTTCTGATATAGGTCGAGTAACGTACGCCTTTGGGGCTGAGAATGCCATTGCTTCGGCGAGGAGCAGCAAGCAGTCCCCTGTCCATGTCAGTCTTTTCTCATGAGCTTGTCAAGCTATACGCACTCAACGTTGATGGCCCGGGCGGACTGCAGCACGAGACTGGCGGCCAGAAAAGCGGTCTTCATGGCCATGACTGATTTCTCGGCCTGACAGGTTCACGACTTTGCAGGTACAGAAGTCAGGGCGCAGATGCATGTTTGGGCACGGTAAAGCAATATATACGGCGGCATGTCGAATGCAAGACGGGGCGATTAGCAAGGCGGTTGGTAGTAAGTGGGACTGCAAGACTGGCACCTTCCTCATTTGCAGTATGCCAAGGAAGCTTTCCACGCCTTCGCTTGACTTGAATTTGGCCGGAGGGTGGACGGGCGGTGGGCTTTTTCCTCATTAACCATGGTATGGATGATAGGGGTGGAGTCGATGACGAGCTGCATGGCGGGCTATCACGACCTGCCGGATGGAGCTTGAGGGGGACGCAAGGCCTGGCTGCAGGAACACGAGGGAATGCCAAGCTGCAGGGAGGCGCGATACATGTTGGTTGCGCCTACAAGAGTGAGGGCATGAGATGCGCGAAACATGTTCGCCAAGATAACGTGCTACCTCGTCTGCATGCAGATACACAGGTACATGGAGAAGAGCAAGTAGGCAATCGGGATGGTTGAGTGAGATGCAAAAGACGCGAAAAGTAAGCCATTCCACGTGCTAGGATCGCCGCTCCACATCGGTTCTGCCGCTTGCAACCCTGCGCTTGCATTAGCACGATGCCAAAGTCAGGACAAGTCGTCTATTTCCACGCTCAAGGTACTGGTCAAACAGCGGGTAGACTTAGTTGAACCAGAGTTGTGGGTGTCACTGAACGAGGTACTAGCATTAGCACTAGGCATGTCAAAACGCAGTCACGTGCTGTTCTCCAGGGTAGCCATGCGCCGGCGTGTTTGTAAGAGCACACGCACAGGCATTGAAGCCGAAACACAGACTGAGAGCACCGAGCAGCAGATGAACCGACGTGGTTGGGTTTTGGGCAAAAGCATGCCGTCAAGCACAGCATGCAGGTGTGTTGGTGGAGGGTTGGTGTGTGTGGTGTCTGGCGAGTTAACAGTTGGCAGTGGCCGGCCTTGAAACGAGCGATCGCCCAAGACGCGCTAAATTTAGTTGAACGGCTGCGCCACGGTTCCGACAAGGATGGGCAGCGTGAGATGGGCATGTTGGCGTTTGTGAGTAAGCCGTCTCAACAGCTGTTCGACGAGGAGCAAGACGAGTACGTATCTACACGAGCCGGGTAGGTAATCAACGGTCGATGGCCAAGATGGAGATACGAGGACGCTGACGAATGTAAGGAGAAGCAGGCGTAGCAGTTCCGTATTTCCGAAGTTGCTAAATAAACATGCGTCCTCACGAGGGTCCAATCACACATGGGATATGCCTGTCATGAATCTCGATGCCCTTGGCCCTCTCCCTCTGTACTGTCCCAGTGCTTGCATATGTAGTACATGGACACATGGATGCACACAGGGCCGTATCTGGCGGAATATCAGCAAAGACAATTTATGACGTTGCAAGTGGCTTGGTCGTGGTGATAGCAGACGACTGCTAAGACGAGGATTCCGCCCTGCTCGGCGGAGGCTTAAGCACCACCACCATGACATGACCATTTCCACTGCGGCCTCGAGCGCCTCGAGTCAAACCCAAAGCAGTGTCTCTGCTGCTGCACCACCGTCTTATACGAAGCTAGCGCCTTGCGACCGTGGTCCGCTGTGCTTGCTGCACCCCACTGCCACACACTGGCTTCAGGAGTCGTCTCCCTCCCACCCGCCTGGGCCGCTCCGCCTAGCACGCAGACCTGAACTCGCCTTTCTCTTCGTACACTCGCTATCCCGCCGTTGCTGTCTTTTTCCCTTGCCCCTGCCCTTGCGCTAGCCTCAGCTGCCGCTGCTGATCGCCCCGCGCCCGTCGCCCCTGCCAGCTCATCGACATAGCCTTCTCTGACGCCTGTTTCACTCGCACCAGGCCATCCTCGCCCGCTCCCCTGCTTGCTTTCACCATCACCACCGCCACCAATTCCTCACCCACCAGCCCTGCCTCTCCGACCTTCTCCTCGCTCTCGACCCGCGCCTCTCCACGCCTGCACCCTCGACCGCGCCCTTCACGTTCAGCGCATACAATCGCATCACCGACACCAACCGTCCGCCCTCCTGCCCACTCCCTTGTCCGCGTCGGCCCTGGGGATCAGACGGCTAGGCGAACATGAAGAGGGGGACGTCATGATGCACGTTAGCACACTGCGCAATGGCGCACTACGGCGACAAGACACCACCCACCTCGACGTGCCTGCTATACAGCCCACACACACGCCACCCCGGTCCAGACGGAGATACAGACGGTCCCTCCTGCCCGCCATCACCACCTTGTCGCCCCTTGTCCTCGTCCTCGTCCTCTCCTCCTTCCTGCCCCTCGCCAGCGCCGTATTTGTAAACTTCCGAGACTGTTTGACACGCATCTACCTCGCCGACGGCAAGCAGACGCCATATCTTCGCTTCACTCCCGAGTACGTCTGGGCAGACTTCAGCCCCGAATACCGATTGAACTTTACCGTCTACGGAAATGTCTCTGGCCAAACCCAGGTTGGCGAGTACCCACCGCTGGACGACGATAACTGGAAGGACCCGAACAAGACGTTTGGCAAACTTGTCGACCTGAACGAAAATCAAAAACACTACACCACCCTCTTCTGGAACAACAAGGTCGTCTCTTACTCCGCTTACAGCGCACCCCCTGTCCGCTTCTGCCAATCCGTTCTCAACACTAGCTGTCCTATTGCGCCTGCTTTTAATGCAAACGCCAGCCAGTATTGGACTTTGCCAGCCATCACCGTTGCACGCGATTTCAGCAGTTCGTATGCATTCTCAACATGGGCCTCAACAATGCGCATTGTCTCTGGAAACGACAACGCCACTCCGCTTGGCTGCATATCTGCCAACATCACCCCGGACCTTGGGAAGAAGCTGGCAGACTCCCTTTGCTACTTCCCCGCCGCCATACTTGCCCTCGTTGGTATCGCCACCGTCTTTGCCGCCACATGCAGCCCTTGGGGAACCTCAAATGTCTTCCGCTCCACGAGCAACTACGGTCGAGACGAAGATCTCTTGCGCTTAGTCACACCAGGTTTTGGGGATTGTCTGCAGTACATCCAGTTCATCGTCCTTGCAGGCAGTCTTAGCCTCAACTACCCAGGCTTCTTCCAGCCAGCCGTCAGCCAGGCCAGTTGGTCGCTTCTTCTTTTCAACCAAAGCTTTGTCAGCGAGGGCAGCGGCTCCCAGAGTCTTATCGATGGCATATATTTCGTCAACGGCACCTACGGTCTCACTCGTCTCGGCCAGTATGTGGGAATGACAAAAGACGAAGACTTGTGGGCGTGCATGGCCATCTTCCTCCTTGTCTTGATTGCCTGTGTAGTCTCGCTCACTCAACTAGGATTCTTCGTCCGCTGGCTTGTGCGCTGGCTTACAAACACTCAGGACGGTGATCTGACTGGAAAGAACTGGGCGTTTACTGCCGGCAACATTGTGCGCGTCATTTTCAACTACTTTTTGCTTCCCATCATAGCGTTGTCGCTATTCCAACTCGTCGTAGCACCGCGCTCGTCGACATCTGTTGTGGTTACCGCCGTCATCATGCTCCTCCTTGTCGCTGGTGTGGTTACATGGATCTTCTGGTTTATCTTTACCACGCGCCCCCGAGCCCACCTGTTCGATGATCTTCCCACCGTCTTGACATATGGACCTCTTTACAACACCTACTCGGACGATGCGGCACCATTCGCCTTTATTCCCGTGTTGCTGACGATTGTACGTGGCATTGCCATTGGTGCTATCCAACCCTCGGGCATCGCCCAAATCATCGTCCTTGCGATATGTGAAGTTATACTGATCTTGACTCTGCACGCCTTCCGGCCATTTCAATCCAACACATCGATGAACGCTTATCACACTTTCTTTTCAATAATTCGGCTTGTTTGTGTCTTGCTTTCGGTAGCATTCGTACCCTCTCTCGATGTCGACGAGGCACCCAAAGGCTGGATCGGATACATCATCCTGCTCCTCCATGCTATTGTTTTGATATTCGGCTTCTTCCTAAATGCTCTTCAGACCATCATCGAAGTGTCGGCAAGACTTGCCGGCGTAGGTGGGGACCAAAGAGGTGGTCTTACTGCAGTCTTTGGAAAGCGGCAACTATCCAAGCGCAATCTTCATCGACATGCCCGCAGCAGTCTCAACTCGAATGCTGTCATGCTTGCCCATGACGAGAACAAGAACATCCAGCTCATGGGCAGTCGATCCCGGAGCATGTCTGCCAGTTCGGCTGTTCTTCTGAACCAGCCATACGACCGAGATAGCCAACGCGCGAGCGTAGGCTTTGACGGATTCAGCCAGGGCGACTTTGGAAACGCCAGTCCGTTCCCCGGACAGAACGCCGTACCTTTCAACTTTCTGGGTAGTGGGTCGGGCCAAAGCTCCAGGCGACCTACCATGGGTGCAATGGATGCCGCCGATCCATACTACCGCCCTCCGCGACCCAGAAAACATACTATGGACTCGATAACAGCGAGCGCACCTGGGAAAGCTCCTGCCCGAAGCGCCGACATTGCTGATGCTCCATACTCGGACCAATTTGATGCGGACACTACTATGCCTTTCGAGGGTCCTGCACGTAGTTCCGGCACTCCAGCTCCGGCATATCTTCGACTAAACCGGGACGACTCTGATTCGAACCTGGACAGAAGGAATATTACCACGGACTATTCCGTACGAGAGTCGGACTTTTACTATGGTCTTCGTGGTCCTGCTTTGTCCTCACAACCAACGCGCAAGTTGAAGACTGGACCAGCGGATCCTATGGGCCCTGTTTCATCAGCTACAGGTTGGTTCAAGAGCTTGAATCTTCTTGGTGGGCGTAAGAAAGAGAAGAGCAAGGGTTTCGAGGTCGTCAGGAGCACGCGGATTCCGCCACAGATGATGACTGTTGAAGAAGACACAACCTCGCCCGAAATCGCACAAGAGCCCTACCGGGACAGTCCGGAATCGCCCCCTCAGCCGAAGAATGCACCCGGAAGTTCTGGTGTAGCATCAGCCGCAGTCTTGAGCGGCAACAGACGCGACTCTTCAGACAGTGAATCGGATAGCAGCGACGACGATCGATTCGACCCGATGCATCGTGTCTCACCCACAGCACCGGCTTTGGGCCCCATTGAGAGTTTTGGCGGAATCGAGCTTCCCAGTAGAATTGGGTCACGATCTTCCCGTATTACACAACCACCAGGGCCTCCAAGCCGTACGCCTACAATACCGCGCAAGAATTCGCGGCGCGTGGCGTCAACCGACTCTAAGCTACTCCAAGACCAATTGCCAACGGCAATGGATGCTTCAAACTCAGCCAGTTCGAGATATCAGCATTCGCAGCAGAGCCATCTCTTAATGCCAAGTGAATCTGGTGGATTACCTATCCGTCTTCCTTTCGGGTCCAACGATCCATCACCTGAACGGACTCCTGGACCCTCTGCTGCATCGAGCATATATCGTCACGACGGCGCCAGCGACTTAAATGCGCCAGGAGCGATTGGCACGGGTGAGCGGCCTCTAAGCACTGGCTACGTTCAACATCACATGATGAAAGACAGTGTTCAGACCGACGGCTATGATGCTGGAAGCCATCTTGAAGCTTCGGCAGAAATTGTGGACCGCAGTCGCAGCGGTAGCACGCAACACAGCAGGCGCAGTCACAACATGTGACGGCCGCTTCTTTAAGACATTCCTTACTTGCACTTGTGGCATCAATTCTGACCTACTTGTAATACATGTCAACGCAGACCGTGCATTTACGAATCTCTTTGCTGTATAATTGCTCAAAAAAACGGGGTTGGGGGGCGTTTCCCTTGGTTGGTCGCAAGCAGTGTGCTTTTCAGTAGCACATGCAAGTACAAATCTATCTAGACATTTCATTTATTCATATACGCAGGACATGGAGAGCCGCTAGTTGAGCCAGCATGGACAATAGTAATTCAAAATAATTTATCTTTCAAGCCGATCTTGCATATGCAAGTGCTTTGCAGATGACCTGCAGCAGCAACGACCTTGTGGCGTTGGGGATCTGCCAGGGCTGCCCGGGTCATAGTTGTTCCGTAGGAGGCTATTGGTGTGGCGTCATGTGTCGCGTGAAGCCGCTAAGATAACGATAGGAGTGGCGCCTGAGGCATTCACGCAGCACCCTCAGCGTGGTGCGCCCGGCCGAAACGCTCTTTGCTTTTCGTGGCTATGAATATCGCGTAGCCCGACCCAGCCTTGCTACCCTTCCTGCTTCGTCTTCACCTGGACTACAGCAGTTGCCGCCACATGCGCCGTGTAGGACGAGTAGTCGAAGTTCCCCTGGCCGAGCCGACGCGCAAGGACCCAACTCCGCGCCTGTTCCCTCACCGCAACCCTCTGCTATTGATAGGTGAGTGAAGATGTCGATGCTTGGAGGTGAGGTGGGATGCTGACGGGAAAGAGCAGTATTGCTACCGGCTACCTTAGCACGGTTCTAGCTAGGTAAAGGAGACGAACAAAGTGGCGGCACATTGCCGTATACCGCCCGACCTTCTCTACGTAGACACCAACCCTCCACTTTGTAATCACATGAGCAGTGACTCTTTGAGCTGCTGTGGCGCCAAACTCACGCTCTTTGCACTTCTACAACCAGCTGTTGGTTTCCTCACGCAGGCTAGATACACTTTAAATGTCTCCGAACGCTGCCCCGCGCCCGAGCGGACCTTATGCTCGCAGCTCACATGCCTACCAGAGTCATGATGAAGGCGCGAGTAGCAATATACAAGGACAACGTGACATTATCATGGGAAATAGCTCTCGGCAGCATTCAGAGGGAGTTGTGGCGTCACACTTCCTGGCGCAAGACCCCGAAACGTGGATGGACTTCTTGAGAGACGGTACCGAAACCGACGTTAACCAGCAACCACCATCCAGCGAGCTCGACCCCGCCGCAGCCCACGAAGCTCGTGCAAACCCCTCTTCCATGCGATACACGCTCCCCAGCCGCCCCTCGCCGCGTACAGACTCGCCGTCCTCTCGCAGCTCTGACCGCAAGCGACGCCTGACGACAGCTGACTCGCCTATGAGGCGGCCATCGAGTATACGGATGCACTCTGAGAGCACGGGCAACTCCAGTATGGACCCTATCCTCCTAGACTCCCCGCCTGCCTCTTTGCGAGCGCTTCCACCCACACCACCCGTCCCACCACATACCAACACTACGCCGGTCAGAAGGCAGAGCGATATTGTCCTGCCACCATGGCAGCCGGATAGCGATGTCACGCAGTGTCCGGTGTGCAAGAGACCTTTTACATTTCTTCTTAGGAGGCACCATTGCAGGTAAGCTCGCAACTCCCTTTCTTGTTGGGAGCGCTGTCCATGTCTTGACTAGTTGGGCATCCACGCCAGAATGGGCAAGAAGCTTGCAAATCGCACGAGGAAACCTAGTTTTGACAAAGCATATGCTGACGATTACCAACAGGAAATGTGGAAGGGTCGTGTGCGCCACGTGTTCGCCACATCGTATCACTATACCCCGACAGTTCATCGTCCATCCCCCTTCCGAGATGGCGGCAAACTTCATTGATCTGACCGGGGATGATGAGAATGCTATGCCGGCTTTCGGCCCGTTCCGCAACCCAGCGCTAGGCGGAGGCGAAGAAGTCCGCGTTTGCAATCCATGTGTACCTGATCCCAATTTTAGTCCACCGCCGCAGTATCAACCTTCTGGCCGTGACCCGAGGTATCCGTTGCAATTTGCCCCGTCTCCTAGATCGCCCCACGCCCCACCACCACCACCACACCCACGCGCTCATCGATCTGCATCAAGTGCGCATGATGTGTCACGGTTTGTGAACCCAGGACATGTGTATGTTAATCGCGACGCTCCGAACGACAACAGCCAGAATAGGCGAGTGAGTTACCACGGCAGCTCAAACATCGGAGAGCGAAGGTTACCTCCCCTCCCACCTTCTGCCACTCAACAGCAACATCCGCACCATCGCGCGCCACTCATTTCGCAGACATTGTCAAGTAACCGCCCTCGTCATCGGTCAACCTTTGGTGCCGCATCGTTTGCAGGCTCGCCGTTTGGACAAGCCACCTCCACTGCAATCCCCCAGCCGCTACATCCTTATTACACACAGTTACCTCAGCCTCGACGTCAGATTGCTGAGGAAGATGAATGTCCTATTTGCGGGGACGAGCTTCCGCCCAAGGGACCTGATGGCGATGAGACGGACCGTACTCGGCACATTGAAGATTGTATCGCCCTACATTCAGCTTCTCCGGGTCCCAAGGCAACACCTGCACCACAGACATCCGCAAGTCTGCCTACTCAGCGTACCCGTGGTATGAGCAGTGCAGGCAATGGTGAAGGATCCAGCAACAGAATGAGCCATGCTGCGCGCGGCATGTTTCCCTATATTGCAACTGAGAAGGATTGTGTGGACGATGAAGGGGCGCAAGCAGAATGCACGATTTGTCTGGAAGACTTTGAGGCGGGAGATCGCATGGCGAGATTGGTTTGTTGGTGCAAGTTCCATGAGGTATGTTCTTTTATCGGATACTGGATTCAGGATAGAGAATGTTTGCTAACCAAACGTAGTCATGCATCAAAGGGTGGTGGAATAAGAAGGGTCGAGGAGCATGTCCTACACATCAGTTGCAGGAATAACGACCTTATCAGGGCCCTTAGGCATCATTCCTTGTTTTCCTTTCAGACACTACATCGGATCGTCAGCATGATAGTCTTTTGGTTATAAGACCATTCGGTCAGGACATCCTTGATTCGCACAGCACTTTTGCCCTCCCCTCCTTTCTTTTTACTACATCATGCGTCGCTGGCGTTATTTGCCTCAGGTATACCCTCTTGTCCCTCCTTTAGCGTTTCTTTTTGTCCGTCATTTTGTCATTTTTCTGAAAGGAGCTTTTATCATCGATAATCAGTATTGCTCAGCATAGAGGTACTCATCAAGGAGGGGGGGTGCGGTGATGGCATTGCTATGGATACGGGGGGAGACTCCGCTTTGGCGTAATGATTACTATTGAAGTACATTATTTCAACATCATGTGGGTATTCACTAGCTAATTGTGCTTTGTCTACGTGTCTCCCTTCTCCCTTCCATCTAACAGGACCTTGATCGTTTTTTTACTCGCGCCAGTTCTGCGCAATCTCCTTTTGCCCGCATTTGGGAATCTGGATTACGCCCGGAAGCGACACGATGTCGCCGCCTTTGATTTGCTGCCGGAGCTGCTCTCGCCCACCGGGATTGGCTACGTCGGCCGGTCGGTCGAGATCGCGGTTTTGCTTGATGGCGTAGCAGGTGAGGGTGCTGTTGGAACAAGTCAGTATGAGAAAAAAAACTCCGCCCGTGTGATAGATTGCAGGTCCGGAAAGCAAAAAGAAAATCATACCTTTTGATGATATCGCTCCTCGTTATCCCACCCCATTTCTCTTGGCCCAGTTCGCCAGATTCACCGAGCCCTTCATACCCGTTTACAGCGACATGGGGAGTTCTTCGCATCGTACTTCCTTGCTGCCCCAGGGCACGCATTTGATTAAATGGCCCTCGGGACTCAACAGGAAATGGTTTCTGTTGTTCACGCATGCTGCGGCTTTATCGTCGTCGTCTGGGAATATCTGTTTGTAGTCGCCGCTGCCCACGTCGTCGCAGCTAAAACCATCATCGACCAAGACGGGATGAAGACCGCGTAAGCTCCATGCGTACGGTATGATGTAGGCATAGAGAGCACAAAGAGCACGAAGAGCACTCCTTTCTATGTCGACGGCCGCCTGGATTTCAGTGTGGAGAAGTTTGTTCTCGTTGATCATTGTCGTCAGATATGCGATACTCTCGTCAGTACCCAAAAATGTGTCGGTAACGGTCTTGCTGACAAGCCTCTTCCAGTTAACCGTTATGGCGCTAAGTGCAACGCCCAAGTCCTTGGTAATCGGCTCCAAGACTGTCCTAGAAATCTGCGTTAGCAGGTAATGGGCTAAGTTGAGCTCTAGGGCATGTGTACATACGATTCTTCGGTTGCCTTTGCTGCTGCTGTCATTCCCATGTCGACACCCGCCATGGCAACTTCCTGTATAGATTCGTGTGGCGAAGGATAGTTGACAAAGAATCCGGCCGATGTGAAAGTTTTCTGAAATAAAGGGCCTCCAATCATACCCAGACCTGTACCGAGAAAAGCATATAGTCACTCGTGGACCCATCGGCTTCTTGTGCTGGAGCAAATGTGTCGGCAAAATCCTCCATAGTCAGGTCAAATGTGTTGCCAGCGCTCTCTACTCCCTTGTAGAACCCCTAATAAAGCTACCCACGAATCAGCTGAATGTTCTCTGCTTATAGAGCATCTCTGCTCACCTTGCTTAATTTCGTGAAACTCCGCAAAATCAAAACTCCAACTGGAGTTTTGCCTTGTTCGTTACTGCACTCAACTGTATTATAAAATTCATTTTCTTCTGCGTTAATCTGCCACACCATATCTGGTGGGCCCTTCAGGTAGCTGCTGACGTACACTACAAATCGGTCCGTCCCACCTGGAGCCCTATTCTTCCAGGCATGAATTGCAGAATCCCATGCGTCTTTACATTTGAGCTGATTCCATCGTTGAATGGGATTGGCAGTTTCGTCTCTAGCCAGTTTATGGCTACAGTCAATTCCCATCCACTCCTCGCCTTCTTGTGGTAACGCAGGCACGTTGCTACCGCCGCCAGAGTTTGGTATGAACTTAGCCAAATCAACAGCCCATTCGGTGGTACCGCCAAAGTTGTAACTTTTGTATAGACTAGTTCGCCTGGCTTTTGTTGTCTCCGACATATATGCTGCCCAGTCGGAGCCATATACAAGAATGTCGGAATCAGCGAATCTGTCAAACGATGTCTCTCCAGCACCATTCTCAATAATCTTATCAATTTCAGCATTATAAATGTAGTCTGGTGTGCCAGTACATTCTCCTTTGGTAGCAGCCGACGAGGGACCGACAAAAGTGCAGTGCGGTCCAGTGCAGGAAGGGTCGGTCATTCGGAAAGATCGACCGTAGCTTGAGATGCCAATAATCAACTTGTTACTTGGCACTCCAGCTTTGGTGACCATAGATAGTGAGTTGAGGGTTTCAGTCAAGTTGACATGTGAACGCAAGCAATTCCCATTCGGATAACCCACGTTAGCCCATTGGCTGCTGTAATCCCATTCTGTAGGTTTCTTAGCACAAGATATCAAGGTTTCAGGGTCGTACTTACGGCCATGCAGATCATAGGTCATATATACGATATAGTCCACCGTTTTCGCAATCTCAGCAATAGGGAATGGCTTGAGGCACCAGAAAGACGCTGGCGCGGCAATGGAAAGATTCTTGTGTATCTTTCAGTTAGTCTACATGTCACAGTGCAAAACATTCGACTAACTTGGTAGTTTGTTACAGAGCAGCTTCAGAAACTCGAGGTAATTCTTGCCATCGATGCGATCGGCGGATGGTATTCCTGGAATATCAGGTGCTGCAGGGTACTCCCAATCCAGATCAATACCATCCAGTCCATGATCATTGATGAACTTTGCGAGATTGTTAGCGAGTACTTCCAGGTTTTCTGGCTTTACGCCCTCGCGAAAGATGTAATACGAACTCGGGCTTGTAGACGCAGTCCAACCCCCCAAAAGCAAGCACGCGCTTTGGGCCTTTCATCTTGACAAACTTATAGAACTGCTCCTGTACCGGTGCAACCGATAAAGTAAACTGAGGTGTAACATCCCCAAAGGAGAAGTGGATATGGGTGTACGACGGATCGATCTAATCGATCTGAGTTACATCCATATGCAGGCATGGCCTTTCTTTTTTGTTCCAAGCTTCGAAGTATCCTAGTTTGATAAATTGCGAGGGATTAGAGCCTTTAAAGATATCAGTACCACAGTTGGAAATACATCCGTTTTTTCCTGGTTGTGAAGTTCCAGGTGGGCCTAGTGACGATTTGATACAAAAATCAGAAGTAATGCCGCATTGGCCCCATAAGTTGCAACAAGCATTTAGAGGACATGTGTTGAGCTCTGCATCCAGATCATCAGTTACCAGAAGATCACTCTTGCCGACCTTGTTAAGTGGAACAATGGGGTTGGTTCCGATTGTAGGAGTATGTGGGCAAAATCATACGTATGTGTTGGTGTCTGAAGTAGGGCCTCGGTCGTATCTTCTACTAATGGCATTCATGAAAAATTTAATTTACCATACTCTATTCAAGATACCATTGTTTTCGCAGAGTACAATGAAACGCTACCAATACAACATTTGAGCTGAGTGAAGAAAGAATTATCGCAAACATCCTGAAATTGACAGACTCATTCCCGCATCTCCACAAGAATAGCCTCAAGCTGCTCCTTTTTCCAATTCTGCGAAATGCTATAATGCGTATCACCCTCTTCCAACCTCAACACAACCTTCCCCCCAGCACCCTCCAACCTCGCCGCAGTCTCAACTCCATGATTCGGCGGAATAAAAACGTCATCCTTACCATACCACAGCTTAACTGGTAAATCCCTTCTAATCTCTTCAATCTTGAACCCCCACGGCCGACATACAACCCTCCCATCCAGCGCCACACCCCCGAACCCCTGCTTCTGCGCCTCGCGATTCGCCTTGAGCGCCACAGTCAAAAATGCTTCATCCCCCTGAATCTGCCGGTTTTTGGGATTCTTAATAGAAGCGAGATAGGAAGGCTCCAGCAACTTTTCCAGCTTCTCCTCATCGCTCAGCTCCATGCGACCGAAAACGTCGAGTCGGAAAAACCACTCTAGCAAAAACTCCGGAGAGAAACGCCAGCCGTATGGGAAACTAAGCCAGTGCACCATATCTGCGTTCCACATACTCATATCCGGGGCCCCCAAGCCGCAGATTATAGATACGCATTTTAGGTTTGCAGCAGGGAGAGCAAAGGCGCAGGCGAGGGCGTAGGGTCCTCCGCCCGACACGCCCATTACTGAGTACGACTTTAGGCCAAGGTGCTGGGTGAGGTGTTCGATGTCTTTGGGCCAGGAGAGAAGGGTCCGGGATGCATGTGGTGAGCTGAGACCTATGCCTGGTCTGTCAATGGCGATGATCCTAGCGCCAAGGGAGATGGCGAGGTCGTGGTAGGAGGAGGCTTCGAGACGCGAGCCGGGTAGGCCGTGTTGGTAGAGGATTGCGTGGCCGGTTGGCGAGCCGTATTCTGCGTATCCTAGATTTCGTCCGTCGGGGAGGATGCAAGTTTTAGAGCTGTTGTGGTCGAGATTGTAGGAGGATGGAGGACTTTGGGTGCTGAGACTTGGTTCAGGCTCGTTTTCGTAGGACTCCATGATCGAGCGGCTCTATCTTAGAAACTGAATTTTTGATGGTAATTAAATGATATTTCTGATTTTCAGAGGCAGATACTGTGGCTTTTGAACCATTTTGAACATGATGTTCGGCAGGTCGGTTGGCCGATGTAAGGCGTCCGTAATACCACTCTCTCCGGTTCATCCCGCAGAACAGCTCATGGCTAGCAAGGCAGCAGCATACATGTCTCAAAATACCCCATGAGGGTAAATAGACTGTAAGCCTGGCAGCTGTATGTTCCAACTGATCGGTGAAATACAAAAGGAATGCAGCGACCAAACAGTCAGAGCAGCGGACATTCAAAGTGGCCATAGTGCTGTGGGGTGGTATTTTCGCTTGATGGGACTCGTTGCACGCACCATTCGCATTCGCTAATCCGTCAACCACTTTCAAGGCATGTCTATACTACAGCACATATCGTTGTCGTCGTCGTTGTTGTTTGAACGTTTCTTTGAGGTCCCCAACGGGGAGCGACTAAACCCAAAGGAGGTGCCAAGGTTCCGCGCCAGGAATCCTATACTTCCCGAGCCGCTTAGGTCAGGCCCATCTGTCTTAGAGCGTCCACAGATCAGTCGCGTGAATGCTTCCTACCTATCAATGCACCACCAGATTCACACTACATCCGCCGTAGTGAGCTTAAGGATTGACTACAGATATATTTTGTACCTACTGTACCACCCAGTCTAGACTGCATCTGTCGCAGTGAGTGAATAGATTAACCGCGTAGACTCTACAAAGGTATCGCACCACCAAATCCAGACGCACTTGTCGCAATGATACCAGAAATGAACAGTGAATATCAGTGATGCCCTTTTTGTACGTTGCATCTCCTTAGTCAATCTTTGACTACACTCATCTCTCCTTTACACGAAGCACAATAGCAGAATTTACAACATTCGTCCATGGATGCAACTCAGCGAGCATTTCCAGTCCAATCGCTTGCAAGTCTTCTGAGAGTTGTAGGATCTATTTTAGTACAATTAGCAACCACATGTCCAACACACATCGTTTTTACAGCATCCTCAAGTACAAAGGAGCATCGTTCCATCTGTCCAAAGAAGAAAAGGTAATGATAACTTACGGGATAGAGTACACTCCTCATACCCCTCGCGCTCCTCGCCACAACCAAACAACCAGGCTGTAACCTCGCAGTCAAATCCCTCAGAATCTCCAACTTAGATCGCGTATCTGTTCCCACCAGCGCAGCCAAGAATACAACTTGTGATTTTGTCCAGGAAACTTCAGCCTCGGGACCTTCCTGCGTGATATCTTCATTCGTAAAGCTCATGCGTTTCGAGAACCCCAGTTTAGTGCATAGAGCGGCGCTGAGACGCAGGGCAGTAGCGTCACGGTCGATGTTGTGAATGTGTGCGGTGGAGTACTGGGATAGGAAGCACAGGGATGTCAAGGGTAGAGGGCCCGAGCCGATGAAGGCGATGGAGGTTGGTGGGGAGGAAGCGAAGGCGTTGATGAGTGAGGCTTCTAGGCGGGAGAGATCAACGTAGTTGTCGTAGTAAGGGAATGATTGGAGAATGGTAATCGAGGCTGCTTCTTGGCTGGTGTCTTTGCAGAGATATCAGCATATTCTCTCTTCTCTCCGGGGGAAACGTTCTGCATGATGGGAGACGTACCCAGTTCTTTTAACATTCGCTCTGCGTGGAACTTTTCTAGTTCTCCCTCGGCTTCAGAACATATTGGACGCAGTTTGTCACAGAGCTGCTCCACACCCGCTATGTTGAAGAAGTAGGTGGTAAATTCGGCGCTATATGGTACTACACATAGATTTACCAATCGTGTCAAGAGGATGTTGACCTGATGTGAGGGCGCTAATGACGATAATTCACTAAGCCTGGAATGAATATCTCTTATCTCGGCCACTAGCTGGTGTGCTGCTGCGCTTGTTCCATTTGGAGTGACAGGAGGGGTAACCGTGAGGGTCTTGGCCAAGGGCGTCGGCTTTGATACATTGGTAGTTGAGGGAAGTTGAGTGGTCGCCATATTGTATGTTCAACAAGGTGCTTTCTTGGAATCTTTTTATTGGTAGTATACAAGGTGGGAATACAGAGTGCAGCAGTGGTTAAAATAGCAAATGTCGTATGTATCAAAGACTTCTTGATCCACCATTAGGCGTCAAGATCCAAGAGTGAGGCGCGTGGGGTGCGTGGGTGAAGGCTAGCAAACTCTTTCCGGTGCAAGCCACTTGGTCGAAATCATAAGCATTAATGTAGTGGCGCTGGTTGGTCAAGCGCACGTGAGCACCGTGCTGGCCATGTGCGAGTTTTAGGTTAGAGCAAGGGATTTCGGCGATAAAATACGAATATGTGGGGTTTATTGTGCATTGAGTATAAGTGTTTGCAGTAGGACTGCAGAGTTTGACCTTGTAAGCGGGGGGAACAGTACACCCTGCAGCTTCAAGCTCTACGTGAAAGCAAATCAGGTACCGCGGCTTGCTTCTAGAGTTGGCCTAGAACAGACATGAAGAGGGTAGTTACGTGGGAGACCATGAGAACCGCCAAAGCCACCAGAGACATCGAGAAACGTGATACGTCAAGACAGCCCGAGCATGTCATTCGAGGCGTGGGGGTGGAGAGATTCGTGGGCGGTATTGCCTTGTGGTGCCTCTAGCGGGGAACTTGTCCGTCGCTGGGCCTTTGGTAGACCAGTTTCCCGCCAACCCACGTTTCCCTTACTGTTGCCTTCCGTAATGATTCAAAGTCCATTTTCTCCAAGTCCTCGTCAACAACAATCCAGTCTGCGTACGCCCCCACTTCGATGACACCAGCTTTACCTTCGAGAAATGCGGCATACGCGGGGTTAATGGTAAAACCCTTCAGTGCTTGTTCAAAATTGAGTCTTTCTTCAGGATACCAACCAGTTTTGCCGCCGTCCGCATCTAGACCTGTTTTTGGGCTCCGTCGCGTGGTGGCTGCGTATATGCCCTCAAAGATGCTGGCAGGCTCAACTGGAAAATCACTGCCTAGAACCAGCCCCTGAGATACCATTGAACGCATACGATACGCAGAGTCGCTTGTACGCTGGCGGCCAAGCCTAGTTTCCGCATAATCCATGTCTGAGGTCGCGTGTGTAGGTTGTATGGATGGGATGATGCCCAGCTCTTTAATTCGGACCTGGTCATCCGGATGGACGATTTGGAAATGTTCAATCCGAAAACGACGTTGTGATTGGCATTCATAGGGGGTAACGTTGGGGCACACCGTTTTCAAGGCAGCCTCGAAAGCGTCAACAGCGAGCCTGTTCGCAAGGTCGCCTATGGCATGAATATTGACTTGGTATCCCTGCTCGGCCCACTTGAGCGTGACTTCTGACAATGTGGTTGCATTGACAAGGAGCGAACCCGATGACGTGGGTTTGTCGCTATAAGGTTCGAGCATTGCGCTGCCCCAGCTGCCCATCGCCCCATCTTTGTTATATCAGCACCTCCTTTAGACAGACACCAACGAGTACATACCTGCAAACAACTTCACGCTCTTGACTTGGAATTTGCCGTTTGGCATGCTGATTTTCTCCACTGTCTCTGGACAAAAGGTGTTTCTATTGTCGCATTCAATCATGGCGTTCACCCTAACAGTCCAGTCTTCGTCATTTGCGAGCTTCTCGTATAGCTTCAGGTCTCCTGGAACGACTCCAGCATCGTGCATCCCTACAATACCATACTGGTTCAAGTTGGCCATCGCAGCTTTGATGAACTTAGTCTTCCGCGCTGCGTCGGGCTTGGGATAGTGTTCCAGAACGATGTCCATGGCATTGTCGCAGAATACGCCCTTCTCAGGTATCTCACCGCCAGGCACATCTGGTAGTGGTGAGGGGAGAAGTTCGAGTACCTTTTCAGAAACCCAGATGCAATGAACATCCACCCGGTCCAGCATTACATAGAGGCCTTTGAATTCTTTAGATATTTCTAGATCTGACTACCGTTATGTCAGCAAGCAATTTCGGCAGTAACTGCATCCATCAAACAAGAATCCTGCGACGAATACCCATAGTGTCTAGCAAAAGTAATAGTGATATATGACCACTGTAGTTGTCCACCACTAATACTTTTGTGAGACACCATGAAATCTGTCCTATATTTTTGTCCAAGGGGTGATTGGCTCATAAAGGTATTGGTGACACGTACTGAGGCTGGCCACCGTCCAAAATGCGCCTGATCCCAGCCTACGCCCCTCAGCCACTGATCGCTTGTGCCCTCATCAGGACGACCCATTTTGTACTCGAGTAGTCTTTCCTGAACTTCAGCCATCGAGCTTGCAGAAAATAAGCCTACAGAGTCTAGAGACTCTCCAAACTGTATCAGATGGCCGTGCCCATCCCACAAGCCTGGGTACACGTATCCAGTACGCGCCTCCTTGGCCTCATCGGAAGAAGCATGACCGGCGAAAACACTTGAGAAAAGACCGTCGTTGACAGTAAAACAATCTAGGTGTAATAGCTCCGGAGACAAGGTTTTGACAGATTTATAGCAATGAGTCGTGACGCGCAAGTTTGGGAGTCGTTCACCAATGAAAGCCGGCAGTCCAAGCTGATAGATGAGGGCCACCAGTACTACCGGGAGGGACAGCCAGAAATAGACGCCTGTGGAGGGCATTGTAGCTCTTCAACGCCTGACTAGCAACGGCTGCGAATTGAAAAGCATAAAATGCGTGAGTAGCATCGGGGAGTTTTGTGGATTGGGGTGGGTAAGCGAGCACCAATGACGCATGAGCGGGCGGAGCGGTTCCTAGTCCATCTGCATTGGTCCATTTCCATGTACTAGACCGTTCGCTTGGTCTTCTAGGCGGCGCTGTAGAATCTAGACACATGTCACTGCCAGTTGGTTTGCGAAATGGTGGCGAGTATGGAGCGTTTGGGTGGGGATTTGGACACGCACATGCACATGCACTCAAGCGGCTCTTGGCGTGTGCCTCGCCGGCTCCTTCACCCGCTCCCCGTGGTGGAGGCGATAACCAGCCATCTCACTTTGCATACAGCAGATTCGTTGTCGCTGGCGCAGGTTGGTCAAGCTCTCTCGCTCTGTGCTTTAGGATCCGCACGCACCGGATTGTCAAGATGCTTGGCGATCAGAAAGGGCGGTGAGCGTCACCATCGAATTCGCATTCTCACAAATGCCCTTTGCAATGACCGCTCAAGGTTAATCGCCCCTCTTCTGGGTGAAGCTCATGCGTCCGCTCCACCATGGCTTGTGTAGAGATTGGATGAAAGTAGTCGACCACTCAACAGAAGGCTGGGCCTCCTGCAAGGTTGGGTGGGGGCCAAGAAAGCAATCACTATTGCTAGGCGACATAAGCTTCACGACCTCGGTTTCTGCCATCTGCCTTCTCGAGGCCACATCACATAGCGACAGGTCAGGTAGATGGCTGAGACAGAGCTCGAGGTGCTGAAACAGCGGCTGGAGTCGCTGCAGCGCTCGCATGACGCCTTGCTAAACAGTCTCTCGACTAATGACATCTTCAAACCATCCGATGCTACTACCCACCTGCGTCGCAGCTCCACCCGACTCGGTGGCGACACCGTCTTTGCCGATACATCAACACTTTCAGACGACAGCGACGATGACGAAGATGATTTCTTCGTCCAGGCCGAGCTCCCGTCTCACTCGTTCGACCACGAACACCTCCGCGATCATCTCAAGAATCACTCCTGGAGTTTGCACGGCAGAGAAATATTAGCACCCATCCTCTCTGATCCTGTAAAGCTTTCCAAACAGCCTCACCTATTTCACCAGGATGCAAATCCAGAAGATCGCAGCCATTACTCACATTTCCAAGTCTACAACGTCGGTCAAAATGGTGTCCCGAAATTAATCGAGGCTGCTAGTCCCGATAACGACATGTCCAATGCGCGTCAAATCTGGGAATCACTCAAGGAAATCCACAAACATGACGACGAAGTTGTGGTAGGGCGCATCACGATTGCGCGCGAACCTTCGCCGATTCTGTTCGGCGCCCTACATCTGACTCTGCACAATACCTTCGACATGGACGAGCTTTTCCAAAAACTCGTCGAGACGGACGCGTCTTCTGCGCATATGTTCAGGGCTTTTGACGAGGATCCTAAGCACCAAAACTCTTTCTTCTTCAATTTTGAGTATTACACGATTGTTGGAGAGGAGTGCAAACCGATGCAATGGCAGCTCGCTGACAAGGCAAGTGGTGATACCGAACACCACATCCCCTTGGCCCGATGCAGCGCCATCGTTGCGCTAGTCCTCCATGACGAGAACCCTCGCCGTATCCGTAATCGGGCAAGACGTGCCAAAACCCGTTTTGGGTGGGTTCATGACATCTGGTCACCCTACCAAGTCCTCCAGTTAGAGTGTTTTCCCGACTGGAAATCACAGCCAACACAAGGAACCCCCTACACGTTTGAGAGTGGTCACAAGTTTCTCAACGGCGCGGAGGCTTTTCTGCATTCTCTTTTGACAGAGTACCGAGATGCGAGAAAGAGATACGACGAGATATACAAGCGCATCACCGAACTCGTTACTCCGCCGCTAGGTTTCTTGTTTGACGAGAAACTGCGGCAAACCCGGCTTTTCGAAGATAAGGATTTTACCTGGACACGCCGATACTTCTACGCCCACCAGACCCTGGGCAGCGTCAACAATAGCATCAAGTCCATGATAGACGCTTTTGAAGATACCTTCACAGAAGATATCTGGGAAGGAAGGAATAAGATGATGTGGCCACTGTTTGAAGAGTCTCCACGGAATGAATATTGGAGACGTCGCCTGCGCTTACTGAGATTGCAATTTGAGCGAGAGATGAAGGAGCTCCGGACAATCATAGCTGAAAACAATGAAAGAAGACATGAAATTGAGACGCTGCAGGAACAGCTCTTCTCGGGCACGAGTATCCAGGAGTCCAGAAAGTCTGTGGAATTAGCAGATGTTACCGTGCACCAAGGCTACAACATCAAAGTCCTTACCATTGTCAATTTGTTCTTCATGGTAAGTCTAAAAAACCAAGGGTGTTGAGTATGCAAAATTAGCAAAGAGAGCTTACTGACAATCCCGGACAGCCCCTTACTTTTGTCACCTCCATTTTCGGCATGACCAACATGCCTGAAAAAGCGGGTTTCACAAACTTTGCAGTCGTACTCGTTGCCATATGCATACCCTTCTTCAGTATTATCGGTTTTCTCTCCACCAAATACGGCTATAGCATCTGGGCACAAAAGACCAAAGAGCTCTGGCGCTTCATCTCACCCAAAAAGGACAAAAAGAAACTGCAGGACGATGAGAACATACCTCCACGCGGACCTGTCAATCGTACGTTGTCTACGCAAGAGGGCATGCGCACGAGATTGGGTGCGGATTATGCAGTGCCAAGAAGATTTTCGAGTGGAAGACCACAGCCTAGTCACCCAAATATCCAGCGCATGGTACAAAGAATGGGGGAAGGGCGGCAGAGCGGACTAGTGCAGATGGGGACTTTGGTCGATGATGAGAGCCAAGAGTCAGAAAAAGTAGAGCCCGGTATAAAGAGGGGGAATACGATGATTGAGATTCGCGAGCCATAATCCTGCCACCGTCTCTTGCGTAGTAGCGAATACGGCCGTCTCCAACGTCAGAACCAGCACCGTGGTAGCGAACCTACATAAACTTTTGGAGTCGACACACCATTACGACTTTGAGCTAGGGCACTATTCGTTGGGCTGCCTTCTAGTTTTTCTTTACTGAGATGATGCGATGTTGATGCCTAAATGATTAAAACGGCTCTTATAGAAACGACATAATGTTCACGACGATACGAGGTAAACGCTATATGCAAATATTTATACATATCACGCACAAAATCTACTTCAACATGTATAAAAATAATAAAGGTCTTATCTGGTTCACATATCACACCCCTTGATATTAACCCGTCTCTGTTATCGCATGCGCTATTTACCTCCTTATTGGACCATCTTCCTCCGGACAGTAAGCCGCCACCCGGAATGCTGCTAGCTGCTGCGAATAACCTTAAACACGAAAGAAACTTTACAGCCACCGGGTTACAGGTCGAATGCGCGATGTGGTGTCGGAGCCCAAGCCCGAGCCTGATTCGGCTTAAGTGATAGTCAGCGCTTTGACAGTGTTACAAAGCAGGAAGAATTCCCATAGGCAGACGTATCTATTAGGGATCAACATAGTGTAGCGAACCCAGTTACATAAGTCTATCGCCAAACACCATCGTATTCGCTTCCCTATATGTGATTACAACTGCAGTCTAAAATCCGCGTTGTAGATCGAACTTTATGGCGCATATACTGTACGTTACAATAGAAATGGATCCATAGCATGCGTGTCTGTTCAAGAAGAAACAAACAACTATATGACTTCAATACAACTAAGTATTACCATATCCTTGACGTCTTTCAGTTCCGCTGCTACTATCCTTCAAACAAAAGAAAGAAGAGTTTTTCAAAAAAAAAGGGGGGTATCCAAAATCTGCAAAAACCAGCTCTGCTTTCCATCTCTGTTTGTTTCGGCCACAATCATGATGACATCCTGATATAGATATTTAAGAACAAGGGAAAAAAGAAAATATGCATATTATACACAAAAAGAACAGGTCCCTGTAGATGCCTTTACGTACCCATCCAATACCCTGTTTTTTTATTTTCCCCCTCCTAACAAGGAGCGCACCCATCCGAGGCCGTTTCTCACAGAATATAAAATGTGGTATATAGACGTGATAAGAATTCAAAATGATGGGGGGATATGTAGGTAGGTTTTTCGTTCATCGTACGCGAGAACCGGGACCGCCGCTTCCGCTCTCAATGTGCGGGCTCGACCAGTCGATTCGCGGGGACTCGAAAGTTTTCGTGATGGGTGGTGCGTCGCCGCTTGATCTGCTGCTTTCGCTAGCGGGATGCAGTCCTGAGGGGAGACCATGCTCGCTGACTCGCACTTCGACGTTCATACTCTTCATGATACCTGGTCCCTTATGTTCTTCTTCGTCGGTGAGGATGGCGCGGTCGCTTTCGTCGTCGAGGACGCTTTCGCCGGGGATACGCGAGTGGTAGGCTTTGCTGCCTTGGAAGTTTTTCAAGGGAATGCCGTTGCTTCCTGCGGCGCCGCCCCCGATTGTAGAGTTACCACCATACCCGTAGGCTTTGGTCCTGCCTGAGCCGGTCAGGGTCGATGGGAGAATCTTGGAGAAGAAGTGGTCAAAGGCTTTGCGAAGGGGTGGCAGCGATGCGATTGTGATGCCGAGGGAGAGTTCGGCGCCGGACCAGACGGTCAACGGTACTCCATCCCAGGTTGGGTCTCTGGTTGAGACGATGGTTTTGAGCTCAATAGTCTTGAAGATGGAGCAGATTGTGGCACTGGAAGAGGAGTAAATGTTAGTTTGAGGGGGATTCTAGAAGTTCTTGACGTCTTTGGACTCACGGGATACTGAGCAGAAAAACAACACGAATCCCCCACTGAGTTCGTCGGCTCAGTTGCACGTGTGATAGATAGATCAGGGGTGCAGCCATGTAAACAACATCAGTAACAACATTGCTGATGCCCTGGGCGTAGGACTGCGGGAGGGTGCCTTTGGCCCAGCAGTGACTCTCTCCTTTAAACCCAAAGTTCCAGTTCTTCTCCAATGGCGTGCATCCAAACAGTGTGAAGACAGGGGCCAAGAAGTTTAAGGCCGTGACCATCAGGATGGACAGCCAGATGATGACCTGGTAGATCTTAGAAAAGTTCAGGACAAGCAGCCATGCACAGATGGCCCACTTCAAAAAGGCCATTGCAATGATATCTGCAAACACAGTCAGCATATGCGTTTCTGATGAATGCCTTCATGAACGTACTGACGATCTGAGTGATCCATAAATAGTAGCTATACTTCAAGATATTGGGCAAGACCGTGGGGTCCATAATATGGCGACCCAGTCCATTGTCTGTGATGACTTGGGTAAGGGATGTTGCGGTGATGTTCAGAGCCTGCAAGGGTTCAGGTCAGAATTGCGAACTGCCGTGAGAACAGGTGTAGAGCTGAAAAGCAAGACTTACACCTGCGACGATCAACAGATAATCACTAGTCATGAATCTGCGAGATCGAGAAAAGCCGTAGACAACTCTCCATACAAGAAATACGGTAGCGATCACCGCCATCGACCACATTGGTATCAGGACTTCGAGTCGCCGATTGGGCCATTGCTGTGTGACTGGATCCATACTGTGCCGGGGTGGACGGTCGGAATCAAGAAGAAAAAGAAAAGCCAGAAACGTCCATTCAGAGTCTGTGGTGTATGTAAGGATATATCATATACGTATACTTAGATTCAAGCCCAACTCTGTTAGTATGTCGGCCGCACCGCGTCCGACTGAGCAAAGCGTGAGTCCAAAGTCAACCGGCTGCAGAGGCGGGTGAGAGGGCCAGATCGATCATAGAAGGCCCGTACATGCGCTCCAGAGCGGTTCTCGAAACGAGCCGGCTCGGAGCTTTACGATACATACGAATCCTTACATCAAAGCTAATGAGCTGACCCTGGCTGTGTTTGTGCATAAACGAGACCATGCGCGCTGCAAGCTGGTCCAATTGGAGAGAGGGTCCAGGGTAGTCAAATCCATGAATCAAGAGAATGCATAGAAGATGGGTGATCACATGTACGGAAACGGGGGAATCATGTCACTGTATGGGTAGGATTCCCATGACAGAGACGGCGGATGTCGTAGACCAAGTCCTGTCATTGATGCATGACACAATGCGCAACAGTGGTGCAACGTGGTTTACACACAGCAGTGTTTACCAGGCGGTCGGCACAGAGCGTGTGCGGGCAAATCAGGCACAATTCCATGGTTCGCGGTGGTGCAGATACCTTCACGACTCGTCGCACGATAAGATGGCACGATGGGAGCGGGAGAGCCACAGGACACTAGTGGGGTCAGCCTCGTTAGCGTCCGGTAGGGCCACTTTTTATTCCGCAGCCAAAGCCACCAGACAAAACTCCGCTTCGTTTCCGTCTGCCTCTATTCTCCTAACGCCTTGGTGACGACGCCACAATATTGCTTCTGCTGCCCGTTCCATCTTTCGACATCCCAAATTGTACCTCACGTCGTCAAGTCTATCCGCGTATAGAAAGATCATGAAGCCAGAAGCCAGAAGCCCATAAGCTCATGGCACCACAACCCCCCAAACAAACAAAAAAACACTATTAAAGCCTATTCTCACGTCTACCATCCGCAGTTAGCATCAACGTCCGAAGCTAGTTGAGTCTATGCAAAACCTCAGGGTGAGTAGAAGACGGCACGGCAAAATAAGCTGAGGCGGGCCACTGCTGGCCACACAGCCATTGGTGGCCGCCCCCCATATTTGCCCTGCCGATTCAATACCGAGACTATCCTCTAATCTTGGAGACGGCCCGTGTTCCTTTTGACGAATGCGTGGTAGTGGCAACCGCCACTTGAATGTGCACACGTGCATACAGGCCATACACGTTCGCATCGAGGTTGCGTGGATTGCCCGTGTAAGTAAGTAAGGATGTATAGTAGATTACAGGGACACGCGGTGTTGTTGATCCGGCCAACAAGCGACAGTTACTACTAGAAAGGCGACCAGCCCCAAGGATCCGAGTGACATTGCATACCACATGGACGAATCGGCACATTAGCTTGCCGAGCGCTTTAACCACACACGGCAGGCGAGGATTACGCAGCGAAAAGTATTTCAGTAGCACCTGGCTGTATCCAAGGTTGATATGCAATCTGCAGCTATTCCGCGTGAAATCTCTGACATGCACTACTGGCTTCCCATGGCTATTATTTAATAATCTTTTCCCCATACGCATGTATGGAAATGTTTCGCGGCGCCTCAGCCGCCGTTGCGGACGCCTCTACCGTTGCTACGGGAGCCACACGTGTAGCTTAAACCCAAACGCATCATCGTTCGAAACTGGAGCTTCTTCCTTGGACCCAGTATGTAGTGGGGGTGGCGCACTAATTGGCGAAAGTAAAATTGGCCAGAACATGCGGGCTCGCCTTCAGTGCCGACCGCTTCTTCTGCCGAAGATCCCTCCATTTGGTGCATAGACCGCAGTATCTGTCCACTGAAACCCATCCTTAAGTAAGAATTGAATTGCCCTTGGTTCCGTGGACCGGGTCCCACCGGTGCCTGACAAGCCTTCCAAGCATCACGGTGCAGCCAGGGGCACGTCCGCTTTGCATGTCTGGCTGCAGGATCACATCTATTGAGACGTCCCCTTTCACATCACCCCATTCTGGTTTTTCTAGAACGAATAGGTACATGCAGTCGAGCATGGCCGCACCCAATGCATCGACTGAGCATTGCCTCCCTGGTTTAGCGAGCCGTCCAAACATGTATTTTCTATGTCGGAGGGATAAGGCCGCACCCACCATTTCCCACGTGGCGGGTGAGTTCTCAACCAATGCAAGCAACGACTCAGTGAAAAGTTCGGCCCGTATAAAGCATATATTGCCTGCACATTCTAGAAGTACCACACCAGACCGACCCATACGTACACTCGTTAATAAACTAATCTTCATTTTTGTGCGTCAAGATGCCTGCATTCTCTCGCTTGGCTGTCGCTGTCCAGCTCGTTGCTGTTTTCGTGTCGCCCGTTCTTGGTGCGGCATACAACCAACCATACGACTATGTCATTGTTGGTGGAGGTGTCACTGGCTTGATTGTAGCCAACCGTCTTAGTGAAGACTCGCGCAGTATGTATCTCACCAGGATACGATAAACATATACCTGCTCACACCTGCGAAATAGAGACTGTTCTTGTCATTGAGGCTGGCGACAATGTCGATACGCCCTCGACCAAGATTCCATGGAAAGCCAATGACCTCACCTCTGCCAACGGGCTAATTTGGGAAAACTATACCTCGGTGGCTGAACCTGGTCTTGGCAATGGCTCATTCCCAGTTATAGCAGCAAAGGTCCTGGGTGGTGGTTCAGTCATCAACGGCATGGTCTATGACCGTGGTGCTGCCGCTGATTATGATGCTTGGGAGGCCCTTGGTAACAAGGGTTGGGGCTGGGAGGGAATGGAGCCCTACTTCATCAAGGGCACTACATTCCAGCCTCCTTCTGAGAAGACTATGCGTGACTTCAACATCACTTTTGACCCCTCGACCTACGGCAAGGGACCGCTTACTGTCTCCATCACCTCAACCCAGTATCAAGATATTAAGGCTTACTGGGCAGCATGGAAGGCTAGTGGTGTTCATGTGCCAGTCGACGGAAATGCTGGAGAGGCTTATGGTGTTTCTTGGTACCCCAACACCATGGACGCGACCACTGGACGCCGTGCCCACGCCCGTTATGCATACTACGATCCCATCCAGAGGCGCCGTAACTTGCACATTATCACTGGCGCCACTGCCAAGAAGGTCATTTTTGATGACCGAAAGAAGCCCATGGCACGAGGTGTCGAGGTGACCGACAAGACAGGCAAGACTACTTGCTTCTACGCCAAAAAGGAGGTCATCCTTGCTGCCGGTGCTATCCAAACTCCAAAGATTCTCCAGCTTAGTGGTGTTGGTCCCAGGGCTGTGTTGCAAGCTGCGGGCATCGAGACCAGGGTTGAGCTCGATTCCGTAGGCGCCAACTTCCAAGACCACCCATACGCCACAGCCATCTTCAACACTACATCCAACTTCTTCCCTAACCTCCAGTCGCTGAACACTAATGCTACTTTCAACGCTTCTGCCTGGAAGGAGTACGAGCAGTACAAGACGGGCCCCTACACGTATGCTCGTGGCAACGCACTTGCCTTCATCCCCCTTTCTGATACTACCAACAACACCCAGGCTCTCATCGACATGGTCAACGGTCAGAAGGCTACTGACTTCCTTCCCAGCATCTACAAGAAGAACTCCAAGCTCGCGGCGGGATATGCAAAGCAGCGCAAGGTTCTTGCCAACTTGCTTACACGCAAGGACGCAGCCGCTACTGAGATGACGCTGGCTGCTGATGGCAGCTTCGCCCTCATCGGTGTTGAGAAGCCTCTCTCGCGTGGTAGCATCACCATCAACGCCAAGAACCCCAACGGAGCTCCCGACGTTGCGTTCAACGCCTTTGTGAACCCTGTGGACCGTTTGATCATGTCGATTGGTCTGCGCTTCTTTCGTGGCGTGTGGGCGCGCCCCGAGCTTAAAAGCTACAAGATCAGCGAGACTGTTCCTGGTGCGCAATTCCAAACGGACAAGGAGATTTTCGACGCACTCCTCAAGCAATCCATGCTTCAACCTTCTCTTGTTCACCCTGCGGGTACTTGCTCCATGATGGCTGAGAAGGACGGTGGCTGTGTCAGCGACAAGCTACTCGTGTACGGAACCCAGCACTTGTCTGTCGTCGATGCTTCAATCATTCCCCTCATCCCATCTTGCCATCTCCAGGCCACCATGTATGGTATTGGTGAGAAGGCTGCGGATATCATCAAGGCGAGATAGAACATGTAGAGCAGGTAGAGTTGATTTGAGTTTGCAAAATTCTTGTACATAGATTTTTGTAATTGCACCCATGTAGCGTATTCTAATTTGTTAACATAATGGTGGCGTGACCTGAGTGATGCTGCCAAGGTACTTGATCTATAAATATGTTACACTATTTGCAAAGAGCTCGTAAGCGATACAATGCAATCCTCGCATTCGGTCTTGGTATTTTCCGCTATACGCGTCCAGGGTGGTGAGTGGTCATCTAGATAGAATACCCGTATCGGGCGCGGGGCGTGTATAACCGTTGGTGCGAAAGTATCGTGTTTAGCGTCCTGACTATACTTACATGTGCATACATATGTATGTAAGCATGAGAGGACCAAAGACGGGCTGATGCAGGATGCGAGGTACAAGCTTTATCAGGTTTGGTCTCGAGCCCCCCACGCCTGACCCTGAGCGTGGGGGCTACGAGCGCCCCTCCATCCATGGTTGCGTCATTACCAGGCAAAAGTTAACTCCACCATAGTCCATGTATGTGCGCTGCCCTACATCACTGCAGCAACACACCAGAGCCGCCTGGTGTACTGCTCCGCCATGAAGCTGCTCAAGAGCCAAATTGAACACAAGACGGGCGCCGGCTTTGCCACGCTGCTGCCTGAGGAACCCGAGGATATGTGGCATGCCTACAACCTCATCCAGGAGCACGACCAGATCCGCGCGAAAGCAGTGCGCCGCGTCTCAAAGACATCCGATGCCGGCTCCACCTCGTCGCAGCGCATTGCCCTTGACCTCACCATCACCGTTACCTCGACCGACTTTGATATTGGCTCCGAACAGCTGCATGTGTCTGGCCGCGTCGCAAAAGAAAATGAGCATGTCAAGCTGGGGCAGCACCACACACTGGACCTGGAGCTCAACCGCAAGTTCACAATAGAAAAGGCAGACGGCTGGGACAGCATCGCTCTTGAGCAGCTCAAAGAGGCATGCGATGCCTCGAAACGCGCGGAGCTATGGGCAGTCGTACTGGGCGAAGGCGTCGCAAACATATGCATGATTACAGAACACCAAACTATCCTGCGTCAGAAAGTCGAAGTGCCCGTGCCCAGAAAACGTAGGGGTGGCGTCGACGGCCACAGTAAAGGCATGGAGCGCTTCTTCTCCACAACCCTCTCTACGCTCCTCCGCCAAATCGACCTCCCAAATGCTTCAAATTCACCACAAGGCAAAACACTTCCCTTGCTCCTCGCTAGCCCCGGCTTCGTCGCCACAGCCTTTCTTCAGTACATCAAAGAAGAAGCAACACGAACAACGAATAAACCGCTCATGGCTTTGATACCTTCCATCATCGTCGCGCATTCCTCGTCAGCACACATACATTCCTTAAACGAAGTTCTCTCCTCCCCAGCCATCACCTTAAAACTTTCCGACACCAAGTTCGCCCGTGAGACGGCCCTCATGGACAAATTCAACACACTCATGCGCCTCGATGATGGCCGCGCATGGTACGGGCCCCGCGAGGTGGAACGTGCAGTAGCAAAGGGAGCTGTCGGGAGAGGTGGCGGCGTGCTTCTAATCAACAATGTACTTTTCCGCGCGCAAAATATCAAGGAGCGAAGGAGATGGGTTAAGCTGGTTGACCAAGTACGAGACGTGGAAGGGGGTGAAGTAAGGGTTCTTAGCTCATTGCACGAGAGCGGTAAGAGGCTGGAGGGGCTGGGCAATGTCGCTGCTATATTAACGTACCCTCTCGAAGATTTAGACGAGGAAGGGGATGCGGGTGATGAGACTGGTTTTGGAGACGAGGAACAGGGCGAGATGGTGATTTAGCGACTTGAAGTGTTTGTTCACACTCTATGTGCATTAAAAAAAGGATAGTGGATGATGGATGATCTGATAATACCCGTTACGATATACCCACGAAATAAACAAGTCTTCCTAGAACCCCGTCTAAAGCATGTGATATCGATTCCTCTTAACACGCTTACCCACCTCCCATCCCTCATAGATTTCGGAGCCGAAACTCCGAGGTTTTAGTACAGGCGTCTTGCTGAAATCTTTGCGCTGACTCCGGATTCGTTTTCTGATACCCGATTCCGGCAGATTGGAGTATGGTCTGCCATTCTTTTCTGAGAAAAACAATACAACACACCATACACTAAAAAGATATGAACAGTTAAAGTCACATTCCTCATAGAACTACTGTAAATGTGGCTTCGTATCCTTTCCCTCCCAAACACTCTCCTCGTGTAGTATTGGGTTAGCGGTAGTCACTCCACAGACTGTGCATGAGCATGAATTATTAGCGGTAGAATGAGGAAAGATGTGTTTACGTATCACAAAGTATGATCTCAAATAGGAGTTTGTCTGCAAAAAAAGAGTCTGTTCGTACGTCAGTCGAGATGCCATGCTAAACCTCCGCCCACTTCATCAACCTCCATGCCAGACGCTCCTTCATCCGGCTCAGACCACTTCAACGCGTTGCATCTTTTGCATCGCTGGTTGTACAAAAAATTTTATGTACCAGTTTCGTTCGTATATCCCTATCTTGGTGGGGATGACGGTGGCTTGGTGCAGTGGGTGATGCGCCTGGCAGGTTGATGATCTGGGGCCTATCGACAGTTCATTTGAACCTAATAATCATTATAGAATATTCTATGTGCATCCCACTACAATCTGTCTTCTCCCCTTCTCTCATATAGGAAGAAGGTAACTTTCTACCTCTTATCTAAATTTTCTAAGGTTTTCACATATCTATGTAATATAAAATCAAAAGAGAAGCCTACATCTATCAAGAGAAATGAAGAGAGGCATAAAAAAGAGATAGCTAGTATGGTCATAGTAATATATTAGAGTAATAAGGCTTTGTTACTAGTAGAGGAGTATCTACACGACCCTTAACTTAGAGGTACCTCTTCTTAAATAAGTGAAGGTTCAGACGACGTTGGCGAGAGAAGAGTGGAGGAAGGGGTGGTATGGGGGTTCTGGGTGAGGTGTAGGTCTGGATAGACAGGTTAGAAGATCTTGGGGTAGAGAATGAGAGTTCGAGTAGTGTAAACAATTGATACAGAGCAGTGTGTTGGCTAAAATTATGCGAGTATTTCCACAATCGTATTTTACCTAGCTAGTTAGCGTTATTTAGACGCATAAACTTCTAGTACAAGAAGAACTAAGGTAAATATAGCCTGTATCTTCATTCCTAGAGATTAATACCTAGACCATAGATTTAAAAGACAACTTTACTAGCGCTAGGGACACATTTTAGTTAATACAGAGAACGCTTGCTACTGTATTGTTTTTAGTTAGGCAAAATATGATTACAGACATAGTGTAAATCTACAAAAGACACATGAATATCCGTTATGTAACTGTTATTAGACGAGTAAGTGCTGGTAGGCCATTTTTTCATCGTTATGATGATGATGCTATCAGCTGGATATGTCGATGTCATCAAAGACTGATTTCCGATCACCCGCCCAGAAAAGCTAGAACAGGTACTACTGGAGTACCATGAAGCAGAAGAAGGAGTAGTCAAAAATCAAGTTGCCCTACCCCTACCTGACACTGTGAGTATAATCTCAGTTTCTTTGCTAGGGAGGCACAACGGAGGAGTGACTCCCGCCAAGGAAGTCACGTGCCAAAGGCGCGCCGCGTTCTGTACGGATCTCGCGCCCGAGACGGCTGTCAACAAACAGACAACCGCTACCTAAACGACCACAGCCATTCTATTTCTCTATCACCCAAAATATCGAGAAAAGAAAAGGAAAACTCGCAAAAATGCCAGCCGCCGAACAAACTTCAGCAGACGCCCGTAGAAAGGCTGCTCGAGAAGTCATCGACATTCTCCACGAAATTGCAACATTGCTGGTATGCAGCAGCCAACCCCCCCCTTCCCTAATCTAAAGGCCCCCCCGCCCAACAACTAAAACTCTCGGCTCTAGAACACGCATCTAGATCGACAGCAACTATCATATTGTGTGTCATTGATTGAAAATGGCGCGAACCCGGAGGCTTTGGCGGTACGTTTAGCAAAGAAAAAACCCCATGACTTTTTGTTATCCACTGTGGCACAGTAACAACCCTCGCGCGCGGTTCCGCATTGTCTGCTGTTGGGTATTTTCTATTATAGTCTCGTTACACGGCATCTACTGCCGGTAACTTCTAAACGAAGAAGAGAGAGAGAAGAGCAGTGATTGGATTTGGCTAACTCACGGGCCGACAGAAAGTGATACTGCAGCTGCGCGAAGAGTATCCTACGAGTTCCGTAGATGGAGACACAGAGGCGGGTGCAGCCGCGCGCTGAATTGGGAGGCCGAATACAACCCCCAAATAGGTGTCCGGGAGTTTTGTGTATGAATCTACAACCGTGTATTCTTTGTAACAAAGCTTTTCACAAAGGTTATTGCGAGAAGCTGCGTCATCGCGAGACTGGGTTGCCGAAGAGCAAGCTGACGCGGCGAGGGAGAAGGTGAGGAAGGGGGGGAAGGGGCTGGGGGAAACAAACATCGAGGTGATCATCTCACGCAAAAACGTTATCAGTTGGTCGTCGCATCTAGAACGCCTACTTTACTTACCCAACACTCAAAAGCCCGGTATCTTGGTTCCCGCGAATCTATGGGCTGACTTGGCTTGCATCCCTGGGCAACAAGAGGAACAAGGAAACCGGGAAAGGCTAATCTTGGGAGGGGCCGAGGATGGAGGGGTAGTAAAATGGTAGCGACGTAACCGCGGGGTAAAAAAAGGCGGTGCCAACGAACCAGAGAGTACCGTTTGGGCGGTAGTTGGTATCAAAGGCTCATGCACCGTTATCAGTATGCATTGCAGGGTGTTTTGCGTCCTGCAGGACTTGGGAGAGCAAGAGAAAAGCGTGTTGAGATAGGAATTCACCGGATAGCAATCACCAGATTTCCAAGGGCATGTGAGGTGGTGTGTTGGTGTGCATGTACGGATCAATGCCCGATGTATCCTGACTCAAAGTGGCGCACATACACAATACATCAACAAGTCACCAGGTCAACGGAGATGGCCGTCTCTCATGCAACTAATCATAGGACACCATCATCGAACGGAGTCGACTAGATAGAACATGGTGTTGTCACCATCTATAATACCAGTTGTATAGTTATGAACAAGGGTAAAAGATGGACAGATGCTTGATAACGTATCTTGATTAGGAGCGCAAATAGTTTCTAAACTAAATGTCATAGATAGACGAGAATAGCGATTGTATGGAGGGTATCATCAATCAACGAGAGGAATGTGTGTGGGGTATCTTCCAAGACAGCAAACTTGCTGCAGCGACAAACAATGAAAGCCCGAAAAACTCCTGCTGCTCTGTTCTTACGATAGAGGTTGCGATAAAGGAAAAAAAATGAGTAAATAGAAAATCATATCTTCTATCTGCTTCCCCAGGTAGGGGAGCTCTGGCGCTGGCGAAAGTTGCCCTTTGCATCTGCGACTTTTTGCAGGGCCTTTTCGGCCTTGGCCTCTTGCTTGTTGAGGAATCCGTTGAAGATAAGAGGCAGGATGCGCTTAGAGTCTGGTGGTCATCGTTAGCAACCTGATCGAGAGGAGTTTATCATAGTAATAAAACTTACTGGCATGGTCAGGATCGAAAAGAATGCCATCTGCACCCCTCTCGCCCGCAACCCTAACTGCCTCTTCCAAAAGACCCTCGCCAACGCCTTTGCCGCGGTACTTGAGCTTGACGGTCCAAGCGCGTACAACGGCCTTGCCCCTCCTTCTCCTGCCACGCTTCTTTGCGGCATCGTTGTCTGCCCAGCCCAAGACCAATGAACCAATGACATCTTCACCCCACTTGACTACAATCAACCTGTCGTCACCGAGCCAGTCCATGTTGATGTCCTCCGCCAGGCTAATGTAGCCACCAGTCATCCAACGAATGAAGATCAGGAAAGTCATGCTGATGCCGCCAATGGTGGTGACGAGCATCAACTTGTCCTCGTACCACCGGAGCATGTACTGTGCTGCAATGGCCACGGCGACAAAGTAGGCGGCTAGCGAAATGGGGTGGAACATCATCATCTTGCTGGCGACCTGGCGCTGTTGTGCAACCGAGTCTGCGACTAGGCGCAGGCCCTCGATACGGTCATCTTCGGTTTCAGCTGTGTAGGTGGAAAGTTGGGGCAGTTCGTCGGCAGGTGCCTTTTCTGGTGCACTCGCTACGGTTGATGACATGACGTGTGATTCAGCGGTGGAGATGTATGGGTTGTATGGGGCGGTGGATGTTGAGTAGGATAGTGAGGTTGGGGGCACTGGTTGGATAAAGGTGTTTAGACGGAAATTTGTTGGCGTGGGTAGTGGTGAAGGGAGGTCTGGGTCGATTCTGAGATTGGCGCTCAATGAAGTGAGGAAAGCTGTTGCTGGGTGTTAGTACATGGAAACTTCAACCACCATTTTCCTCCACCACGTCAAATCCAGGATTGAGAATTCCAACCTACCAGCACTTGTTCGGAATCCCGGTAGCGACGGTATGGCCGGAATTGCCTTTTCAATTCCCGCGTAGTGGTTTACAACAACAGTCTCTTGTCCGAGGAATTGTTGCCGTGGAAACGCATGGGGGCCTGGCGGAACCTTGAGATGAGTGGGAGGAAGTTGGCGGCGCATCTTTATATCTTTATATAAACACGGGAACTAGAAGTTTTTTCCTTTCTAGACAATTATGCCGGATGACATGTAGGAATAGTCGGCAAGGGCGTTATGCTGAGAGGGGAATGGGAGGAAAGTAAAGGGACCAGCCAGGAATAGGAAGTAGGGCACGTGGGGTGGATGTGTGCCGCACACGATTAAGTCGCGGGTAACAAAACTATAGTGACGAGGGAAAAAAAGATCTAGAATTGTTTAGTGCAGCAGACAGACAAGTCAGGGAAGAAGAAAAGAAAGCCCAAACACAGAGTGGGAACTTGAGCGTTAAAGTATGGGGCCTGGCAGCCAAGACGACGAGAATGAAGAAGGGCGTTTTGCGCTTAAGCTGGCGCGAATGGGCAGGGAAAAAATGGGTGGACGATAGGCATCGGGTGCACGGGCCTTGTGATGGCGCGGAGTCGAGGGAAGGAGCCTGGCCGCTGATCTCAACAAGCCCACGCTGCTCAAACCCCGGCCCTGGTCTGCTATGCTTCAGCTGCTGCACCACACACGCCCGTTGCCCCTCTGATTGGAACCGCCACAGACACAGAGATAACCACCCACCACTCACCACTCCATCTGCACTCCATCTTCGTTGTGTTGGGGACGTGGGTTGGCTGCACGGCGTGGTGGCGTCTTTCTTTGTTGGTTTTTGATGGAGGTGCAGTCAGTCCAACCACTCCACTACCGACCTACACTACACTACACTAATCCGCCCAACGGCCACGCCTCGGTACCACTCTGCCTTCGTTGCTTATGGCCTCTCTTACTTTTTGCTTCTAATACTACTAATACTACTACTACTACTACTACTACTACTACTACTACTACTACTACTACTACTACTATACAGGCTGCCTAGCAACAGAGAGTGCAAAACTGCCTAGTGCGTGTCTAAGATACCACCATCGCTGCATCCGGCACTTCTACATACCTTGGCCCTCTCGATCTGCGGCGTTTGACTGTGCATCAACGGCCCGTATGGGGGACGCCATCTGTCATCATGACCGCCTGTCAATGTGCTGCAAAATTCCGTCATCAGACTGTCTCCTTGGACCATATCTATCCACTCATCATCGTCATCATCATCATGACCGTCGTCGTGACTGCTCACGACGAGCAGAGAAAGGGTAAGCGCAAGCGAGCCTTAACCTGCGACGCCTCGCTGCTGTTGCTTCCCCCGCCAACCATTCCCCATCCGGCCGCGGTACAGACCACTCTGCATTAATCTCAAACCCATCCTTCGCGACAGAATCTCCCCAAACGTAGCCTGGGCAAACGAACATGAAACGAACTACCCTGTTGCTTGCGCAGCCCTTGGTTTTGCCGCGGCGCCACCCTCTGCCATGGCCTGCTAACCCCTCCATTGCGCTGCGCTCAAAGTTGATTACACGCCGAGACCCACCGCCATTGCGTGTTCCAGCTGCTGAACGCCTAATGGTCCTTTGACTATTATGTACTACGGGATTACCGCCGTGAACACGACCGGGCGCCTGGCAGAACTGCCATTGTTCTGGGAACTTTCTTACTGTGTGCTATGTACACACATACTTGGAAAACGCCTGTTAGCCCAACTTGCAGTACCCGACCACACCCGTAGTCGCAGGCGCAAATGGCGGTAAACAAGATGCAAATAGCATGAAAAGCAAGAATAAACACAATAAAAAAAATAGACCACGAACACGGTCTCTGCCTCATCACGAGCCCTCCATCGGCCCCGCTACTGCAAAACATTCCCGCAATAGTCTGGCCATTTTCTGCATCCGCATCTCTTTGCCTCTTTATTCTCCACACACGGTGTCACGCATTGGATAGTCACTGCCAGCCATGGTCATACTTTAGCGAGTAACCAATGGACCCTGGCCTACCTTTTGGCCTCAGCACCAACCACAGGGCATGCAACGCCCATCTGACGTGTGTCGCATCCCCACACGGCCATCAAGCTTCGTAAAAAGATCCACCGTGGACGGCGAAACAGACATCCACATCCTTGCACACGGTAGGAGAGACAACAGGTGCATAGTGTGCGCAAACTAAGGCCCAATGCCCTCTCTGGCCGCTAAGCCCTCTTAGCCTGGAATCCCATGAGCATACCAATGCTGTGCGTGCCCCCCACATACATTATCCACACATACTTTACTAGTTATTCCATTCCAGCTAAACTTGCTCATCTAAGTCCCTCCTCCTCAAACAAGCTTGTTTCGAACCCAATCGAATATGCTTCATCTTTTTTACCCCCGCGCGCTTCAGCCCGCTTCTAGCATCGATCTGACACTTGCCAAATCTAAAAAATCCGCGCGCTGGAGGACGGACACTTGCAAGATACAAAGGCGCGCGCACAACGGGGCCCCGGACCTTGTTAGTTCTGATAACCTCTTTTTCTTTGCTTTGTTTTTGGATCTTTTCTTTGACGTTGCTTTTGCCCTTGTAAACAATCCACATTACATATTTACCTTTTGCTCATCGTGCGTGCATGCGTGCGTGCGTGCGTGCGTGCGTGCGTACGCGCATGTGTGTGGGGAGAGGTACTCCTAGGGATGTGATAGGACAGGGTAACATGAGTACGTATAGGCGCGGGTTATGAAACTAGATGCCTTGGCGAAGACCCTAAAAAGCGTGATCAAATTGTTTCGTGTTTCAGCGCTTCTCGCGTCGCTTGTACTGCACGTATTAGGCCTTTCCCCCCATCTCTTTCTTACCCTTTTGTCTCCTCCTCACTCCTTTCGGCTTGGGCTTGGCGCGCCCGTGTTTGTCTGGGGAGAGGGGGGTTAGGGCACATGGGACGGGCAATAAAGCCAGCGAAGTAGTAAGGGTTTAACAATCGTACATGGTACATGGACATTTAATCAAAAAAAAAGACCCATGAACACATAGATTGCGCATTTCTCCCTCATTATCGTTGTTGTCACTACTGCCGAAGATGCTCAATGCTGATTTTCTCCCGATCGTGACACGGAGTCTGCTGCTTCACATCCTTTGTCGGCTTTACATCGCCGTGGATTCTTGCGTGAGATGCCACATTAACCCACCACCCCCCTTCCCTTCTGCCACCTCCTTCTGCCGCGCCCCGTGGGTTTTGCATAGACGGACAACCCCAGGGGGGGGGGCTCACGTGTACATAACACTCCCCATACACGTCATGCGGATAAACTGGCTTGTTAGTTTACCTGCCACTACTATCATCATGCATAAGGGTGGCTTTGGTCATTGCAATGCTTTTTTATTATCCTATATCTCCTTCTTCCCTATGACTCTCTTGCTCTCTCTTTCTAACTCTACACTCCCGTCCCCCTTCCCCCTTCCTCCCTCCATCTGTATCAAATATGTTTATATATCGCCCTCTTTGTTATCGTAACCTCTAAAAATTTGCTAAGAAAAAGAAAAAGAAATATCCCGCGCGCGTACACGCAGTTGAAGAAAAACAGGACAAGGAACCTCCTCTCTAGTTCGGACATGGGAATATCTGGCATCATGCAAACAACAACAACAACCTTTGCTCAAGCACCCACCTGCTAATCATCCAAAAAAAATACCTCAATATCAACCATCCTTGCCACCTATCTACCAGTCCACCCCTCTATGAGCTATCGCCTCTGCTCTTCGTTTACTTCTTCTGCTGTGTATTGGGAGCAGAAGAGCCTCCCGCTCCAGGCTCAAGCGTATGCTCATGGTTTCCCGCTCGTATTATCCTACCACCCTCTTCTTGCGAGCACACCTCACTGTTGATGACCCACTTGTCTTCGAGTATCTCATCCAGCGTCGCTCGTTTCTTGGGGTCGACTTCCAGCATACGGCCTATAATGTGCCTGCTCTCCCTAGGTAACAAACGCAGAAGACGCCAAGGGCCTTTGATTACCTGCGGCGGCTGCTGGCCATTCGATGACGTCGATGCGCGCGGCTCAGTCGAAGGGTGTTCCGAGGATTGATGCCGGGTTGTAGACTCAGAGCCGAGCCCAGATTGCCGGCGTTCGTCACGTGCAGTACTCTCAAGATCTGTAGCCGACTTGGAGGGTCCGGTGATCGACCTTGGCCCGTCGTTGGGAGGTGAGACAAAGAGTTTGTACGAGTTGTCGGATATCCGCGGTGCTTTCCATGGGAACCGACGTAATGTCATGCAACAGAACATGATAGCAAGTGACCAGATATCGGTAGGTTGTGGGTCGTACTTGGACAGATCATACACTTCTGGTGCAAGGTAAGGATCTGAGCCGACAATACCTAAAAACAAGTTAGAAATACTGTTGGTATAACGTCTCGAGCTACATACCACTTGCGAGGACGATCTCGTCTTCAAATGGGTATTTGAAGACGGCGGCACTGCCAAAATCAATAATCTTCATGATTCCGTGTTCGTTGACAACGACATTGTCAAGCTTCAAATCGCGGTGAGCCAAGCCCATGCTATGAAGATACGTGACTCCATTGAGGATCTGCAGTGTGGCACAGGCAACCTCTTCGCGACTCATCTTTCCAGTCATTACTATTGCGAAAAGATCAAAGGGTGCGTATTCCATGACGACGAAGTAGCTTCCTTTCTCATTCACCAAGTCCATGGTCTCGATAATGTTCCCATGGTGGAGTGTTGATCCTATGCAGAACTCGGCAGTAACCTTTTTGTTGTAATCTTTTTCGGATTCGTACGAATGACGGTTACGGAACTGCTTGACAGCAAACGTTGTGCCATCGCTACTTCGCTTCATAAGCCGAACCGAGCCACCAGCACCGGATCCCAGCACTTTGCCAAACTTTCCGTACTTGCTCTGTAGGCCATGGTCATCCGCAAAGGGGACATGTATCGATCCATTTGTTATGGGTGGTGTCATGGTACCGGATTTGGTCGACTTGATCTTCTGGCTCCTGATCGATGGTGCAGGAGACTTTCCGCGTTTCTCCTTGTCCTTGTCCTTGTCCTTGTTCTTGTGTCCAATCTTGAAGAAGCGCTTGAGTTCGGCCATTGATCCATGGTGTTTGCCGGTCGGCGACTTGACATCTTCTGCATCAGAGCCGTGGCCCTTGATGGACCTCTTTCCGAATATGCTCGACCGCTTGTTGTCTTCTTTGTCAGAATCAGTGCCCTTGGAACGTGGCAATTGATATACTGATGATGCTGCTGAACTGCGTCCGTCACGACCACCGTAGATGTAGCGGGCTTCTAGTGAGTCGAGGTTTCTCGCCTGTGCCGCACGTTTGGAGCGAGTGTAGGTGTCTTCCTTCTCTCCTTGTGGTGTATATGATCGGCTACCAGGTGCCGGGGAGGATGCGCCTGGCGTGCGATCACCACCAGAGCCAGCAGGACTGGCGTCCCGGGAAGTTGGGTTGGAATCGCCAGCAGGGCCTATGGCAAATACCGAACTGCGTTTTGGATGGGGCTGGACTACGGCGGACAACTCTGACGATGGTCGTGGGGACTGCGGTGCGGTTCTTGGCGATCCGGGAACTGCCAATGAAGACTGGCTTTCATTCTGGCTCTGGAGAGACGAATCCATGGAGGTTGGTGGAGGCTCATGGGGAGGTGAGATTTGGGGCGTCATGAGGGCGGGGTCGCTTGGATGTTTGTTGTGTCCTTGACCGGCTGTCTTTTCATCCCGGGACGATGTTCCTGCAGGTGTCAATGGTGGAGAGTGCATGGCGGAGGCAGGTGAAGAGGGTATGGAAGAGCGATGTGCAGAGTGTCCTGAAATTGTTCGCGAGGCTGGGCTGGGTGAAGGTGCCTGTGGAGTGTTAGCTGGACGGACGCTAATTACGGCATGTCATGGTCCAGAGTTTGCTTACGCGGGAGGGTGGAAGCGAGACAGGCTCGAATGAGAAGTTCTCCATGCGCTTTGCCTGCATGCGAGACTTCTGGAGGGTCGACGACAGAGTGCGTAGCTCTTCTTCGGCCTGGGGGCTCAATGGGCCATGCTGGGGCGCTTTGGCGGGGCTAGTGAGGTCGGCAACATCTCGCACGGCTTGCGCGGGCTCGATTTCCTCGTGAACCTCGCTGAAGCGGACAGACTGGGCGGGGGGAGTAGACGTCATGATGAGTGATGAGGGTCAGAAGAGAGTTCTGTCAGAAGAGGGCAGCTAGGTTAGTCTAGGCCATGACGGAAGGCGCGAACGCATTAGATGGAGAGCTTGCGCTTACTTGGGGTGAGGAGGGCGACTCTGCGAGGGAAGCTCGCTCGTCGGTCGCTACAAAAGTCCGTCAGGCGGGCGCGCTGGCGGGTTCAATGGGCCGGACAAGAGAAGTGGCGGAGGAACGGGTGGGCTGG